TCTCCTTTTCTTCGCTGTCTCGAGTATTGCTACTCCCATTTTCCCCCACCGTTTCACAGAATCTCCTCTGTATATCTTCGTGTCTACAAAGAATCTGTCTGCATCAGGGCTCCTTAGAAGTTTTGAAACTTCTGATATGTCATGTACCTCCTTCTGCTTACAAATCTCTTCTACACTCCTTCCTTTCCACCTCTCTTCCCTTCCCTTATCTAATTCTTCCTGATCTTCTTAGGGTCCTTCTTCCACCGAAGTACTCTTTTGTGGATATTGTAGAAATGCACACTTCCTTGTTTATCACATGGTTCTTTTGAACTGGTTGCCCCCTCTCTTCCAGAACAGGCTTCTTCCATCATTCTTCTTTCACTTCTCTTTTCCTTCTTTCTTACACCCCTTCTTCCCTTCCTTCTTCTCTCTCCTCCTTTTCTTTTACTACTACCCCCCTCAAGACCTTCTAGGACTTCAAACTCACATCCTGATTCCTTCGACTCCATTCTCTTCTTTTCTTCTTCCATCCTTCTCTCTTCAGACTCCATCTTTTGAACCTCTTTTCCAATCTTTTCTGCATATTCTTCATTACAATCATTGTCTTTTATTAATACTTGTTTAATCAGCATCCCTGCCGCTCTTATCCCGTATCTATTATATGTCTTCACTAATACAGAATGATTTATATAGTGTATTAGAGGGAATACTTCCTTCTTAATCTTTCCTCCCCCGTAGCTCAACACTCTCAAGTACATGATCGTCGTGATAATCCTTTTGTCTTCTTCTCTTTCCCAAAAGTACTTGAACACCTCACACACTATCTCCTGTGCTTTGAGTATCTCATCCTTCTTCCACCTAGTTTGTAGACTCTCGCCATATTTCCTGATATCCTCTAATACCATCATTTCTTCCTTCTTCTCTTTTTCATTCATATTCCTGTCCTCTTTTAGACTCTTAATCTTCGAGCACACATTTTTAACAACCTCTCTTCCAAACCCTTCCAGCAGGTCACAATTATCTTGATATATCTTCATCATCAGGTCGGTGAACTTCGGTTTCCTTTTCGTCTTCTCTCTCTTGTACATCTCAACACCACTCAGACGCCCCCGTTTTTCTACAAAGAACTGCTCTACCAAATTCATGATCCAATTACTGTTATTAGGTGGAAACACACACACCATCGTATTCCAAGCCGAACACGGAATCCGATTAATCACATCCTCTGCATACTCTATTTCACTTTTCTCTATACTATGGTACTCAGACACCGGTGTCACCACAACCTTGTCATTGTGGAATATCATTGGAATTAAGATTTTTGTATCAAAGGCTGCAGCTTTCTCAAGTGCTTTCTTTATTCTTTCTCTTCTATAGAGAACACTCGAGGAATGATCCACTCCACCTATCGCACCCCTCTCCTCACTTGAAGAACTACACAACACATAGCTATATAGGAATATACCCCACATCCTCATTATGAAAATCATGCTTCCACATTTAATCCTTTATACCTCCTTATTCCTTTAATTCCATCTAGTCTACTACACTCCTGTATATCATCTCTTCAAGGGGTAATACATCCCCTCTAATTCACATTCCTTGTAAGCCTCATTCCAATATCCATATCCTTCATTCATCATCCTATCTACAAATACTATCCATACACCACACAAGTCAATCAAGAACATAAGCCCATCTGCATCCCATCCCATGTACAACCAAGATCAACACAAAGACTCAACTCCTCCAAAAGATCTCAACCCACCCCACTTCGTAAACACCAACATCATGCTGAGCCACCTTCCAACAAGAGCAGATCCAATCTCCGTAGCTCTCATCTCCTTCTACTCCAAGAACTTTGGCATTCACGTCACACAGGACACAACAGAGAATACCCAGTAGCTTGCCAACAACAGGAGCCTTGTCTTCCTCCTATGCCTAAAGTTCAAACACTTGCCACAATCTCGGTAGGCTTCTCTTATCATTGGAAGTGGTGGCCAGAAGCTACATCTCCCATCAATAAACTATTCACATCCAAAGCCTTAATCCACCCAGCACATTCCTAAAGGTATCCCCATACTCCTTTTTGAACAATCACATCCATCAATCTTCAGACCCCATCTTTCCTCACCCAACCCAATTGGAATCCATCTCCAAAGTAGGATATTGTCCTTCACATACTACAACTTGCTCCTCTCCTTAACCCAACAACTACATAAGCAAGCACCTGCATAGTCCCCACATGAACTCAAAGATTCTTTTCCTCCTCTCATTCTCATTCTTTACAAAGATCCTTGCAGGGTCTGCTGGTAAGGACATTGAAGGAAGTATCAATAAAGGCATCAATAAAGCTAAAGAAACTTTTGGATCGGGTGAAGAGGGTAATAACCCTTTCACAGGTAGTAGCTCCAATGAGAGTGATGACGAATAAAGGACTGAAACAATAGGAGTAGAGGAAGAACTACAATGGTTGTCTTCCTTATAATACAATAAAGTCCGTGCCATAAAAATAAATCTTCTCTAAATCTACAGAGTATTCAGTTTATTTCTTATTCCGAAGAGCAAAGTCCTAGGAGAATCTCATCTCTTATCTCTCTCATCCTTCTTCTCCATTCAATCTCGTCTCGTACCTTCTCAATACTTAGGTTGCTTCCCGAATGCTTAATCCCATCAAGGAACCCAACCACCTTCTCCACCATCGAGTCTCTGCTTACATATCGGAGTGACATGATGATGATGTTATATAGCATCACATTCTTATGGACCATCGAATACAGCTCTGCTCCATGCTCTACAACATATTCAACCATCTTATCACGGAACCTCCCTCCTCTGCAGATTATCGCTATCACAACTCCAATGTCCTCCACATTCAACCTCGGCAGAGTCTTCACAATCAACTCAAAGTTCTCATCCCTCTTTATCCCGCTGAATCCACTCATAACCTCTCTCCGTGCCCCAGGCGTCTCTCCCTTCCTATACTTCTCCAGAAGATACTCAATGTTATCATCAACAACTCCTTTGTATACAATCCATCGAAACTCTCCAAGCTCTTCCCCTTCCTCAATATGCCGTCTCCATAACTCACCCACCTTTCTCATTGCAGACTCACTTCCCACTTCAATCCCTACAGACAACACATACTTGTCCATACTAATCTTTTCAACAGATCCACCCATAGAAGAAACATCAACCTCATTCACTCTTTCTTCAATCAGCTCGAGAACTCGTCTGTCTATTGCTGAAACAATCTCGGCATCATCATAGAACACACTCTTGATCCGGAGTAGCTTCTCAAGAACACTCCTTCCAACACTGTATGTCGACGTGTAGTACACTCCTATCTTCCGAAGTCCTTCTGTAATCCCTCCATAAAGTCCAAACCCTAGCCCAAATACATCCTCAATTATGTTCACCCTGTCCACATTGCTCAGGCCCTCCATCCTTTCTTCAAGCCTTCTTAATCCAGCCTCACAGTATTCAACCCTGTAGAACCCCCCATACGAACTATTCACCTTGTATACATCTCCTCTCCTTGCAACCAGAACCTCCTTTTCCCCAACCTCAATCCTCTCCTCCATTCCTCCTTCCCACCATATCACAACAGGTACAATCCATAGGCTATCATCACTCCCCCCTAACATAGAGTATCTTCTCTGGCACAGAACGAGCCCCTCTCCTCTCTCACAAACACTTATAACAGGATATCCGGCCTGGGAAATCCATCCCTCAACCATCGACGAAATGTCCCTTCCATACGACTCTCCAATCGCTCGCCACAGGCTCCCTGCATTCCCATTCCCATACATGTGTTCCTTGATATATCGTCGGATCCCATCCATAAATACAGACTCCCCAACATACCTTTCAATCATTCTAATAATGCTTGCCCCCTTGCTGTAGCTTATCGTATCAAAAATCTCTCCCACCTCCCCTCCAGAAGAAACCTCCATTCGAATCTTGTGGCTCTTTCCAAGCCCATCATCCACCATCCCCCGTATCACATTCCATTGCACAAACTCTCCCTCAACATCCCAATCAACATACTCTCTTCCAACATTCTCCATCCCCTTGAATGAAATCCATGTCGCAAACCCCTCATTCAGCCACAGGTCGTCCCACCACGTCATCGTCACAAGGTTCCCAAACCACATGTGCCCTAGCTCGTGGCATACTGTCTCGGCTATGTTCTTCTTGTCCTCCACACTACTCTTCCCATCCACAACCAGGAGACTCTCCTTTCGGAACGTAATCAGCCCCCAGTTCTCCATCGCACCACTTCCAAAGTTCGGAATCCCAACCATGTCCACCTTCGCCGTAGACTTCGAAGGAAACTCGTATTCAATCCCAAAATACTCGGAAAAATAGTCAAGGCATCTCTTTGCAACCTCTAGTCCATATCTCCCCCATGACGCCTCTTCCTTCCCCTGCCCATACACTCGAAGCCTTACCCCAGACTTACTCCAGCCCTCAATATATTCAAGCTCTCCGATCACAAATGCAAAAGGTATGTAGACATCTTGCTTGTCTTTTCAAAATACTCAATCGCCCTGTCTCCATACTCCTTTCGAGACGATCCCACCGCAGGGCTGTTCGATAGAACAACAAGGTTTGCCGGTGCATCAAGAGAAATGCTGAACGTTGCTTTCATGTCAGGCTGGTCAAAGCATGGAAACACCCTTCTTGCATCTGTTGGTTCAAAGTGTGTGCTGTAGATCTTCGAGTCTCCTCCACTCTTGTAGAATCCTACCAACCCAGAGTTGTAGTCCCCACAGAATTCCGCTACAATATACCCTTCTCCCTTCGGTATCCTAGATGGAAATCGGAGCCGTACAACCTCATACTCCTTTTCATAATCCCCAACAACTACCTCTCCGTCGATCCTCTTGTCTCCAACAACAATCCCTGCATCCCATATCTCAAGCTCCTTTGCATTCATCACAATCTCATCTACAGGCTCAGAAATGTCCACCTGGATCCCCACACTCCCACAGAACCCTGCATCCATCACCTTCACATGCAAGTCGTAATGCGAGGGGACAACAACCCTACTCAGTTTCAGGGGCCCAGAACCATTCTTGTCCTCCATATTCTTGCTCTCAATCATGGGCATTATCATACCAATCATTAATTCAACCCATCTCATAGCTTTTGTTTTCACTCCCCATTAATACCTTCCATAATAAATATTCCCATGTTTGCCTTAATTGTTGCTCTTGCTAGAAACAAAGGGATAGGAAGAGCCAACAGGCTACCTTGGTCCCGCCCCCTAAGGACAGACATGTCTTGGTTCAGAACCCTTTCCCAGAGCATTCCGCTCATCACCTCCCATCACATAGATCTTCTTCCTTCTCCATCCAATGCCGTGGTCATGGGAAGGAAGACATGGGAATCCATCCCTCCCAAGTTCAGGCCTCTCCCAAACCGCATGAACATTGTTCTATCGAGAAGGCCAGGTGCCAAGACAGAGAACGCGTTCTTCATCCCGACCTTTGAAGACCTCAGCCACCTAGACATTCCTCCATCTTCAATGATATTCGTGATAGGAGGACATGACATTTACAACCTTGCAATTCAAAACGGTAAGGCTCAGATTATGTTTGTCACCGAGGTCTTCGAGTCTCCTGACTGTGATGTATTCTTCCCCCATGTAGACTGGGAATCTTATGAAAAAAGAGACATTACATACGAGGTTTCAAGACTCATTGACCAAAACCTTGCAGATGCCTTTTACAACACAGAAGCAAATGCCTTCACAGAAAATGGAACAACTTTCAAGATGTTTATTTATATTAAACCTGGATCTCTATAATCGGCTGCCCTGTCCTAATATAATCCCCATATTAAACATCCATATGTCCCAGGAATCAAAGCATGCAGAATATCAGTATCTTGATCTGGTGCAGCATATACTGGAAAACGGAGTCAAAAGGGCAGACAGGACAGGGACAGGAACACTGTCAGTGTTTGGGGCAACCATGAGGTTCTCTCTTGAGGACAACACATTCCCTTTGCTGACCACGAAGAGAGTCTTTTACAAAGGCGTTGTCGAAGAGCTGTTGTTCTTTCTTCGAGGCCAAACAGACTCAAAGATCCTTGAGGAAAAGGGCATCAGGATCTGGGAAAAGAACGGGTCGAAGCAATTCCTTCAGTCGATAGGGATAGACAGGGAGGAGGGAGATCTTGGACCGATATACGGATTCCAGTGGAGGCACTTTGGGGCAGAGTATCGAACATCAGGCTCAAGCTACGAAGGCAAAGGAGTGGATCAAATCAAGGATGTGATCGATACCATCAAGAAGAACCCTAACAGTAGAAGAATGGTTGTATGTGCATGGAATCCCACAGCACTAGGGGAGATGGCCCTTCCTCCCTGCCATGTGCTCTTCCAGTTCAATGTGATGGACGGAAAGCTAAACTGTGCAATGTACCAAAGGTCTGGAGACATGGGATTGGGGGTTCCCTTCAACATAGCCTCGTACTCTCTACTAACAATAATAGTGGCGCATTTGACTGGGCTTCAGCCTGGGGAATTTGTTCACTTCTTGGGGGATACCCACATATACCTGGACCATGTCGATTCCCTAAGGTTACAGCTCCAAAGGGCCCCTCGGCCTTTCCCAAAACTTTTTGTCAATCCAAAGGAGAAGAGGGGGAAGGTGGAGGACTTCCAGTACGAAGACTTTTCACTTGTAGGATATGATCCACACCCTCCAATCAAGATGGATATGAGTGTCTGAAAGCAGGGTTTCCCTCCAAAGGTATTTAACTTTGTAGAGGGGGGAAAGTATGGAGTCTTCAAAAGAAAAAGGGTTCTGGACAGGATCTATGGAAACATCTGATCCAGAGCTTCATGCTCTTATCAATGGGGAGACTGAGAGGCAGAAGAAGACAATAAACTTAATAGCAAGCGAGAACTATGTACACCAGAGTGTGATGGAAGCCAACGGGTCCATACTCACCAATAAGTATTCTGAAGGTAGAGTGGGAGAAAGATATTATGGGGGTACACACTGGATAGACCGGATTGAGGCCCTTTGCCAGAAAAGAGCACTTGAGCTGTTTTCATTGGATCCAGATGTTTGGGGTGTCAATGTACAAGCATACTCCGGAAGTCCTGCAAACTTTGCTGTGTACACGGGGCTTGTTCCTCCTGGGGGGAAGATCATGGGCCTTGACTTGCCGTCTGGAGGGCATCTTACACACGGGTATAAGACAAGGACCAGGAAGATATCTGCTACAAGTGTGTACTTCGACTCGAGGTCTTACAAGATAGGTAGTGATGGACTTATAGACTACTCAGGTCTTGAGGAGTCTTTCATGGAGTTTCTGCCCCATCTTCTGATCTGTGGATACAGTGCATATTCGAGGGATATTGACTACAAAAGACTTTCGATGATAGCAAATAAGAACAACGCCTTTCTGTTTGGGGACATTTCCCACATCTCTCCCTTGATTGCTTCTGGACTGATGGAGAGCCCGTTTAAGTATTGTGATGTGGTTATGACAACAACGCATAAGGGGCTGAGAGGGCCTAGAGGAGCTCTCATCTTCTACAGAAGGAGTGTGAGAAAGGGGGAGGAGGTTGTGGATCTGGAGACAAAGATCAACTTTGCAGTGTTTCCTATGCTTCAGGGGGGACCTCACAACCATACGATTGCAGGGATTGCTTCCATGCTTCTACATGCAAAGTCGCCTTCGTTTGTGGAGTACGCGAGGCGGGTTGTGGAGAACTCGAAGACATTGTGTAACCATCTTTTGTCTCTAGGATATAAGGTCCCGACAGGAGGTACAGACAACCACATGTTTCTAGTGGATCTCAGGGGTAAGGGGGTGGATGGGAGCATTGTGGAGCACATGTGTGATGCACTGGAGATTAGCGTGAACAGGAACACTGTTGTTGGAGACACCAGTCCTTTGAACCCATCTGGAATACGTGTGGGTACATATGCAGTGACTGCCCGAGGGTTTGGGGCTGACGAGATGAAGGAAGTTGGAGACATAATCAACAGCATTGTATGCCTCTGCAGAGAGGTGTCTATGGGGAAGAGGATGTCGAAGGCAGAGGTTGAGAAGGTGACATCCAGCGAGGAGTTCGCGGGCAACAGCCTGGCCGTGGACATAAAAAGAAGAATATCTAGTCTTGTAGATGCACATCCCATCTACCAGTAGTTTATTAAAGCAGCTTTCCTATGAACATTTCCACCCAATAAAACGGCCGATCACCCTCAGATCCACAATTAATGAAAGAAATATCCCATTGGGTGATCTGTAGAAGGCTGCTTTCAATGGTGAAGCCTGTATCCATAGCAGAGGTATTGGTCATGATCGCATTAGCCCTATGCATCTTCCTTGGAAAGTGGCTTGATGTGGCCTCAATCAAGGAGCGAGGCATCATCATCAATGGCCTTAGAAGTACTAAGGAAGTAAGTGATGGAAATGTGCCTTCCATGTGTAGTGGTGCAGTAACCTTCTTCATATTCAGAACACTCTCCTCTGTGTTCATAGAATCGAAGGGAATTCTCTTCTCAGTAATAACAAACAGAATTGTTGAGGATATGACCTCCCATGTCTTCCGACTTGCAATACATTCTGCACACTCCTGTGAGAAAAAGCCGACAAGCCTTAATAGAGTTGTGGAGAGAGGGAATAAGAAGATCTGCAAGGTTCTTGGAAAGGTCCTCACCATTGGAGTCCCTACATTCTACAACCTCATCCTTCTTTTCAAAGAGATCCATATGATGTTCGGGTTTAGATATCTCTTCCCGGTTCTTCTTACTGTTATTGCCTATACAGTGTATACCCATGTGACTCTGAGGATCCGCTCCTTGTATAGGAAGAGGATCAACGATGCAGATAACCTGGCTTCCAGGAGAATCCACGAGTGCATCGCAAACATCGATCTTGTCAAGGCATGCTGCTGCGAAGAGATGGAAGAGTCCAGGCTTGCAGCAATCATGAGGATTATGTGGAGCCTGAAGCTCTCTGACAAGAAGTGTGTGGGGTTAATAAACTTCGGGCAGAGAACGTTGTTCACAGTTCTCTTTGTTCATGTTGTTTTCAAGGGAAGCACAGATGCAGCAGCCTCCCGAATGGCAATTGGAGATCTCACCACGCTCTTTTCGTTTGTGCTCTCCATTGACGGCTCCATGTGGACACTAGGAACCATTGCAAGGGATATAGGGTCCTGGATGACAGACTGTACGGATCTTCTTACCCTTTGCGACGAGCTGGAAAGAGTTGCAGCAGAGAGCTGCGAGACAGCCACCCAGGATGCTGTGAAGGACGAAGGATCCTTGTGTCTGTCCAGACACACCAAGTCCTTGGGCAGGACACCTGTGTCCATCGAGGTTGCACTTGGCGGAGAAGCAGCGGCCATTGAGTTCGAGAATGTTGGGTTTTCGTATCCACAATCTGTCGATGTGCTCAAAGGCCTGTCTTTCCGGATCATGAGGGGAGAGCGTGTTGGAATAATCGGAAGGTCTGGAAGTGGAAAGAGCACCATCTTGAGGTTGATTCTGATGCTCCACGGCCACACGGGGACGATCCGAGTCGATGGGACTGAGATCAGAAAGATATCGCCCAAGGCGCTCAGGAGGACGATTGGCTGCATTCTTCAGGACACCCTTTTCTTCGATGAAAGCATCCTCTACAATGTAAGGTATGGGAACCCAAGTGGCCGAATGGATGAAATCCTGAAGGGATGCATGGACGCCGGTCTATGGGAGGTGATCAGCAAGAAAGGGCTTGACTCTCGGATGAAGGACCTCAGTGGGGGAGAAGCGCAGATGGTCTGCATTGCAAGATGCCTAGCCAAGGACTGTGAGGTGATGCTGCTTGACGAGGCCACGTCGAAGCTGGACGGATGTGCCGAGAAGAGGGTTTTTGAGCTGCTGATGGGTCTTGAAGGCAAGACGATTGTTATGATACTCCATAACCTTTGGATGACCGAGTATATGGACAAGATTATTGTTGTTGACGGAGGGAAGGTTCTGGAGGTTGGAAGGCACTCTGAACTGATGGAGGCGGGAGGGATGTACTGGAGAATGAAGACGATGGGATGATGGGTCATTCCCTATATAAGGGATTGCAAAGGACAAACCCCTGATGATAGAGACTGAAGTTTACAAGGACCTAGAGGAGATACAATGGGAGATTGACAGGAAGTATGAGGAGTTTTCAAAGAAGGATTTTGAGTGCAAGCTAGACCATCACAAGATGATCAAGCCGTTGCTTATAAGGAGAGACCAGGCGATTGCAAAGATGGATTCTGGAAGCTACTGGGGACGTGTGTTGGACAGGTACGAGATTGGAGAAATGATACTTCCCAGGGACTCAAGCAACTTGATCAACACGGGATGGATGAGATCTCTGTCTGTTGACTATCTTGATGGATATGCATACAGGGTTGAGATGGAGGTGAATGAGAATGAGTTTGTGGCAAACAAGACCCTGATGAAGAAGGCGTATCTTCTGGAGGGGGATGTGGAGAGAAGTGGAGTAAGGTGGAAAGGGAACCGAAAGTGCCCTGTGTTTGAGTTTTTCGACACAGACACTGTAGACCTTGATATCTTTGACATCCTATATGAGGTTTATGTCAACTCTGCCTCCTACTTCCTGAGGTCCACTTGAGAATCTCCAGGTATAATTAATTAAAATATCTTATATTGAACCTACCTTACACAAACAAATGTTGTCTCAAGGGGAAATATTAAGAAATCCATCTAGAACAAGACTTCAGAAGCCTCCAAAAAATACATCAGAAAATAAAGGATGGTGGTATAAGGTTACTATATTCCTAACATGCCTGATTCCAAATTTCATGCTTAGATGCTTTGGAATGGCAACTCCCGAAGTACAGCATGCATGGAGAGAAAAGGTGGCTTTGTGCATTTGCATATTCTTCTGCTGGGTTGTCTTGGCTTTTATTACATATGGAATGAACACAATTATTTGTAAAGGAAATACTCAATATGTTGCATCTAGGTTGAAGAGAGATGGATTCGACGGAAATATTGTCATAGCAAACGGGGGAATATATTATACAGATGATGAATATGCATTTGGAGAAAACCACACACATGTATTTGAAAAGAATAGTAACGCATGCAAGCTTGCGTTTGGAAGACAGTTGGTAAGCGGGACTGAGGACATTGATGAGCTAGAAAGAATAAATGACATTTATTGGGACTGGGGGGACATAATGAGAAAGGGAATGATAGTTGTTGGCAATAAGGTTTATGATCCTTCACACTGTTCTGAATCTTTATTTGAAGAATTTAATAACAAATATGCTGGGACAGAAGGAAAGCCTGATTTTGACATAGATGAGTGGAGATGTTATCAGGATACGTTTTATGCTGGAAAGGTTGCCACGAAGACTCCTGGATGTCTTCTTGCCGATACGGTATTCTGGATCACAACTATTTCTATCTTTGGGCTAATTATCACGAAGTTTTCGCTAGGGTTTTTCTACTCTTGGTATGCCAAGAGGATGCCTCGGGCCGGGCCTAATATAACGCCTTGTATATTGTTAGTTACATGTTATAGTGAAGGAAAGGATGGAATAAAAAATACTTTGGATAGTCTTTGTAAGCAAGACTATGGATATGATTACAAGATGATTGTAGTAATATGCGATGGGGAAATAATTGGATCTGGAAATGAGATGAGCACACCAGATATAGTTCTGAGTTTGTCTGATGTCGACAGAAATGCGGAGCCCAAGAGTTATATATCTCTTACTCATGGAGCCAAGCGTCACAACCGAGCTAAAGTCTATGCTGGATATTACCATGTAAAGGAGGAAATAAAGAGCACACGGCATAGATGCTGGCCATGCTTTGGAAGGCAGGAGGACACCACTGAAGTTAGGAATTACAAGACAAGGATCCTTATAATCAATAAATGTGGGAATCCTGAAGAGACATTCAAGGCTGGGAACAGAGGAAAAAGAGACAGCCAGGTGATTCTGATGTCATTTTTTTCGAGGCTGATTTATGGAGACAGGATGACTGAGCTAGATTTTGAAATATACCAGAAGATGAAGCTTCTAATGCCGCATATGGATCCTGAGGACTTTGAGTGTATATTGATGGTTGATGCAGACACAATTGTGAAGCCTGATGCTCTTTCTATCATGGTAAATGTTTTTGAAACCGACCAGAAGGTTATTGGGATATGTGGAGAAACGATGATCTTGAATAAGTTTGAGAGTTGGGTCACCATGATACAGGTTTTTGAGTACTATATCAGCCACCACCTCAACAAGGCATTTGAGTCAGTATTTGGTGGTGTTACATGTCTTCCTGGATGTTTCTGTATGTACAGAATAAAGATAGTTACAAATCAGCAGGGACAGCTGCTGTCGGGGCCATCTAAGTCTCGTATTGGGGCACAGAGGTTTAATAATGTAAAGTCTATTCTAAGCTCGTCTCTGGAAAAGAGTCTCTGCCTTCCTATTCTTGCAAATCCTGCAATTATAAATGCTTATTCTGTTCTTGAGGCAAAGACTTTACACCAAAAGAATCTTTTACATCTGGGAGAAGATAGGTATTTAACGACTCTATTGCTAAAAAACTTTTACAGAAGAAAACTTGTGTTTATTCCAGCAGCCAAGTGTGAGACATATGTTCCCGGGGAATTTGGAGTTCTTCTCAGCCAAAGAAGAAGATGGATCAACTCAACCATACACAATTTATTTGAGCTTGTCCAGGTCAACAACCTATGCGGGGCCTTTTGTTTTTCCATGCAACTTGTTGTGGTAATGGAGTTGTTTGGGACGCTGGTATTGCCAGCTGCCATCATCTTTACATTTGTTATGATTGCGGTGTCAATACTGATTGAGCCTGCTTGGGTTCCTTTGATTATGCTTGTTGGTATTTTTGGTTTACCTGCCATACTGATACTAATTACGACAATGGAAGTCCAATATGTATTCTGGTGCTTGATCTATATATTGTCCATCCCTATCTGGAACCTTGTCCTCCCCACATATGCTTTCTGGCATTTTGATGACTTCACATGGGGTGACACCAGAAAGGTTGATGGGGAAAAAGGAGAGGATGAGGATGGTGTGTTTGATCACACAAAGGTCAAAATGCGAGAGCTTGGGGAGTTTCTTAATGAAGCAAATAAATGATTAGATTCTGCTTGAATGCCAAGGTTCTGGACAGTAGTGGGGCAGAAAGGCTTTAATGATGTTCATTATTTTGTGTACAGATCAGCTCTAAATCGTCTATTATTATTCCATGGGCACCTGCTTCTTTCAGGATGCTTATGATGTTTTTGTCGTTGATTTCATCGCCATATACAAATGTCTTTAGGTCGAATGACTTGAAAATCTTAACAATATCTATTGGGTTTATAGCCATGCAACTCCAGTCCAAAACAACTCCATCAAGCCCCAACTTTGTACAGAAGTATAGTGCATCATACAACGTGTTTGTATATGGATTCCCTTCGCCACCTTTTGCCTCGGTCAGCATGAAGATGTTGAAATTAGGAAGCCTCAGCTTCACCATTAAGAGAATGTACGGATGGAATGATGAAAAAATCACCCTTTGCTTCCTACTTCTTTGGACCATTTCCACAACTTTCTCAACAACTCTCTCTGCAGGAACTAGATCCTTCAGTTTATATCTTCCTTCTTCAGATGGAAGAGGGTATTTTATTTCTATATTGACTCCATGTTCATCATCAATTTGTTCCAGAAATCTTGAAAGTGTACAAGGAAGGCTATGATTCTCCTCGTCCTGATTTCCTACAAGATGAAGAAATTCTTTGAGTGTTATCTCGTTTATTCCTATGCGAGATGCACCAGATTGAATTACGAAATCATGAAAAATCACAGGGACCTCATCTCTTGTGAGTTGTACATCCATTTCAACCCACTTCAGTCCTCTTCTGTATGCCTCCTTGAATGAAGAGACTGTATTCTCCATCATCCTTGTTGACGGGTGCCCATTCGTCCCACACCCTCGATGCCCTATGATTTTCATATCTTCATGGATTTGACTTATACTTTGGTCAGTGCGAACACAATGGGCTTCCATTTCAATTTCCTCCATGACCCCTTCATAGTCTATTTTGAGAGAAACTAATGTTTTTGAAGGTAGCTCCAGGTCCGAAACAACAAAGCTTTTTCCCGAGACCATTCCCTTTGGACTCCACGCTTCAACGTTAACGGAAAATGGTTCTCTATGGCCAACCTCCTTGCTATACTCAACCATTAGAAAGCTTTCAGGATATATTTCAGTTCTGGCTTCCATTTCGACCATATGCTTCTTCAAGGTTACCCGGATGTGCATTTGCCTATATGCCCTGGTGCTCTTCACAACCAGGCAGAAGATCATTGGCGCAAGGATCCTTTTGTTTCTTTCTAATCTATGGACTTTTATTTTCCGGAACTCCTCTTCCACGGTTGTGGAGTTTTCTATCAGCTTGTTTTTGAAGAAGAATTCTGGATTGCTCCAGTCAATTTGTTTCATCCAAGAAACGGAAGAGGAGTAAACAGTGCCAAAATAAGAATGGAGCGTAAACAAATAGAGTTGTTTATTTTGGGAATATTAGCTTGACATATACCAGAACCAGTAATACTATAGAAAGGATTATTATTCCAATGGCCAGCCTGGGCTTTGTAATTTTAAGTATTTCTCCAATAAGCTTCGAGCTTTTCAGGAGGTGCCCTCTGGTGATTCCAATTTTGCGTTGGATATCCACAAGCCTCTCGTTCTGTAGAGTTATTTCCCCGAGTATTACCTTTAGCTCCTTCTCTGCAAAGCTGCTTGCATCCACCATTTCTTTGAGCTTTTCGTCCATTATTCATAAAGAATGATGCATATTTAAAAGTGTGATGTTTCAGGTGTTCCGGAGTTCTTTATTGTTTACGACATTATAAAGGTCATATGATTATTTGTTTATATGACGCAAAAAGGTATAGGTGTATCGAATCTTCCGAATGTGAAATACCGAAGCTTTTGTAAAGCAGGTATAGACTTCAACATAATGCTGGTTGGCTCAAACGGCCTGGGAAAGACATCCTTCATCAACCAAATGCTTGGAGACTCTGTTCTATCCTCTGATCCTTTTCTGAAGCCTGATGATGAGCAGCAGAGCAATGACTCCACTAAAGTATCCGATAAAGACGGTTGCGAGGAGCAGGAAGACAAGTATTTCCATAGGAACTCTCTTATTAATATCCAGATATCCAAGTTCTTTGTGATGGAGAAAGACTTCCAAACAAGAATTACTATAGCTGAGATAGATGGAGTAGGTGACAATGTTTGCAACCATGAATGCTGGGTTCCGATTGTTGACTTGATTCAGGATAATTTCAAAGATTATTTGGAGCAAGAGAGAAGGAATGTCAGGCCTCTGATAAAGGATAAGAGATTCCATGTATGTCTTTACTTCTTAGAGCCAAATCCATCGCATGTGAAGTTGGTAGACATAAAGACGATGAAGGAGATATCGAAGATGTGCAATTTAATTCCGGTTGTTGGGAAGAGTGATCTTCTGAGTGACATTGAGAGACAGGAGTGCAGCAATAGGATTGCAGAAGCCTTGTACAGGGAGAGTATCGATGTCTTCCATTTAGATGTACCTGACAAGGAGAGGATCGGCAAATCTGAGTACCCCTTTTTTGTTATTGCAAAAAGCACGATCCCCGAGGATAATAACGGCTGCAGCAGAGAATACCCATGGGGAACAATGATCCTCGAGAAGGTGGTAAGTAACGACTTTTATCTTTTGGTCGACATCTTAATAGCAAAGAACCTTATAAAGCTTGTTGAGGCGACGGAAATATTCTATGACGATTACAAAACTAAAGAGATTGGCCGATCCATAACAAACAAGTCAGGAGCCCTCGGGGAAGATGACAAGAGATTAACAAGGGAAATTCAGAAGAAAATCAAAGAAGACGAAAAGACCATTGCAGAGATAAGGCAAAAGTTGATAGAGAAAAAAAAGTACTACGAATCAAAGTTGCTTGAGATTTCAGTCAGTCATGAAAACGAAAAATAAACTTTCCTTATTGGCCGCCATATTTTACTGCATACGAAAATACTTTAATCGTTACGGTTGCTCCTGCTAGAATCCCATTTTCTTCTCCTATTATCCTTCCCGAATTCCTGCTTCTTTCCATTTTGCCTGGAGGCCCACTTGTTGTTAGTCTTCCTACCGTGCAGTCTCTGTTTTTCCTTAAAAGCTCCAGGCTTTCCCCTTTCGGCTCTTTGATCTTTTCTAAACTTGGACTTCTTGCGGTCTGTTTCCTCTTTCTTTTTTTCGACCTCCTCTCTAGGCAGAAATCTCTTTTTCGGAATAAACTTATCTACATATGAAAGTAAGGTCTCCCCCCTCTTCAAAGTACCAGACGGATTTTCTAGCCTGATCGTTGCATGGACATCGTCTAATCTTCCTAGAATTTCGTCCACCTTTCCTATCACTCTTGAGGACAAATCCAAAACGGGAGAGTTTGGATATGGAATGTCTTTTGCCATCAGTTTTACCACCGGTTGCCCTTGACACATATATAAAACCTTTCCTAGCTCCATTGTTTCTGTTGACTTCTGTACTTTCTTATTTTTGAAATTCTTGGCCATTACTCAAGGGAGTGTTTTTCATGTGATAAGCTTTTATTTTTCCTAGGTAAGGCATCCTGCACATGCCCTGCAAAAGCCATCCAGACGGAAGGGTGAGCCTTAGATAGAATCCGAGTGTCTATCAGAACACCCTGGCATAACCTTCCTGATGAACCTCTTCTTCTCTATGTTTAGAAAGAATAAGACGATGACCCCTTAAATGGAATGCCCCTCATTTTACTTTGCTCTTGGATCTCTATTTATGCTTGGTATTTCTCACTCGAGCTGTTACCTGGCACTCCACATAGTCTCGTCCACGTCTCTCTTAATATTTCTGCACTCGAGAGAAAGGGTTCGGAACATTGACTTTGGCATGAGGATTATTAGACATGATGATTTTGTCATTCTTTTTGGATGCCTACTTCTCGAAAGCCTTTTTGTGCCGAAGTCGGCAGGGTACTTTGGAGGTCGAGTCCTTAAAGCCGTTGCAGCCTGCGGATTGGTCTTTTCGATCACATTTTTCTTCGTCACTTTAAGGCATATGCCAGATAACAAAACTGGAGGAAGGAGGATACAAAGGAGCGGGCCCTATAGATTCGTCCGGCACCCATTGTACTCCTCATTGATACTTTATTGGGCATCTTGCACTATATACCTTTCCTGCTTTGTCTCTCTTGCAATATTTCTTTGGTTTGTAAGCAGTAGAATCATCCCGAGAATAAAAGAATGTGAAAGAGAGATGGTTTCTACCTCTTCAGAGTACATGGAATATAGAAAGGCAGTCTGGTCTGGAATCCCAATGTACAGATAGTCCGAATTAAATGTCCTTTCTAAACAAATACAACTTGAAACTCCTGGCATTTAAAGAAATGAGCTTATGAAACAATGGGCCTTTTAAGGTTGTTCTTTAATGCATTGGTTGCACATGTTTCTAGAGATAAGATGAGTGAGTGTGAACCCGCAGATGCTCCCAGTGGGGATATGGCCATTCCAACAAACTTGAACAGAGAGATTTTGTATGAAAGCTTTATATCCATAAACTCTTTGGTTTTTATTTGCGAAATGAACCAGTTCACCGACGAGCTTATGGAGGAGTTTGTGAAGAAAACCGTGTTTGTTGCAAAGGAGCTTCTAGTTGAAAATCCTTCTGCATTCAACCAATTCAACAATTACCTTACCAAGGTTGATGGTGTTGGAAGGGATCTAAAAGATGCATTAGAGCTTCGGAACAAATATTTTAACAATGATAGATCGATGATAGGAAGAGAACTGTCTGCACAGAAGTACAAAGAACTTAGGTCCAGAGCAAACGGACGGTTACCAAGGCTGTATTATGAGGACAAGGATGAAGAGTATCTCCAAATGATGAAAAGACTCATGAGTGCTAAGCATGGAGACGATGGGATACATAAAGCGATCAATAGGGAAATGGCAGAGTTTTATGGTGAGAAGACCGAGATCTCAAAGACCCTTGTGCTTGACTCTAGAATCAGTCTTAGCATTGGAGGATCGATATTTGCTCCGGGGATTTTTGCAAATCTAATCCGGAGCCTGAGTATTCCAAACATATCAGAGATAATCAACCGGGCAGTTCCTAGGCTTATTGCTCCATGTGAAGATCTTATATCCAAGATGCATCTGAAGTCATCTACAGAAAGAAGGTCTCTTGTGCTAGACTTTCTCTATGGATGCCTGAAGAGGAAAAATGGCCCGTTCAAAGAGAAGATAGACAAAGCCTTTGAGGAGAGGACAAAGATACTAGATATTTACTTAAAAGGAGACCCAAAGGCACAGAAAAAGCTCCAAATACTTGATAAGTTTCAAGAAGACGAAATCAATAAGTTGTTATTTGTATTTAAGAACATTAAGGATGATGACCTGGCCTTAAGAATAGACAGGGCTGTGGTTGAAGCATATATAGATTTCCTTGAAAATAACCAAGTGTCTGCGAAGGAGAACCTATATGGCTTGTTTATGAAATAAACCAGCATATCATCTGTGTTTGTGAAAGAAGAGTTTAATTAGTATCTACTTTGCAGTCTTCAGTAAATTCTTCTCTTCTTATCGCTGTCTTTTCTAAGGACTTCATAGTCCAAGTTAAGTAGTGCCGAGGATGAGGGAGGAACCTTGATGAGGTTTTCCCCATCTGGTATTGATAGTGGCTTTGAATTGACCATTGCAGCTATGTCAGATAGATACTGTCTTGGCGGAGGAGGGACAAAATGCCTTCCTACCTTTGTCTGAAGAGCAAGCTTAACATCATTTGTAATGATATGCACCCTGTCCGCATGTTTTGCAAATAGCAATGCGTCTTCTAGAACATCTGTAGTATACTTATAGGCGAATTCCAACAGCTGTATAATGACCTTTGGCTCACATTCCTCTATTCCTAGGGACCTAAGGATTACAGATATGACTTTTGCATCCCGCGGCGCCAAGTTCTCCCCGGATGCCATTTAGGGACTAGATTGAGTGTCGATTTCTAAAACAGCAGGGTATATAAAACAAATACTTGTTTAGGCTCTAAGTTTGGTCATGATACCATCTTTGAAAAGAATGGTATTGAACATAAGCGACTCAAAGAGAAACTTCGGGGATCACCAAAAGCGCTTAGACCATAACATTTACATAGCCACCAAGGACAGCAAGAAGATTGGGGCATATCTGTTAGAGCCTGAAGGAGATAGAATCCCAGAGGGGTTCATCGTTGCCCTCCATGGGAAGGGATGTTCTAGAGAAGATTATGTATCTTCTTCTAAAGTCGACATTCTGGTGAGCAAGGGGTACTGTGTTCTCATTCCGGACTATCGTGGGTTTGCAGACTCTGAGGGAGAATTCGATGTCTCCATGGTCAACTTGGATGTTATGGCATGCTTTGAATATCTTATCTCAAGATTTAACGCCGAAGAGGTTCACATGGTTGGGCACTCGTTAGGAACAGGGATAATGGCGGAATATTGCGGGTACATAGAGAAGAATAGTTTAGGCACAAGATATCGTCCACAAAAGATGTTCATGATCTCGGCATTTACATCAATTACTGATGTAGCCATGGAAAGTGTTGCTTGCAGGATCATCAGCTTTCTGTTTCCTTGGATAAAAGAGAAGCTTTCAAAAGAAATGGGATACGATACATTAAAGAATATGGAGCATGTAAATGGCGAGGATATTTTCCTATACCACGGGATGAAGGATGACATCATTCCCTATCACCATTCCATTATGTTATCGAAGAAGTATGGAGCCAAGGTCAGGCTTAGCGACCATGGCCATGGAAATATTCTTAGAGATGAGGAGTTATGGAATGATATTCATTTGAATATTTCCGGTAGTTCTTATAAAAGTAAAATGTGATTGCTCTATCGCCTATTTCCTCTAGATGCTAGGCTTTCTCTTGTGTAAAAACATTAAAAATCAAAGTCCTTATGGAGATGGAGAGGATAAACATAATTGGAGATTGCCTAGAAGCTGTTTATCATGAGATATCTGAGAAGAGGATCAGCGTGCCACTGGGTAGAATTAAGGAAGTTATTGGAGAAAAGACAAAGCCTTCTGATTATGAAATTGTCAAGAATGTGGCTAAAGGTGGATATGGAGAGGTTTTTCTTGTGAGGAAAGGAAAGATCTATGCCATGAAGAGGGTCTCCAAGGAATTGGTTCTTAGACAGCCACACACTGCTCTGTTCATGGCTGAAAAAGAAGCAATGGTTGATTGCATTGGTAGCGAATGGCTTGTTTGTGCTCATATGACCATGCAAGATGAAGAGTATCTCTATTACCTGATGGATTTCATTCCTGGAGGAGACTTCATGGGGTTACTATCTAAGGAGGATGTCTTGGAAGAGGATTGGGTAAGATTCTATGCGGCAGAAATTGTTGCAGCACTTGACGAGCTCCATAAGTTAGGATGGATACATAGAGACCTAAAGCCGGATAACATACTTATTGGGAGTGATGGGCACGTGAAGCTGGCAGACTTTGGTAGCTGTATTAAGATGAAGGATGGGAAGGCAAGGTCATCTATTACGGTTGGAACGCCTGACTATGTTTCTCCTGATGTCTTGTGCTCTGTAAATGAGGAATGCGAGTACGGGGAGGATGTAGATTTCTGGACGCTTGGGGTTATAATTTACGAGATGGTGTATGGAACAACGCCTTTCTACTCTGATACCTTGATGGAGACATATCGAAAAATAACAAAAGCAGAGTTTGGATTTCCTTTCAAGGTATCTCCAGAGCTTACAAGCCTGATTGAGAGTTTGATAACAACAAAGGATAAAAGGATCAAGATTGAGGACATAAAGAGCCATAGGTTTTTTGAGGGGATAGACTGGAATAGGCTTAAGGAGCTTAGTCCTCCTTTTGTTCCTGAGATAAGTGGGGATTCTGACACATCTCATTTTGTGGATACTCAATTTGATCCTGAGAGGAGGAATCTGGATGTGAAGGGGAATTACATGCCGTTTGTAGGGTTTACCTTTGATCCGGGGTTTGTATCCAAGTTTTACGGTATGATGGAAAAAGCAGATTCTACTTGCAGCAGGAAGGATTCCAAAATCAGGGAGCATGAAGAGGCCCATAAGAATCTTTTAACCAAGATTTCTGAGAATAAGGGGATTCTTGAGTCACAGAAACAGGAATTGATGGGAATGAAGATGGAGCTTGAAAGCACTAGGAAGGAGCTGGAAGACTCAAAGAACGAAGTTCAACACCGCCAAAAAGAGCTCAAGGATGTTTTATCACAGTTGCTGTTTGAAAAAGAAGAGCTGGAAGATGCCAAAGGTGAGCTTGAAAGGTATAAAACCTGGCTGAAGGATGTCACTGAGGAGGTAAACAACAAAGCCCTTCTCTCGGAAGAATATTCTATTGCAGAGAAAGAGTCCATGAACATTTCCAAGTTTTCTGCTTCCACAGAGAGGTTAGAGAAGAGAGCCCTGTTTAAGGAGCTCTCTTTAGCGATTCACGCAGCTGGGAAGGAGGTTGAAGAAATCATGAGTATATTCCAAGGCTTCCAGGAGTCCATGAATAATCTATCTGTGGAAAATAAAGGCCTGAAGTCTGAGGTTGAAATTTGCAAAGAGAAGTTCCAAGAAGTCCTTAGAATAAAGGCAATGGTTGAATATGAAAATAAAAGCCTCAGTGAAAAGCTTAGGTCCGAAGGGTTAGATAGCTTAAAAAGGCAACTTAGGCTAAAAACCGCTGAAGTTAAGGAGTACGAGCAGAAGCTTAATCAAGAGATACTCTTCAGAAAAAGCATGGAGGAGGAGCTAAGCTTCCTGAAGAAGGAAAGATCAAAAGTTCATAGAGTAGCCGTAAAGCAGTCCTTTTCATGCCATTTAGTCAATGGGGGATCTATAGTTGTAAAGATAGAAGAAGACCGCCTCTGGGTAGGAGATGAAGCCCATCACATCTCCAGCGTCTATGTCGGAGAATTGAGGCCTAATGAGCTTCATCATCTTCCACAGAAAAAGATACCAATGACGCTAAGGATTGTTTTTATGAATGAGGAGGTTAAAAGTGTGAGCTCGGCTGGGAGAAGAAGCCTGAAGTCTCTTGAAGAGGATCTCAATACAGAAATAGCCATCAAAGAAGGAATAGAAAAGATTAGAGCTTTACTTCAAGGCAAAACACTTGAAGAGGCCAACATGCAGCTTGAAGGGTCGAACAGGAAGATAAGTCAACTAAAAGCAGAGATTGAGAGAAGTAGGAAAAGCACAATTGTAGAGAACATTCCAGAAGACCCTGTCAAGATTTACGAGTTTAATAACCACCTGTTTGCTGTTAAAACGCTGCCCCAAGGATCTCTTTGTGACTTTTGCAATGAAGTTTTGTATGGGCTTGTCGATCAAGGTTTTGAGTGCAGAGACTGCAAAATGATTGTACATAGGTCTTGTTATGTCCTTGGGGACATTTCCTGTGAGCTTTATTCTGCACTGAAATCAGGGAAGACATACTATGTCACAATGAGAACGATTGAGGAAAAGGAAAAGCTTTTGAGTATAACTAAAGGATATTGAATTTCAAAAAATCGAAAAATTAAAGAGCTCTGTGGAATAGAAGTTTCTATTTTATAAACATCATTCTAAGCACGAGCCCATGTTGTTTGCCTTTCTATTCAGTTTACTCTGTATCTTTTTTAGTTCTTCTTCAACATATTTGCTAAGTGAGATATTGTTCTTCGTGTCAATCCACTCATAGCTTCTGTATATGTCAAACTTCCTGGGCCCTGTTATTGGGGAAGAAGTCCATATCTGCATTGATGCTGGCTGCTTATTGAACATATATTCCCCAACATTCTCGACCTTGACCTGAAGATTATCACCTTTGTAGTCTGCGTATCCGTCATACAGCTCATTTTCCAAGTGTTCAGATAGATTTGCCAGTGCTTCATCTGCAAGCCTATGGTAAAGTGGCTTTGTGATTCCTTCTCTTAACGCTTGTCTGTGGAGCATTTAGAGGGGTTGGTATTGCACTTTATCTTGCATGGCGTTTCCTTAATAATTAAACACTACAAGCCTGCAGGCCCCGGAATCAGAATAATATCCAATAGATATGCACCTTCCAGACACCTCAACCTTGCTTATCAAGGAAGAAGCAGAAAATAATGTTCGGATAAACTGTCCGCTCGACAGATTATATATCTTTACCTCTCTCTTTGTTCCAACTATTAGAAGATCTTCGACAACCGCCTGTGCTGTTATGTGTCCGTTCTCTTCTATTTTGTACACAAGAGCATTTTCTAAAACATCCCACTTGCACAAAATCCCGTCTGCACCAGAACTAAGCAGATAACGTCCATTGCCAACAAATTTGAGCCAAATCACCAATGAACGATGGATCTTGTACGAACACAGCAGCCTTCCATCAAGGGCTGAAATATGGACGCTGGAATCAAGGCTCCCGGAAGCTACATAGCTTGGCGAGAGTGAGACAGAGTAGACTCTAAGAGAATGCGATTTAAAATACCTTAGAAGTTTTCCTTTTCTATAGTCCCATAGGGCCACACTTCCATCGTAGGACCCACTCACAAGATAGCTCTCGTCCATGTCCATGCATCTGACACTCATTGTATGCCCCTTGAGTACATTAAGACATGTCCCTCTAAAGTTCCAGACTCTTATTTCAGAATCTCTGCTTCCGGTTGCAATGTAGTCCTCATATATTTTCAGAGACCTGACAACAGACTTATGCCCGACAAGGACACAAAGTGTACATCCTGTCCACAAATCCCAGATCCGAGCTGTCTTATCTGTACTTCCGCTCACAAGATATTTGCTGTTGAACATAAAAGTCCACACTCCCCCCTTGTGCCCGATAAATGTCCTTATAAGCCTCCCGTTCATTCCAAATATCTTTATGGTCTGGTCGTCCGAAGAGCATATTATCCTGTCCCGATCTATCTGCATAAACGTGAGGTCAGACTGGTTTGTCTCAAAATCAATGCTCCTTTCATTCTTAGAACGAGATATGTTCCTCATCAGTGTATATTTATTCTTAATCTCTTCAATGTATCCGGCAATACTTGAATGCCTTCCAGATGTAAAGAATCTCCACAATGAGAAGTCATTTCTTAGCTTTATATAAAGGAGAGAATTACATCCCATTAGCCTCTTTATATGCTTCACACTCAGATGGGCAATGAGCCTTGGAATCAATTCTTGAGGAAGGTTCAAAACACCATATCGATTCTTATCTGGCTTTGCCTTCTCTTTGTTGTTCATTACACCTCAAGGGCTCATCTAGGAGAATCTGAATTTTGCAAGTTCATCTAAAAGGATGGGAAAGGGTATAGGGATACCACAGTGTTTTTATTATTATTGGAGAATACCAATCCTGCAGCTTGTACATATATCGCCATTGGCGTTGTTGATGAAGCATAATAGGCATGTTTTTGCGTCAGGTCTTATTTCAAGAGCGTCATGGCAGAACACACCCTCAGGAAGCTCATAATCATCTTCAGGATCTGTCTCCTCAATCGCCTTTTCGATAACTTTACTATTTCCACCTTCCTTCTTGAGCAATAAAGCCAACTCCTTTGCTTGCTTTAGGTTTCCATTCTTTCTAAACACCATGATGGCTGTGGATGAGGCTAGAATATGATGTTCCTTTTCAAGTGGAAGTTCGGAAAAGTACTTGGCCATCATAATATTCTTTAAGGGAGACTCGGTCTTCCTTCTTATTCTCTCAACACCCAGACCCGAGAGATAAGATCCAATCTTTCTTCTTTCTTCTACAAAAGCTTCACCGGCATTGTTGCCACAAATATAGGTCGCAATCTTCACAATCCCTGCCCGGAAGGCCTCAATTGCCTTTCCAAACTTTCCTTCTGTCGTCAGAGATAGCCCTTTTTCTATTATCCTGCCTAAATCCTCAGAGGTCTCATAATGGCTATTCTCATCCAGGGATTTCTCGTCGACAGGAAGATTCTTGGCTTTATGCTCTTCTTTCATCTCAGGTAGGTTCGGAAATACTTCATCTTCTGATAAAGAATGGGCTTTGCCATGCCCATCTTCCTCCCACAAAACTTCTTTTGAGGCTGGTAATTTAGATTCAAGAGAATCAGATGCTTCCAATTCTGTGTGGCTGCATTCTTCATCCTCAGAACTCATCCCCCTCCTCTCGTTTCCGTCTTCATACCTACTAATCAGTCCAATCTTTCCGAAGTACTCTACATCCTCCAAGTACATCATGATCATGTTTTTTGTTACAGAATCCACCTTATCTACAAGCCTCTTGACCTTCTCATCATTCTTCGAGCATACATAAAGCATAAACAGCATGTTCCATTCCTTTATGCTTTCAAGGCACTTTTCTGCTATGTCTACTCTACACTCTCTAATGGCTGCATCCGCAAGCCTTCTGTTCATGTCTGCGTCTCCTTCCTGCATGCAATACTCCATACACTCATCTAGCCTCATATCACTAAGGCATAGCTCAAATCGCTGCTTACCGTCCTTAATGTATGGAAGAGCCAGTGCTCCTTTCTTCTGCTTGACAAGATACGAAAGAGGGGCAAGCCCTGGCATCATCCCTTCTTCAATCAGAGAGGTAACGTCTCCTCCTGTAAGAACGGCCTTCTTGAATCTTATCTCCGTGAAATCCACATCAGTGCATTCAATCCCATCGTCAGACAAGAAGTAAACAGTCTTTCCTCCTTCAAGAGCAAATGGAACTATTGGCTTCTCAACACTCTTCAATACACCCGAGTCTTCAAATGCATATTTGAGGTGTCTATAGGTTGCATAGATGAAGATATCTTCACAGAAAAACCCATCGACAACAGAAACTATCTCATTAACACTGTTTACAGGATTCAAGTCGAGGTCATAAATCAGAATGTCATTACTCCCAATAAACGATATTCTGTCACTGGAACAAGCCACCTTTACTGGGTTGAAGGGAACACTAAATGATCTTTCTTCCCCTTCAACAAAGCACATAGCAACGCTTCTTCCATTAACCAAGAAAAAGAACTCGTCATTCCCTCTAAACAACCTCCCCTTAGAAGAAGAAAGAAGGCTTCTGCTTCTTGAATCCAGACCTCCCCTGTAAGTCCCATCCCCATTCCTTATAATTAGCTCCACATCTCCATTTGAGTTTCTAAACAACACACCTTCCCCAGCTTCCCCCAAAATGACCCTTCCTTCCTTGAGAACATCAAACCTACCGCAATACTGGACAAGAAGATAAGGTCTTTTGGAACAAATAGAAATCATATCTTTTTTTAGCTTGAAAAGTATCTTTTCAGTTTTGAAATCACTGAAGTAAATCTTGGAGTCCTTCAAATAAAAGAAGCCTTCATCGTCTACACAGACAATCTTGGGTTCGGAATAAAGATACACTTCAAATCCGGAATCATGGCCTGCTGCATATAAGTTCCCCTTGTTAGCTACACACCAATACCTCCCTTCTGTGCGGCACTCAATGGACTTCCTGCTCTCTGTATTATATATCGAAAATAGCCCATCTTCGCCAGAGCTCAATATATACTTTCTATCACACAAAAGACCTGTCACAGGCCCTTGATGGTTGTACATGACTTCTTTTTCCCAAACAGACGTTTCAGTCCACTCCCAGCATTTGATGTCTCTATCGTCTCCTCCGCTGACGAAAATCTCATCCTTGACTGCTATTGAATTGATTCCCCTGTCATGCCCGTCTACAATCTGCTTTACAACTATGTCGGGCAATAATGAATTCTTTTTGTTTCCCTCCTTTAATCCCTTGCAATCCCAGATCCTTATGGATTGATCCAGAGACCCGCTCACAATAGACTCCTCTCCTAGAAATCTGGCTGCCATAACATAGTGGCAATGCCCTCGGGCTGTTGCAAGGAGCTTTCCTGTTAGCATATTCCACACCATTATTGTTTGGTCATCAGATGCACTAAGAATCCACGGCTTTGTTGGATGAAAGTCCAACGACCTAACAAAGTCCTCGTGCCCCTTCAGCTTGTTTGTAATTCTCCTTTCAGTGTAGCTCCACACCCTTATGATCTTATCATCTCCCCCGCTCACAAAGAAGTCTCCTCGGGGGTGAAATAACACAGCCCTTACAGACCCGTCATGGTCAAGAAATTCATGGATGCAAACACCCATCTGATAATCCCATGCCCTTATAGATCCACTATGGTGGCCAGAGATCACCACTGGTTTGTTTGGATGAAAGCTGAGACTCTTTACCCTTGACGTCTCCTTCTCCATGATCCTTTTGATCTCTTTCGCTGTCATAAGCCCTTCCTGTGTTTATTTTTTGAAATATTTTCCTTGGACCTGAAAAAAGACAAGATGTGCAGACAATTCCAACAAGTTTTAATCACATAAATCGCTTGGATCCTTCTTGTTTGTGTTATGCATCATCTTCTCAACAACCTCCCTGGCCTCTGGATCTAGCATGCTTATATCGGCATGCTTATCCTCAGCTAGTTTCTGAACATCAACGCTTTCAGACCCTACTAACAAACTGTCCCACCATTCGTTTCTTTTTTTTGTTATATTGATATCAACTGAATCTCCATCAATTACCCACCACAAGCTGGAGGAATCCACCTCGTGAAGGAACTCTCCATCCATTATTACTTCTTCCTGCATCTTCATAAGTACTTTCTTTCCTACAACGCTGATCTTTACCGAGTTGCTGTCAGCACCTTCGGCCATTGGAAATCGGATGTTGATTTCGTTTAGCTCCTGATCCCAGGTGTACTTTGCTTCTAAAGGCATTTTTGTCGGGGTTGCCGTGAGGAAAATTTTGCTTTAGAAATCTCGTCAGAAGATAAGAAAAGTGAGGATTCCAAAAAGACGATTTCACACATAACCAACTCCCATGGATTAAAGTATTTATTCAGGAAATTCGAAAGTCAGGTTTTTAATTCAAAAAAGAATCCAGGTGAAATCCCTGGATGATTTCAGAAACTAAAAGTAGCAACTGTTTTAGCAATGATTCTCATGATACTGGCCCAAAGTATACGTATGAGTTGGTTAAGGATATCTCGGATTTTGTCATGAAGAGGATACATATAAAACCAAAAGTAGGTATTATTTGTGGATCTGGAATGGGAGCAATACCAGAAGAGTTAACGGAAAAGATTGAAATTGAGTACAAAGACATACCTCATTTTCCAATTAGCACTGTTCAAGGCCATGATGGTAAGCTTGTTACAGGTAAGATGGGTAGAGTAGGGGTTATATGTATGCAAGGAAGGTTTCATTATTATGAGGGCTACCCTCTATCTACATGCTCCATGCCTGTCAGAATGATGAAGCTGTGTGGAATAACACACATTATAATCAGCAATGCGGCTGGAGGGATCAATCCTGAGTACAATATTGGTGATATCATGATTATAAAAGACCACATTAATTTTCTTGGATACGGTGGAGTCAATCCGCTGGTTGGAGCCCATGACGAAAGGTGGGGGCCGAGGTTTGTCCCTGTGAACAAAATATACTCTGAAGAAGTGCGGGAAAAGGCCAAGATTGCAGCTCAAAGACTCGGTATTGAATCCTTCCTTAGGGAGGGTGTTCTCTCCATTACTGGAGGGCCATGCTATGAAACTGTTGCCGAGTCGCGTATGCTACACAAGCTCGGTGCTGATGCTGTTGGAATGAGTGTGATAGGAGAAGCCATTACTGCATGTCAGGCTGGGCTCACGGTGTTTGGATTCAGCCTTATTGCAGGTAAATGCCCCATGGAGTATAGTGTAGATTCTGAAATAAGCCATTCCGAGGTGGTTGAATGTGCACAAAAGCGTGAAATATTGATTAGGAAATGGGTATTGGAACTTGTTGGAATCCTAATTCCAAGCCTGCCATCCGATATATGAGCATTATTCTCCTAAGCTGGAAGGTCTTACATGCTTTGGAATACCTCAAGTCACATCCAATCAATGTTTTACTAACGCCTTAAGATACTCTACTAGAAATTATAAGATTAAAAAAATATACAATTGATGCTTGAAAATTTATTTACATCACAGGATTGAGAACAATGCTGTAGTTACAACTGCTCCAAACGCCATAAGACTCTTGGCACCCTTCTTTTTCTTTGAGGAAGATGTATTGTTCTTGCTCTTATCACCAGTGGTTCCTGCAGCGCCGGCCTTTGACTTGTCACCAGTAGTCCCTGCAGCAGCACCGGTGGTTGCACCTGCAGTCTTTGGTCCACATGTTTCAGATGTAGAGGATACTACAGTGCCATTAGAAGGTCCAACCTCTTCAACAGCTACAAATACAGGTGTAGAAGAAGGAACGAATCCTCCCTGTTGAGGAGGAATATACTGGGTTGGTGCAATACCGGCTGCTGAAGGAATACTCTCTCTTATTTCTTCTGCTGTGGGTGCGTATACAGGCACCGCTCTATTTTCCCCAGCTACAGGCTGCCAGACCACCTCAGAATGCCCGGCTTGCTCTGTGATGTATACAGGTTCTCCACTGGCTACAACACTGAAGTTTCCTCCAACCTCTGCAATCATGAGGCACCCGTTGTTGGAACTCTTCCCTAGATCCTGTAAGACATTGCTGGGTATGTAAAGCCCCCCGGCTCTTATGATTCCTACTCCAGCTACTGCCAAAATGTATAAGCTCTTTCTAACCATAAGCTTGATGTTTACACTCTATTTATATTTAGAAATGGAAAGAATTTCTGTTCTTTTTCCATATATGGAATTCATTATACTACTTCAAAAGTTAGGTATATTTTATTTTAAAGTTGTCAATTACACCGGTAATGGTCTGTCTATTGTCTTAATATATCAAACACAAGTTGAATCCCGTCACGAAATGGCAAATAGAAATTCTAGGGTATGCCTGGGTTCATATTGTTTTCAAATGCATCCAGGCCCATATGATAGAAAAGATTGAATCTGATACGATATACGACTTGATAACCAATGGAGGTGAGATGACCCTTGAAGCTCTAAGGCAGTTCATAGACATTGTGTTTCTTGGCGTCAATCCCCAGCAAGTATCCCAATTGACACAGTCTCTGGGAAACACTGTAACAAGGGATGACTTCAACGCTGTCCTTGATGCCTTGGTGCTTAAAAAGGCGGGATGTTTGGATATATTCAATTCATGGGACAAAGGTCAGAAGGGATACATAGATAAATCAGATGTAGAGACAATTCTTAAGAGCTATGGGCTTTCGTTTAAAGAAAGCTATGTCGACACGATGGTCGGGATATTCAAGGATAAAAGAATGAAGTTTGATGACTTCAATAGGCTCTACAAGGAGGAATAAACCATAAAGTATGCTTAATTTCTGTTTAATGAAATCTAAACTCAGAATCCAAAGAAGTCACTCAGAATCCCTTTTTTTCTGATTTTCAAGCTTTTATGGTCTGAGCAGAAGTTGAATCCAATTCGGATCTTGGAGTCAATTTGCTGGAAGGTCTTTCCATCATACAACTCAAATTCCATCTCACTGAATCCTTCCGACAGGTTATGCAGCGAAAACTCTGTATAACATAGAAGAGAATTCCTCTCAGAAACATTATAGTCACATATCTGGATTCCAAAAACATCCTTTGTCTTGTCTATTTCCATGATGAACGACTCATTGAAAACAGGATCGTTGTTTTTACGTACAGGTTTAGTAGTATATACTTTAGTCTCGTTGACAAGTATCTTGCAGTAGGTGTCAATAGGACTTTGTATTGCAGATCGGATGCTGCTTGCGTTCTTGATGTAGACTTCAAGATACCCGGCCTTCAGCATCGAAGGCGGCTTGTAAGAGCATCCTTGAATCTTCACTTCCATATCGACAGACAGTCCTTGCTCGTTAAGCATAACCCTCTCTTTCAAGGCCCTCTTTGGAATTATACACTGTCCTAATGTCAAGTTGACCGTTTGGTCCCCACTCTTAACAACAGCATATATCTCTTCACTCCCAGAAATAAATGTAAACGTATCATTGAGCCACCCACCTCTGGTAAACCCAGAAGCCCCAATTATTCCGTACTTGTTACTAAACTCAATGAACATTTCTTGGCTATACCCATAGAACTTTCCAAACTTAGCCTGGACAACCTTAACATTGTTCTTCTCCTCAGGTGCTCCAGAATAGTCCCGAAGAGCTTCCTCCTCAATGCTGAGGGTCAAACTTATCTGCTCGTCAAGTAGAAAGGCCTCCTTTCTAACCCCTTCACAGGGCCTACAGCTTATCCTGTCTTCACCAATAAACACATCTCCATTTATTGTCTCTTTATAGAGCCTAAACCTCAAGGTGTCCTGGGATTGAATAGGAACATAAGCTATCCTCTTTATCGGCAATGCAGACGTAAATGTCTCCATTCTGAAGCAGTCTGTGTTGGTCTCAAATATTGCATAGTAAACCCCCTTTTCGTTCATGGAATCCACCGAGATCTTTAGCATCCTTTCATAGTTTACAAACCTGGTTGCCTTATCAACCATATCTACATAGTCAATCGTAAATGAAAGCTCCATCCGCCCGCTGTGGGCATCATTGAGCTTGTACTTTTCCTTTTTATTGAAGTGAATGTCTCGAACAGGAATCGACACTCTTCCTATCACCTCGTTGGTTTTGTCATTCATCACACATATAGACACAACGTCGACTTGGATATCTCTGCAAAAGAATGTGAAATTCTCATTATAGATGGGAGAGTTGGTTCCAAATATTCTTTTCGACTCAAACACATAGAAGGTATTCTTTGAAGAGGGTAGAAGCCTGGTGGTTGTTGTCTCAAGCCCCGGAATAATGTTTGTGATAACATTTCCTGTTGTCTTGATTATCCCGCTCACCATCATTGCCGTCACACTCACTGTGTTCTCAATAAACCCCATCGGAATACTAGACTCCTCTCGATTAATGGGAGATACAATTACTGTACAGAATGTGGAGTATGTATATGCCTTCGATGCCTTATTCCCTCGAAGATCTTCAATCCCTACCAGCATCATCTTGATTATCCCACTGTTGCTTCTTTCTTTTTGTATAGGATAGAATTGCAGGTTTGTGTTCATAAAGGAGTAAGTCTGCTCATCCTTAACTAGTCTTGTCTTGTTGAAAAAGGTTCTTCTAGGATTATACATCTCATTTCTTACAGACTCCTCGATCTTGTCCAGAGGGAGGTTCTTTAGGAATATCGATCCATTCCTTCTCCTTGTTTTTCTCGATTCACTTCTTAGCGATAGCCCTATTCTTGAGTCAACATTTTCAATAGGCATATAGAAATGCTCATTGTATACAATCCCTTTTCCTTCTCCATACCTTGTTTGATATCCAACCCTTCCGTCCACATCTATTTCAACAGCTAGCCTCTCATCATCTTCGTTTTCCAGGTTGAGTATCTGAAGACACACAACTCCAATTACCTTTCCTTTATCCTTCGAAATCTTATCAACATCAACCTTGATGGAGTTTGGATTGACAACGGTCGTTGCCAACGAAGAGTTGATTATACTTCTTATCCACCTACTAAGCCCAGGGACGTCCATTATGTCCACCATCTTCAATGGAACAAGCGTAAAGTCAAATTCAGGGCTGTCCATTAGGCATACCTCCACATCTTTGACAAATACATTCTTAGAAAATAGGTTTGCAACAATCCGCACACGCCCTTTGAAAAACAGCTCCTTAACAAGAATCGGGAGATTAATCCCTATTCCATTTCTTGTTCCAACTCTGGCAGACAACTGAATCTTGGAGTTCCAGTTCTTGCTGTCATTTTCAAGATAGTTAACCACATCCCTACTTATCTCTAGTGGTACAAAGGCAACCTCTATCTCTATTGCAAGGGTGTTACCATCCATGCTTATGTACGATATTCCTTCTATAAACGGTGATCGGCTCCCAAGGGTAAACTCCGTCAATCTTAACCCGTTCAGAAATGGAGGCGTGACCTTCAGAAGCTCGTTGTTGACCTGCTGATATATCTCTGCAGAAATCACAGGCTCTGCAACTTCCCAAAACTTTTTAACAACATAGTTCAACCATTCAACAGTTTCTCCATTGTTCCTAGCCTTTTCCTTCCTTGCGCTGTGGTACACTAGTGATTTGAGACTTCTGGTAAATCTTTCAACCTTTCGATTATAGACAAAAAAAACCACATATCCAACAAAGAATAAGTTAACAAAGCTAAATCCCATCTTCCCTATTATGTACCCTGCAACCGATCCTACAAAGATCAACCCTGGGATCCTTATGTAAAAAAAAAGCCCCTCCTTCGGCTCCATATCCAAAATGTCTTGGAATTCCTCAACACTTCTTTCATGAATATTTAGCTGGGGTTCAACAATTCTTTTTGGAATGTCTTCAGGGAGAAGAGGCTTCGATAGTTTTTCTCTTCTGTTGCTGGTTGTCGAAAACTCTTCCATTCGGGGTTTGTTTCAATGGATTTTATTTTCTTTCAAAACATCTTGATGACCTGAAATCGACGAATTGAAATCACTCCATCATAACATGGCCAGATTTGTTTCAGCTCGACATCTTGGACTACCTGTCATTTTTCATAATTAGAATGGTCGTAGATGGGCCCTAAGTTCACAATCTCCTTGCAGAGGGGAGCAAATCTGATATCGAGCTTACACATGATAGTTAGAACCATGTTGACAAACTTAGTATGCCCTGTCCACATAAAGAACCCGCTCTGGAAGTTTATGGAATGCTTTACAATTAATGTCAGCTTCAGGTGGCTACAGTTGATTATTTCCGAAAGACTCACACTTGCAGTGATATAGGATTTGTCATGCTTCACAAACCTCTTGATTGCTTCTCTTAGCAGCTCTATCTTCCTTGCAGGTGTATTTGATGATATCAGTAGTGAGAGTTTCCATTGCTGTTGTCTCGATCTTCTTATGTTCAAAATGGCCTTTTCTCTTATGACAAGGTTTGGGATTATTGTCTCCATCCCGTCCCAGGTCTCAAGGACAGTGCTAAACAACGAGATTCTTCGAACTACCATGTTCTCTCCATCTATATGTACTCTGTCTCCTGGGTCATATGGATGGGTGTATATGATAAACAGAAACGACTCTACCGTCATCTTAACCATTGGAAGTGCAGGAAGTATCACCATTGGAAATATTAGCTCCAGTAGTAGCGGATGGGTTTTGAAATATATGGCAATCACCAGGTACCCAATAACGCTTTCAAGAAGAACAAGAATAAACCATATGACATTCAAGAGCCTTCTGTTATCCATAATTGTTTTGTACAGATTGTCCCTTTCTCCGTTAATTTGCCTCCCATTCTCTTTGAAAATGTCATAGTTTATCCCCTCTCCTCTTTTGAATGCAATCAGTGAATATGCCTCCTTTGCATTTTTCTCTCCAAATTGTGTCCGAAGAGATTCCACTGTTATTAACCCAGGTCTTGCCGGCATCTTCTTGGCTCTTTTCTTGTCCGTTTCCAGAAAGGCCCACTCCTCGCCATTAATATCCTTCCAATCAATCCCAGGCTTACAATCCGTTCCAGGCATTATCTCGGATGGATTCATTGCATATGTTCTTTCTTTTCTCTTTTCCTCTGGAGTAAGTACCACCTTTTGTATTTTTAGAAGATCCCTGGCCGGCCTCCCTTTTTCACTAGTAAACTCGTATGTCTCAGGTTTGATCGAGGTTCTTTGCCTTCTTATTTTCCTTTTTGACCCTGTATTGCCTTCAAGGGCATCACTATCAGAGACATGCTCCTCATAGGGATTTTGGTCATTCCACAGATCAAAGAGTTCATTAAACTCTATAGGCTTTGGACGGCCTCTACTAAAATACTCGTCAACAGATAGATTTCTCTCCAGATCCACGGCTTGTGGGCCCTCTCCAGAGTATATAATGTACTTCTCTAGCCTGAGAATATCCATGAAGTTCCCCGTAAGTATTTTGTTTTCAAAGCTCTTCTTCGATGATTCGTAGAGATATGCTCTTATAAGATCTATGGAAAGGAGAAAGCCTCCCAAAACAAAGGGCCCGTGAGTGCATCTAGTCGTAGTCAAAGACGATGTCGTGTATATTAGAAGCCCTCCAACTGCAAATTTTACAAGTCTGGAGAGAACATTTGTAACTACACTAAGATGCCTGCTCCTAATGAAGTTTCTGGTTCTAAAGTAGATCACAAAGGAGATGGTATTGAGAGGTATATACAGTACGAATTTTGTCATTCTTCCCATAAGAATGAATCCCAAAAGTAAAGCAGCCAGAGCCAAGGATGAAAGAAGACTTGAGTAGCATCCCATTCCTTTAGGGTGTGACCAATCATGTATTATGATGTATCGGGGAAACAGCCAGGGGCATTTATAACTGGCTTGTGGAGGCCACGGCAGACCCGTATTGGCCCCTATAAGAGGAATAGGGGCTCTTCATTATATGTTTCTAGATGAATGCAGAGAAAGTCTATAGCCTTGTGTGCATCAGTTTGTTTACAAAAAGACTGGGTAAAAACAAAAACAAAGGTAGCCCCAAATGGCAGGTACAATGAACGAGAAAGACTTTTCGACGGCTATTCTTGAGTCAAAGACAAAGAACACATTAATAGTCTGCGACAAGGACTGTAACAAGCTCCGCACATATCAAGTGGGACTCCACCCCACAACTCTCAATGAGCTAGAGCTCTTTGAGTCTGACTATGTCAGGATACTAGGAAAGAAGAAGGCAGAGCTTATATTCAGCACAGTTGCACTTGAAAGTGTTCCACCTAGACACATTTCGGTTGTTAGGGACGGAAGATTCAATCTGAGGGTAAGAATTACTGACACCGTGAAGTTGTACAGAGTGGATAAGGATATTCCTGTGGTTAGCAAGTTCAACTTCCTCCCGATTAAAGACACGGTTGAGAAGATTAGAGGAAACATTTTTGACGAGTTTGTCAGGCCTTTTCTGGACTTTAACTTCATGCCTCTCACTGTAGGGTCTATTTATGGAGTTAGCTCTGGACTTGGAAGGGTTGAGTTCAAGGTTACTAAGATGATAGATGCACAGGACATGGAGATAAAGCATGGGTCAGTAACATCAACAACATCTGTGTACTGTGATGAAACGATTTCAAGGGAAGAGGTTGAAAAGGAGTTCAACATGGTTGGATATGATGATGTCGGAGGATGTAGGGCACAGATGGCCAAGATCAGGGAGTTAGTTGAGCTCCCTCTTAGGCATTCACAGCTATATTCTAAGATAGGGGTGAAGCCACCTAAGGGGATTCTGCTTTATGGGCCTCCTGGAACAGGGAAGACCTTAATAGCAAGGGCAATAGCAAATGAAACAGGGGCCTTTCTATTTCTGATCAATGGGCCTGAGATCATGTCTAAAATGGCAGGAGAGAGTGAGTCGAATCTGAGAAAAGCATTTGAAGAGGCAGAGAAGAATGCACCATCGATTATCTTTATCGATGAAATAGATGCGCTTGCTCCAAAGAGAGAGAAGTCCCAGGGAGAGGTGGAAAGAAGAATTGTGAGTCAGCTATTAACTCTTATGGATGGAATGAAGGCAAGAAGTAATGTGATAGTCCTCGGAGCCACCAATAGACCCAATTCTATTGATTCTGCGCTGAGAAGATATGGAAGGTTTGACAGAGAAATTGAGATTGGGGTACCCGATGAAATGGGGAGGCTCGAGATTCTTAGAATCCACACCAAGAACATGAAGATGTCTGAAGATGTTGATTTGGTAGCAATAAACAAAGAGCTCCATGGATTTACTGGGAGCGACTTGGCATCATTATGCAGTGAGGCAGCATTGCAACAAATTAGGGAGAAACTTCCCCAGATAGATTTGGATGATGAAAAGATCGAGGCAAAGGTCTTGGCTTCACTGAAAGTTACTAATGAAAACTTCAGATATGCGATTGAACATACGGATCCGAGCTCCCTTAGAGAAACCGTTATCCAGTCTCCTAATGTCAAGTGGTCTGACATTGGAGGACTTAAACAGGTTAAACAAGAATTGAGGGAAACTGTCCAATATCCTGTGGAATATCCAGAAAAATTCATAAAGTTTGGAATGACACCTGCGAAAGGAGTTTTATTCTATGGGCCTCCTGGATGTGGTAAGACACTTCTTGCTAAGGCTGTTGCCACAGAATGTAAAGCCAACTTCATATCCATAAAAGGCCCTGAACTCCTTTCCATGTGGGTTGGGGAATCCGAGTCCAATATTAGAGACTTGTTTGCCAGAGCAAGAGGTGCAGCGCCATGTGTTCTGTTCTTTGATGAAATAGACTCGATTGCCAAGGCAAGATCCGGAAACGATGCAAGCAGCGGTGTTACAGATAGGATGTTGAATCAATTATTATCTGAAATGGACGGAATAAACCTGAAGAAGAATGTGTTTGTGATTGGAGCAACCAACAGACCCGACCAATTGGATAGTGCCTTGATGAGGCCTGGGAGACTTGATCAACTGGTTTATATTCCACTCCCCGACCTTGAGAGTAGGATATCGATATTGCAAGCCACACTTAAGAAAACGCCCCTCTCCCCCGACATTGATCTTCGGCAGCTTGCAGAGGCTACAGATAAGTTTTCTGGAGCTGATCTTTCTGAGATATGCCAGAGGGCATGCAAGTTGGCCATAAGAGAAACGATTGAATATGAGCTTGAACAAAAAAAGAAGGGGTCTGAAATGATGGATCTTGAGGACCCAGTCCCGTATCTGAGGCCTGACCATCTTGTACAGGCTTTGAAGACTGCAAGACGTAGTGTGTCTGAAAAGGAAGTTGAGCGGTATGAAGCATTTGCAAGGTCAATGAAGGTTGATGTCCGGAAGTTTGATAAAAAGAAAGATTTCAACGACGATGGGCTTTATGAATAAATGAATTAGTTGTTTTGTTGGATCCAGATGTACCTATCTTTTTTATCTTTTTTCTTGTACCCATGATTGATACAGTTCACCTGGTATTCACTGGTCCTAGTGGTTCTGGAAAGTCCACAATCATAAGCCATATTTTATCCAAGTTTCCATTTAAATTTTCGGTGTCTCATACAACCAGGGCACCTAGAAAAGGAGAAGTAAACGGAAAGGATTATCATTTTGTATCAACGAAGGAGTTTGAGGAGATGGTGAGGAACCAAGAATTTCTTGAGTATGTTCAGTACAATGGAAACTATTATGGAACAGGGGTATCTCAGCTGAAAAACTCTCAAAAGACTGTACTTTTGGATTTGGAATATGAAGGTGTCTTGTACTGCAAGAAGAACTATCCTAATTTTGTTATTCTATACATTCATTGTGATAAGAATGTTGCACGCGAAAGGTTAGAAAAGAGAATGGGGAATAAGTCCGAAAAGGATATAGAAGCACGGATGAGCTTGTATGAAGCATTTAATTCGATCAAGGACAAATGTGACTATGTCATTGATAATACACATTCTCTTGAGAAGTCTAAGGGAGAAGTCGAGGAGATTATATCCAAGACAGTCAGGTTCTAACGAAAACTTTTGTTATTTTCCCTTGCTTCAAGAAATCAGAAGTTGTCCAGAACAGAAAGTGCATTTTTCAGAACCTCTATATCTTTGGCAAGGCCATCTCTTTCATGAATAATCTCTGGGCATTCTGCAAGTACTGAGTCTTCAATTTCCAATTCTGTGAGAGTATTGAGAAGTTTAGAGTCTATATGCTCAAACAAATAATAATGAATTGCTTTGAAAACATAGTTTCTCATTTCTTTGTTCACAATCCCAAGATAAGATCCTGCCAATTCCTTTATAACCCGTACTTCGAAGGCTTTATCTTCAAAGGATACCTCCTTAGAACTAAATATGGCACTTAGAATTCCAGGGTCACTCCTCGGCATCTTTCGTAGAATCAAGCTCAAAGCCTTTGATTTATCAAAGTCCGGATGGTCTACATTGATGTATGAAGACTGGATAGATGAATACATATCTATGTTGTCCAGAAGCCTGTTTCTCTGCCCTTCCATACATTCGCAGGTCACAGCGTTAAGCTTTTTTGATAGATCCCCAAATCTGGTACTTGATATGCTCCAAATCTCCTCAATCAGCAGCCTTACTGCAGTGTTTGTCTTTTCCAAGTATGTTTCTGTCATTTTCCTTATGTTTTCTCTTACCACATCATAAAAGACAGCCTCCGATATAAATATGTATGAAGACTTTCTGAGCCGGGAGGATAGATCTTCAAAGCTAGGAAGGAACTCATCTCTTTCAAATGTTTCTTTGAGATCACTCAAAAAGTTTGAGCTGCCTCTGGAAAACACCCTGCTACTAGGCTTGATGTTCTTGAATATTCCCAGAACCACCTGATGATAGGCTAATACAAGAGATCTCTCGCTCTTCATGGCGCTTCCAAGACCTAGTTCATGAAGTCTTTCAGCCTTACCATTCAATTGGTTTCTTATTGCTGTTTTGATCCCTGGAATCGACTCGACCGCCATCTTGTAGAATATTTCATTTAACTTCTTCATCAGATAGTTAGACCCTATATTTGGATACACCTTGCCATACAAGGGGCTTTCTTTGAAGTACATGGATTCTTTAAGAATGGCCTCATGCACAGAGACTCCTTTAGAAATGTCCTGGTACCCTCTGTTTATGACACCTACGTATCCAAGGGCTAACCTTGGGTTCCTGTTGCAAAGGATGTTCAAGCAATCTGTCCCTTCGTCCATTAGGTCTATTTTTGTAACTACACCCAAAGTTCTTTTCAGCTGAGGATCGGCCTTTCTTGCAACTTTTAATGCCTCGTTCGTTGCTATGTCTGCATTGGCGTTTATGAGAGCTAGGATTATTGAGGATTCCTTTTCTGCATAGTTGAGAGCCATATTCTCGATCTGGACCTCGATATCTTCAGGCTGTTCACCTATAGGAACCTTTATGAGCCCTGGGAGATCAACCAATGTCATATCCAGTGTGTCCTCAAGGTTTACGAATGCAGTTATTGGAGTGCTGCTAATCCCTTTATTGTCTCCACAGATCTCCACCATTCTTTTTGTAATTATAGACCTTGCTGCTGTGAAGTCATAGACAGGATTTGCAAGATGATCAAACACCACGCTCTCGGCCTCATCTCTACATCTTCTGAGATGCAGAACAACGGGACATCTTGTTACCAGGTTTGTACCTCGAGGAAGAATCTCTCTTCTTATTATTTGCTCGAGCACACTGCTTTTTCCACTGCTCTGGGACCCAATAGCTATTATCTGTGGCATGCTAATCCCAAGACATGACACTGTGGAGGCAATGTCCTGAAGAATGTGTATCTTCTTGACATCTGTCATGGGGTAATCCATGCTTGGGTATCCAGCCTTATGGTCAAAACGGGCCTTATATTACTAGAACACCCAGGCCAAACCCTGAAATGAGGGAGTCGATTTTCACTGGGAAGATTCCTATATCCTGCCAAAACGAAGAGATTCCGTGGCAGATGAAGTGTGACATTGTGCGTTCGGACGACGAAGTTGAAATCAGGCTTATTGATACAAGAGACATCTTTACATTCTACTTCAGTACTATATCTCCAGGTGATTTCTACGTGATGAAGAGGGAGCAGGACATTATTGTTGACTATGAGAAGTTTGTGTCAATTCTTGTGAAAATGTTTCATAGCTTACATAGTGGAAAGCTAAGGGGGCTGTTTTCAAAGGAAACAAGCAAGTTTCTGTTTGTCGAAAAGGACGAGTTTAGAAATATAGTAAGGCTAGAGCTGAAGTTTTCAAAGCCGGATGAAACTCATTACAAGATGTATCTGGGGGACATGATAGGACGGATGGAAGCAGACAATGTGAGACTCATCAAGGAAAATGGAATGCTTCGGGACAAGTGCAAGAATGGAGAGAAGGAACTAAGAGATAGGATTAGGTATTTGGAGGAGGAAACAATGGCATCACAGAAAAAGATGAATAAGCTATACAGGGATAATGAGGTGTTAAGTGAGAAGGGGAACTCTCAAAGGGAGGAGATAGAGAGGTTAAACAGCAAGATCTACGATCTGGAGAAGGAGAATGGAAGGTTGCAATACGAGCTAGACAAGCTCAAATTACAGGATGTAAAGAATTCGGGGCTTGTTGAGAGGGCCCAAAAGATAGAGGATGAAAACAAGATGCTCAAAGAAGAGCTAAGTACAGCAAACGAGATAATAAGAAAATACAATGATGAGATTACTCAAATGAAGAATGCAATAAATGGAAATGAAGATGCAACTAAAGACCTCCGATTGAACAACAAGAAATACAAATCTGAGATTGAGGACCTCAAAAAGAGAGTGAAGGGGATGGAGGAAAAGATGAAAAAGATAAAAGAGGAATTGAAAGCAAAGGAGACGAGGTTGAAAGACCTTGAGACAGAAAATATGGGACTTGTAAAAAACCTTGAGAATGCACAAAATGTTTACAGCCATTTCTATAGCAAAAACATTGAAAACCCCACATCGATAAACTACTCAGATAATGAGAGTATTTTCTCTATAGCTCCTGAGTCTTCACCCCACTAGGCCTTTACCTTGTTGAATATTGTAAAGATCTATTTAATAAAGTTCTTTTTCCTAAGGATAAAAGACCCATCTCGATGATTGATTGGCTTGTGGAAAACAGTCTTGGGTTATTTCCTGTTGTTCTAGAGAGGCAGCTAAAGAAAATGGAAGTAGGAAAGAAGAGCCCGGTGCTTGCCACAATAGAATGCTCTGTGTCCTATATACTATCTATTGTGCCTAGGAACAGAAAGCCAGAGCCCGGTGTCCTATTAGTAAGGGGATACCAGTGGAGTAATGGGATTAGGTCCAGGATAAACTTTTCTGTAGACTTAGATGCAGGAAGTTACTATACAATTAAGGACATCCAAAAAACCAGGATGACGAACTTCTCATGCCACGACAGGACAGTGCTTTACATGTTTATCATAAACATGGATGGGAAGGCGAGTATGTATTATGCCCAGTTTAGTGGGTGCCATTCCCTTAGAGACCCAAAAGTACCTCTGTACAGAGTTGAGCTATTCCATGAAGATGGGTTTTACAGAGTGGACAAGGACCCATCCCATGACATGATACTCAAATCCGTAAACATAAGGAGTAAACGCAAAGGCCTTCTTCATTATTGCTGGAGTAACCAGGGTATCTTGGAAAGGCAGCCTCGAGCCTCATTCGTCCTTGAGACAGAAGAAAAAAAATACAATGTCCATGGATTTTGTTGCATCTTCTGTATTAGGGAGTTTGAATGTATCGATTCCTTAATACTTCACATCAATTACATCCATTCAGGATATAAGTGCATACAAAATGGAAGATCTCTTTTTCTTAAAAGAAATTTCAGTTCTCTGCAAAGCCATGAGGCGCTGGCTTATTTTTCGAGGAAATACAAGAGGAAAGGACTAGAATCAAGGATAGCGCAGGACATTAGTCAAAGGCATGAGAGCCCTGTAAATGGAATATGGTCAATAGAAAACCTTTCGGCTTTAATAAACAAAGGAATAAGATCAAACTCAGGCTTGTCGGAAGACACCCTCATTCTGATGGAAAGATGGAATGTCCTTAGGCTCCATGGAGGCATGCTCATCGATGACATAGCTAGATTTGCAAGGCAAGAAAAAAGAAATCCATCGATAGTAAACTTCCTTCTTGTCCTGTATCACAAGTCTATTGTGAACCCAAAGGAGCTTACAGAACTCATTTATTCTCTATTTGAGGATGACTAGAACACACCTAGGACCTAAAGAACCAATCCATGACATCGTCCATTGTCACATCTCTCCTGAATGCTGATGAACACCCAGGCTTGTATCTGAACTTGAATTTCCTGGAGCCCTTGCTTATGCTGTCTTCCATTCTATCTTCTTCTTTAAGTTTCACATCCGTAATGCTGTACATTTCCATTATCTCTTTCAAATGACTTAAACTTCTTCTATCTGTTCTGTTTAGATCATACTTCCTAAAGTAGGGGAGAATTCTCTCTTTTGCAAGATCATGTATAGGCTCCCTGTAATGCTCCACTCTGTGTATATCGGCCTTCCTGCTATTGCATCCATTGTACTTCGATAGAGTCATGTACCTGAACTCTTCGGCAAGAGTGTCTGCAAGAGACGTGCTTTCACTTATGTCTGCAATCAATCTCATTAGGCTGGTATTATACGGAAATGAGCTATGGCATAGAGATAACACATCGGTGGAATATACATCTTCGTATGTCTTCCACCTCACATGTTTGGTTAGGATGAGTTCCACCGCCCTGTGTCTCGTTATTGGGACTGACTTTCCAATCCTTAGATCTTTTGAGTTTGTCAGTCCCTGCTTATGTATTTGAAGATAGTTTATTATTGCTCTAAAGTCCCCATCAGAGTCTTCTACCAGTTGCGATAAAGCAGAGTTGTCAACATTTACCATCTCTTCCTTGCAGACCCTCTCTATACATTTTCTAACCTCCTCAATCCCTGGTCTCTTGATTTCCATAGTATAAACATCCTCCAGATGCATTTCGTTGGATATCATTACAACAGGATAAATCAACTTTGTAGAGGATATCAGCGTCTCCACATCTACTGATGGGAGACTATCTATCTCATCGATAAGTATAAGATTCTTCTTTCCATTAACGGTCCCATAGACATTTAGTATTTTATCTACACAGCCAGAGCCGTTGGAGGCATTAAATTCAATAAGATTCAGTCCAAATACAGACGAAAGAATATGCACTAATGATGTCTTGCCGGTTCCAGGAGGTCCATTGATTAGAAGAATCCTTCCATGATTGGGATAATCTCTTAGCCACTTGAGGGCTTCATGATGAACACCCCCCTTAAACACCAGGTCTGTGTACTTTTGAGGTCTATACTTCTCGGCCCAAACCAGACTTCTCATTTCTTAGGGTTACTCCTGGCTTACATCCTTGTCGAAAATGCCCATGTTGTTCTGGTATGAAAAATAAAGATCAGCCTCAGGCATTCCTCAAGGAAATCTGTCTTGGGGGAAGTATGTACTCAATCTCTAGCTCCTGAAGAGCCCTGTTCAAAAAAGACAGAAACTTTGTCTTTCTTCGAAGATACAGCTCAAAGTTCTGCCAGTTACTCTTGTATTGCATATAAACCTTCATGTGAAGCTTTGAGGCATCTTCAATGTATTCGTGGTTCAGCATTATGTATTCCGTGTAGTCTTCCGGGTTACTCTTCACAAAGTCTTCTATAAGCTCTTTCAAGCGAATCAGCTTCTTCTGATTCGTCCTGCTGTTTATTTGAATCTTGTGAGATTCTGCCATAATTCCGCTTCTCCTGAGGTTCTTAATCGCTTTCTGTGCAAGCACTGTGTTGAGAATTGTTATGTAGACCCCATCCCACCTATAGAACACAGTTGAAAACACATTCAACTCAGACACCACAAGGTTTTCTTCTATTCCTTCCAGGGTCACAAAAACCCTATCTCCAATGTCGTATGGATGAATGAAAAATAGAAAAATTATACTGCTTATCACACTAGCAGAAAATGAATTTGATATGAACTGTGTTCCAAAGAATGCTGATATCATCCCTATGGTTGTAACTCCTTCTCCCCCAGCCTTAATATACAGCATCGCCAAAATAAGCCCGGCTATTATGACTTTAAGTCCAAATGCAACTTTATCTATAGCAGAGTTCATGTGCTCAAGGTTCTCTTTCAAAAAATGTCTCTCTCTATATGTTCTCTCAATAAAATCCGCAAGGCTGCTTTTGGTGAACCTAAAACCCTCCTCGACACCTATCTCTTTCATCAGAAACTTGAACACTTCCGGGTTATGGAAGTACAACGATAGGTCAGACATGGGCCCAATACCATCCTTCCCTGCCATCTTGCTCGCTTTGATTCCAGCCCTGTTCTTGAGCCTCTGGGATATCTGCATGACACTCCCGCGGATCCCGCTAGAACGTCGCACAAGCCTTTGGAACTCCTTAAGAAGAACTCTTTTTCTTGGTAGATCAAGTTCGTTTGTAGGCTCATTATAGCCGTATAGGTCCTCCATGTACTCATTTATGGACGAGATTGCATCGCTCTTGTACATTATCTCCTGAGACCTGTTAAGTCTTGACCGTTCAATTCCTCTGTTCTTTCTGCTGTCTATGACCCCTAGAAGATTAATGAATGCATCCTCAAGGAGCACTCTCCGGATCCTCTTGATATATACAGAGTAGTTGAAGTTCATTGAAATGGCCCTATGGAATATCTTCACGACACCAAGCATCAAGGTTGCTATCAAAAAGCTACTAAACACATCACTGAGAAACAGGTCTAGCCCCTGTTTGTTATACATACAGCAATCTAGGTCTTTCAGTAGCATCAGAGAAAACCCTAAAGTGAAGATGATTCCTGCAGATATGTGTTCTGAAAGCTCGTTTGTATAGTAGAAAAGCGTGTTCAAACTGTTGGACCTCTTCAGCCCTAGGAAGCTCATCTTAGAGATCACAAAGTTTAGAGCAATAAAGATAAACACACCTAAAGAGCAAGTGAATAGAACATCTCTTGCCCTGATGCTGTAAATGGATTCGTTTCTATCCTTAACATCCACTTGAATGTTCCAGCAACAGACTGCTAATATAGACAAGGAGATGCCTACCAAGAGAATCCATCCTGATCTTTGGTGAAGAGTATCTGCAGCACCGCTTCTTAGCTTCTCAAATGGATCAGAGCTTTCCTCCTTTCCAATCTCGTACTTCATGTCCTCGGTAGAGTAGCTTTCGGACTCGTTATGAATGTAGTTGTGGCTGTCACTGTCCCCAGTGTCAAAGTCGAACTTTGCACTCTTCATGGTCTCATTCATATTCCTTGAGGGTGATTCCTCATCCACAAACATAGGCCATAAAATATTTTATTTCCATAGGCAATCACTTTATCCTACATATCCTCGACTTCCCATCCTGTAGATACACTTTGAATATGTTGTTTGCATTGTCAAACATCCCGCTCTTTAGAGACACAACTATAAATTGAGCACTATCGAATTCCTTCTTTATGATTTCTCCAATGCCTTGTGTATAACTTAAGTCCAATGCAGAATCAATCTCGTCAAAGATGTAAAAGGAAGACGGCCTGTATGTCAGCATTGAGAATATTAGGCAAAGAGCTACAAGAGATCTCTGCCCCCCGCTAAGCTCATTTAGAGACTCCTTCCAACTCCCAACCTTGACTTTCAGAGCATACTCCCCATTCTTCTCATCTATCCTTGCATCAGATCCCGGTATAAAATATCTAAGGAACCTTCCCAGCCTTCCATTAATGTGCTTGAATGCCTTCAGGTTCTCCTTATATCCTAAATCATCAAACCTTGATATACTTTGTCCAATTGCAAACCTATCCTTTTCAAGCTTATCAATCTTCTCCTTAAGCTCTTCAATCATCAGTTCATTCCGCTCAAGCAAATCAAAGTTTGCTGGATCCATCGTGGACCTCTTCATACACCTTAGTCTCTCCATCTCATTTGTAATCATTTCCAACTCTCTTTTAAGTCCATTCTTTTCTTCTTCAGCCATGCATTGCTTCCTAATTAGAAGACATCTAGGACTAATTCCAACAGACTCTGCTATTTTATGAACCTCCTCATCAACCATGCAAACCCTTTCTTGCTCTACATCGTTCTGAGGCACTTGTTTCAGCTTCCTTTCAACATCATTATAAATTTTCATGGCTCTGTTATGCAACTTTCCAGTACTCCTGATTAGATCCCTGTGCTTAGCCTCAAGCCCATCCATTTCCTTTTCACTCATTCTTCTGCTATCGTTCTCAATATTATGCTTCCCTAACATCTTTTCATAAGATAGTATCCTTTCCTCACACATCCTTATTTCCTCCTTGCTGCTCAAGATTTCAGATTCAATTTCCTTTATCCTATTCTCCAGCTTCTTTCTTCTTTCCATGAGTCCATCCACCTCGTTCTTCTCCCTCATCCCTTCAACCATCTTTTCTCGTACAGCTCTCAACTCCTCCTTAATGTTCATTCCATTCTCACATAGGTCAGACAATATGGAAATTCTTGTATCAAGAGACTCCATCTCCTCTTTCAGCTTCTCTCTTCTTTCGTGCAATGTTTTGCTTCTCAACAATCCATTGTACTCTTGCTTCACACCATCAAACCTCCTTTTGTTTGCCTCCAAAGACTCAATTGCCCTTTCAATATCCTCCACATCCTTTCTACGTACCGTATTAACCCTGAAGTTTGTCTTTCCTCCGCTGAGCGTTCCCTTCGGATCATATACAGTTCCATCCACAGTCACACACATCACTTTCTGCTCAAAGCAAACCTTCCTGGCCATCTCCTTACTTTCAAACACAAAGAAGTTGTTGAAGACAAACTCAATAGCCTTACGAACATTACTGTCGAACTTCAAAAGGCTGACCATGCTCACTCCGCCTTTCGATTCTATCTCCCTCAAGACATTTGGAGAAAGGTAAAATACTCTTATTTTCGAAAGTGGTATCACACTTACACTCCTTTCCATAGTGCTCACCAAAAATCCACCAACCTTCTCATCAGACGTTATGACATACTTACTTCTCTGCCCCATCACAGTGTACACAGCTTCAAGATACTTCCTGTTGCATATCTCAATGTTCTCCTCGACAGTCCCAAATACACCTTCTACAAAGGGATAGCTGATTTTAGATCTCAACATACGGGCTTTCTTCCTCAACTCCTCAATCTCATCCTCAGAAACTTTAAGCTTCTCAATTTCATCTAATCTTTCTTGAGAAAACCCCACCTCGGGAATAGAATTAAACTCAAACTCAACACGGGACCTTTGAAACTTAAGTGAAGTAATCTCCTCAATCTTCTTTAACACATCATTCTCCCCAGAGTCAATTCTTCTCAGACTTTCCACAAGCAATCTCTCCCTCTCAGCTAACTTATCCAATTCCAGGTTGGGTTTCAGGTTCTTTATCACATCCATCTCTTCTTTCTTCAGCCGAAGTTCTTCTTCCAGATTCTTACTCTTCAACTCATCCAATCTCAATCTCTCTCCATCAATAGATGTCTTGATCCACACAACATCAACCTCTTCTTTGATCCCAGAGATCTCCTCTATCCTTTTTTCAATGGCTTCTAGGCTCTTCATTTCCGCAGCATAGTTCTTTAAGCATTTGCCTAAAGTATCCACCTCCTCCCCAATCTCATGGAGGGCTAATCTTTTTCTAATCTCCCGTTCTCTGTGCTCCAGCTCCCTTTTCTTCTCATGAAGATCCCTGGTCTCAAGAAACCTTGTTCTTTCTTGTCGAAGCTTGTCGTAAAACGGAGATATCCTTCTCTTCAGCATCTCTTGTACATCTTTAAGCCTCTCTTCCTTCTTCTCAATCATGGCCATTGCCCTCTCTTTCTCCTTCTCATAGGATCTTGTCCCAGCCGTCTCCTCAATTAGCTCCCTAAGGTCAGAACTCTTCATGCTCAGAACCTTTGTTATATGCCCTTGCATCACAATAGAGGAAAATGTTCCCCTCGACCCCAGCCCCATCGATACACATAGCTTGCTCAATGTAGAGAAAGAGCAAAGATGATTGTTTATGTAGCACTTTGTTCTTCCTTCTGGATCAATGGTCCTGGAGACACAGATCTCATCGTAATGCTCGTATCCAGGAGGACTCCTAGACTTTTCCCTGTTACACAGCACAAGACTCACCCTGCACTCCCTTCTGTTGGTGTTAACCAGCTCCCCGATGTTACTTGCACGAAGAGCCTTTGTACTTTCAAGCCCAAGAGCAAACAATATTCCATCAAGAACATTGGACTTCCCAGAACCATTCATCCCAGTTATTGCATTGAAAGATTTGTCGAGATTTGCCATCGTCACCTTTTCTTCATAACACTTAAACCCATCGAGAATTATCTCCTTGATGAACATCCAAGGGATAGATAAAAATCCATCAAATCCCTGCCATGGAATCTGTGTTAAGAAACGACATTGTAGAGGGAAATAAAACAATCCTACATCTGTCAAGATTTCTATGCATGCCATATAAAACCAGGCTTGTGTCCCAGATAATATTCCAGCAGGCATATCCCAAGCTTTTTAAGAAGGAGAGCTATAATATAGTTGCTCTTGTCAGTGTTTACTTGGCATCCAAGATCAATGAGACACTGATAAAGCTGGATACAATTCTTGAAGCAATGGCAAAGGTCACACATATGGGCTCTGTCCCTCCTAGAGAGCGGATTATAGCCATCGAATGTAAGGTAATAGAGCTAATTGAGTTCCAATTCAACATCAATCCCGTACAGTTCTTTCTTCTAAGGATTGGGAAGACATTGAATGTAGACGTTCTAAAGAAGCTTGCTGTTCTGGACGAGGTCCATGGAGATGGGAGGGTGAATCTCATCAAATACTTCAATGGAGTGTATGGGCCCGAGATGGTCGCATTGAGTGTTCTGGATGACGGAGAGCTTAAGCTCTTTGAATGTTTTTTTGGGGTAAGTGTAAGCAGGGCATTGGTTGAGGAAATAAAGTCGGTGATACTAAAGAAATAACCATACGGCACCAGACCCATGCATATCTTTAGAACCAAGGAAGAGGCAGCTAACCATCTACGGACAAAGTTTACAGACGCGCACGAGGTAAAGGATCTGATAGAAAGACACGGGATAGCCATGAAGAGGGGCTGTTACAATTCATATGAAGCCAAGGTGGTTGATGAGGCCATCCGCAGATTTTTGGAGGAGCGCGGGATGGAAATGAAGAACTTGTATGGGTTTTTTCTTGAGGAGGAGAAGGAGTTTCCGATAAGAGAGCTTCTAATAGAGATAAGCAATGCATTGAGGCAAAGAACAATGAATTCCATATGGGTTTATGTATCCTACCATTACCACCCATACATCGATGCGAAATGGGAACCCGAAAATGAGATCCAGCTCTTGAATCTCGTCAGGGTTCTTGGGTTCAAGTGGAAGGAGATATGTGGAATAATGAACAAGACCTCCAGAAAATGTATTTCGATGTATTACAGAATAATGGGGTTCAATTACTTGTACAGGAAGTCGTTTAAGATGCCTGAAGAAGGGATTCCAACAACAGATGAAGAGTGGGAAGGGTTGTGTGATCGGCTCAGGACCAATCGAAAGAGATTATCACACCTAATCAATGGATATATATCGAGCAAGTTGGTTGTTCCTTTCTGGAATGAATATAACAACATGGCGCTAATGGGGTATGTGATACTACACAATCATTTCTGCTCTGTTGACATAAAGATTAGAGAGATTCTCAAACTTATAGACGAAGGAGGGATTGAAGCCCCCGATGATGAAATAGTAGGAAGAGAAAAGATAAAGGAGGAAATATCGAAGCTGATTCCCGATCTCTGTAATTACGAGTTGGACATACCAATTGATGCTGAGGATATCTTTTGGAGGACGATAAAGCTATTTGTAAAGTTTTCTTCTGGATTGCTAAGATCGAGGTTTATCCAGATAACGAAAGTTTATGGGATCAGAACATTCAAGGATCTGATCGAGGTGTTTCGAAACCTAGCAGTTGACTGTTATCTGTACAAAATAAAAGACAAAATCAGGGATGAAGTGAGCAAGATTATGACCCAGAAGAAGACGAGACGGAGGTCCACTAAGGATCTGGTTACAAGAGAAGGGACAGGTGTAGTTAAAGAGTCTTGCTGTTAGCTACCAAAACACGTTTCAGATAGGAAATAAATATGTGTTGGAGTAAATATATTCAAAAGTCAAATGATCTTAGCCATTACGTTTCTATCCTTAGTGCTGTGTAGGGAAAGGAGTGATTATATTGTAATGTTTGACCAGGATCCGAGTATGGACAAAGGATCAATGAATGCATTATACAGTATGAATATCCTCAAGGCGCAAAGCATTCTTGAGCCCGATGAAAGCATCGAAATAAAGATAACCAATGGGTTTGTTGCACGGATGACAAAGTCCACTGCAGAAAAGATGAAGAGGCATCCAAATGTAAAGATGGTTGTCAGGGACACACCTGTGGGTATCAGCGGGCTGAAGATCGGCACTTCATATAACAATAGCGGAGAAGGGATTCTAATACAGAGACATGCGCCCTGGGGATTATCCAGGATTGTTGGAAGTGTATCTTTTGCTTCTGGAAGTTATTATTATCCTATGAATTCGGGAGAGGGTGTTGACGTATATGTTTTAGACACTGGAATAGAAGTCAGCCATCCTGAATTCGAGGGGAGAGCCAGATGGGGGGCTAACTTTGTTGCAGAAAGCTTGAATGAAGATGAACATGGGCATGGGACACATTGTGCAGGTGTCATTGGAGGCAAGAATTTTGGAATATCTAAAAAATCAAGCATTATTGCTGTTAAGGTTCTTGACAGGTATGGATCTGGGATGACCTCGAGACTTCTTCAGGGATTGGATTTTGTAATCAAGGAGCATGAAAAGAAAAAGGATGAGCTTTATAATGCAGCAGCCAATGAATACCTTGATTCCACTCGGTCTTCAGACATTGATATAGAAATAGATGACTCTGAGAGTTTTTCTTTCCTCCAGTCTAAAGTGCCGTCGGTACAACGACTAGTGGACACTATTTCCGAAAAGGCCTTGGAACCAAAGACCATTATTAATCTCAGTGTTGGAGGCTTTAGAAATCCAGCACTCAACTTTGCAATTGAATATGCGTCAAGACTAGGGATACATTTTTCTACGGCTGCTGGTAACGAGCATGAGGATGCTTGTGACTTCTCCCCGGGATCCTCGAAAGCAAGCATAACAACGGGAGCATCCACATACAAAGACACTGTTGCGTTTTTCAGTAACTTTGGGGAATGCGTGAACATCTTTGCTCCTGGAGTAGATATACTTAGCTCATGGATAGGAGGGACACAGAAAATTGTATCTGGAACATCTATGGCAGCACCTCACACCACGGGAGTGATGGCTGCATATCTTACGTATTACGATTACGATCCTCACACACTCAAGAAACGTATCATAAATGATGCCCGAATTGTGGAGGAGAGCAGTGGCAACAGCCGCAATGATAATATCCCATGGCCTTTTCCGGCATTGTTCAATAGTAATAGAAGAAAACTTCCGATGCTATCTATGGAGAATCTGTTGAAGAGAATCAAGAACAAAATATAACGATTCAGGATTAGCCTTTAATGACTAGGCATGGCTTTAGTCGGCAAACCTTCTTTGTCAACCCGATTCTATCACTTAAATCAACAACTCTATTGATGTCTTTATAACATCCAGGTGATTCTTCAACCATCCCAGGGTCGCTAGGACACCTGAATACTATGTCTTGATCCCTTAGAAGATCACATACATTCTTATGGGTAAATAAATCCTTTGACTTGCCTCTAGAGAGAACACGTCCTGCTCCATGGCATGATGATCCGAAGCTCAATTCCATGGATTTCTCCGAACCACATAAGATGTAGCTATATGTGCCCATGGATCCTCCCACCACCACTGGCTGCCCCATCTCCTTGTACTTCCATGGAATATCTCGATGGCCTGGAGGAAATGCTCTGGAGGCACCTTTTCTGTGTACGATGGCATCGTATTCCATCCCATTGATCTTATGGCTCTCTATCTTTGCAATGTTGTGACAAACATCATAAATCAGATCAAGCCTTGCTTCCGGAAACACCCTTTCAAACGCTTGTCTAGCCTTCTTAGTTATCATTGCTCTGTTGACAAAGGCAAAGTTTGCTGCACATCCCATAGATAGAAGGTATTCCTGGGATTCTTTGGAGTTGTAGGGAGAGCATGCAAGCTGACCATATCCAGTACTCATCCTCGCCATTCTCATCAGTGAGTCGTGGCATATTCTGTGCCCAAGTCCTCTACTTCCACTATGAATCATCAAGACTATCTGTTTCTTTCTTATCCCCATCACCTCTGCCTTTTCCGTGTCATATACCTCGTCAACATATTGCACCTCTAAGTAATGGTTTCCAGATCCAAGAGTTCCAAGTTGATTCAATCCCCTTCCTTTTGCTTTCTGACCCACCAGGCGACTGTCCCCAGTCATACGGCCATTGCTCTCACAATATTCAGCATCCTCATCGGGTATCTCCTTTAATTTCAGCAGGTAATCCAACCCTTGGTCTAGAATCGAGTCCAATGCACCCAAGTCGACATTTGACCTCTTGTCGCTTCCCATTCCAGTGGGTATTATCCCGAACAGCTCATCTGCAAGAGACTCGGCCTTCTCCTTGAAGCAGCTTATGTCAAGGTTAGTCCTCAGTGCTCTAACTCCACAATTGATGTCGTATCCTATCCCGCCTGGACTTACAACAGACTCGGGATTGTTGATGTCAAATGCTGCAACACATCCAATCGGAAACCCATATCCCGTATGTATGTCCGGTAGCCCTATAACGTTTCCTATAAGCCCCGGCAAAGAGCAAACATCAGATATCTGGCCAATAGAAGATGGAGTTACCCCAGCATTCAACTCTTCAATCAGGGGCTTCCTTAGTTCTTCATCAACATATATGGTCCCCGATGTCCTCATGGACTTATTGAACGACGGGTTGATCTTTATGCAGAGACCGGCTTGCTCCACATCTTTCATTAAGGGATAAATTTTGCTAATCGTGGTATCCCAACCCTAGGCTTTCTGATGAATCTGATAAGGTGGTCCAGAGAAAGGAGCAGAGCCTCATCTCTGAAGGCACTTACTGCAGAAGAGGTGTCGAGGCACAACAAGGCGGATGACTGCTGGATCATAATGGACGGGATGGTGTATGATGTCACCGACTTCCTTAATTTACATCCTGGCGGTATGGATGTCATAATGAAATACGGTGGAAAGGATTGCACAGATGCATTCAACGAGGCACATGGCTATGTAAACAAGGAGCTCCTGCTAAACAGTGTTGTTGGGATAGTCACAAAGCAGTAAAGTTTAGATTTCATCAATGTGAAATGAATTCCCTGATATCTAGATGACTTGAATGGAGAATGGCTATGCCATAAACATTTAAATTTCCCACAAACAATTATTGAAGCCCATAGTAGATGCTGGTGTTTGTGAAGAATGGGGAAGTGATCCACACAGAGGATCTCCAAAATGTGGATCCATTGACACTAGAGACATTTGAGGAGATTCTGGCAAGCACGGGGTCTGTTGTTTTCTGTATTTTGGTATGTGAGAGCACGCGACATGTATATCTAGCAAGTAGTATCGTTAGTATGAGATATACGGTTTCTGGAGCAATCCGGATATATAAACTGAAAGATCCCTCTACCAGAAATGAAGTCAAAGACATTTTATATTTTGAGGTTGTTAGAAACCCTCTATACCTCAGGATATTTAAGGATATCCAGAAAAGCAATCCCCTGCGAAGAAAAGGAAATACGATGGATAGTCTGGGAAGCAGTGCAGGGGATTTCTCGCAAGTAGGCCCCGTAGTGAAGGCTGTGTTTATAGGAAATGAGCTTGACTTGGTGTACAATACAGATCTGCAGAAAAAGGTGTTTCGAAATGGAGAGAAGAGAGGGTCTTTTGCCTCTACAGTTATCGGAGGGGTGGTATTTTTCCTATCCTTTATTCTGTTATTTTTCTTCATGGTATGTTTTTTCTACATCCTGTTAAAGTTTGTGCTGCTTGTGTGATTAACTGCACAGATCTGCTTGTAAGTTTCCAAACCTGAAAGTCCTCGAAAATTAAATAGGCTCGAATATTAAATCACTTAATAAATCCCCCTTAAAGTCTTATGATGACCATTACAGATAAAAGGAAGTCCATTCCAGCATCTAGCGATGTCTAACCTTGATTTTTCCACCTATTCGATATACTTTGAATGGAAAATCTTCCGATGCACTGCACTCTTTGAGTCAAAGGTTTGCCCTTGCTGCACGTGCATATTCTGTAATCTGAAGACTTCTTTATTATAATATTTTGTCTAGTTTTTTATAGGTTTTGGGTAAGATGGCTCTATTTTTCCTAAGGTAACAAAAGAAAAGCCCCCAGAATGGACATTCTATCGGAAGATGGTGAGGGAGTATTTGACGAGAGAGTTAGAGTCCGCAAGAGAAATGTGCTTTCAAACATAACAAATAAGTCAGGGGACATATCTATGGCCTACAAGGATGGTAATGGAAAGGATGTAAAGATTGACAGAGAAAAGGATATTGAAGATCAAGATGGATTTCTGAGTGGGACTGGTCCTGGAAATGTGATCAGAGGAAAAGTTGTTTTCAAGGATTTTACTTCGGAGGATGGACGAAACCAGGATACTGGTGAAAGGAAGGCAGAGAGTAAGGAAAATGGAAGTGACAGTGTGGTGTCTAGGATTCAGAAGGAGTTTGAGGAGCTGAAAGAAATGCATAGAAAGGCACTAGGAGCTCGAAGAAAGCTAATAAAGACAATGGAGAAAGAAATGTCTGAACTAAAGCAAAGGATGGAGGCCAAGCAGAAGGTAGAGATGGAGAATCTCAAAAGACAATATGATGAAAAGCTTCGGGAGAAACAGGAGGCGTACAAAAGAATTTGTAAGGAAAAGATTCTCGAGTACAAAAGAAAGCTTGATGAGGCCTATAGAGTAAAGGTTATGGAACTTAAGGAAAGATACGGGGCGTTAAGAAAAAAAAAGAGCTAAGCAAGCAGTGCTACAGGATAAGATGTTATGGGATGGATAGAAGAGTTGTTAAATTCTATTTGCATTTTATTTTTCCTCTGGGTTATAATAAACCCACTTCTTTGTATCTAAAGGGCAAACGTTTTTGGAGCTCAGCCACCTTGTTATACAATGTGTGTGGAATGCATGGTTGCAAATACCCCATGAAACCTTACATTCATCATTGCTTATGACACCATTCTGGCATTCCACGCAAGTGTCCATTATATGGTTCCTGCATATTGCACAGGTTTCGATCTTCATGTCTAGAGACCATAGAGCAACAAGATTCCATTTCTTTAGCTTTATTATTTCCTTGTTTTCCATGGAATTTGTATATTTGAGGGGTTTATTTCCAGCCCCTTAGACACCATTCCGGGATTAAGATGGAGAGTAATGAGGCAACGAGGAATCTAGAAGATGATTCTAAGGGCAGGGATGGCAGGAGAGTGGGGTGGTATGGGCTGTCCGCGCAATCTCTACAGGAGAATGGAGGAGAGGGGCGCCTAAGAATTGAAAGGAATAATGAAGTGATGAGTTCTAGAGACGGTATGAAAGGAGGGGATGAGAGATGGAGCAATGGACAGAAGGGCAAGGGAGGAACCTTCCCAACTGACTGGGAGAAAAGGACAGAAGAACACAATAGATGGGGATCAAAGAAGCATATGAGATTCACCATGATGGATGGGATGACTGAGAGAGGAAATGGATGTGGGAGTAAAGAAATCGAAGGAAGGAGTATAAGAGAAAGTAAGCATTATAGAATGAAATTAGAGAACAGAAGGGGGCCAACGGAGTGTGCGGGAAGGAGAAATGAAAATAGGATAGAAAGGGCCTCATGTTATTTGCACGGCTCTGCGTTAGAAGATAAGGAAGTCAATATTGTAAAGATAGAAGACATGTTGTGTAGTGATATAATTGGAAGTATTGTTGTTGATGTCCCAGGGGATGAAATAGTTCCTATACTTTGTTTTTTTGAGAGACATGAAGGATTGAGCGGCTTGAGGTTATCGGGCTTTTCCTCAACGGCAGCAAAGGAGGGCAAGGATGTAAGATCACCTCCTCCTGGCAGAAAAGAAGAAGTAGAAGCTAGAGAGGGGCTTATAGACAAAGAAGAAGGGATAGATGGTGGTAGCAGAAGAAAGAGAAGGATAGAAGATGAAAGGAGGAACAATAAGGAGAAGAAGATCTTCACCAAGAGCAAGGCTGAAGATTGCGACAAAGAGCCTTCTCCTGTAGAGCTTAACGATTGTAGATATAGATACTTTCTGAAGAGAGTTTTTCCAACAATGCAAAAGGATGATGAACGAGCTTTGAAGTACATTGTTAGCCAGAGAGACATGCTTTTGAACAGAACAAAAAGCAATAGAGCGGAAATTCCAGAGATTTGTAGTGGACCTGTTAAGGCACCTATGAACATTATTTCCTGCATTCCAGAGGTTCCTGAAACCGGATTTACCAAAGAGGAAGACAAGCTAGCTTCTGAGCTCATCTACAAATATGGAAACAACTTCAAGAAGATCCGGGAGCTTGCGCCACACCTAAGGACAGAGAAGTGTGTCCTGAAGTACTATCTGATGAAAGACAAAACCTATTCATATATGAAGCATAAGTCTGGAAGGATCTCTGACTCTGAGGTTAAGCTTATAATTGAAAGCACGTGGTCTGAGTACGAGAGGAATGTGTTCATCCAACACTTTAGGATTTTTGGGAAATCATGGGCAAAGTACCAACCGTTGATAAACAAGTCTGAAAGGGACCTAAAAATGTTTTTTAGATACTACACAAAGTTCATCCTGCCGTCGAGTGAAAGCACTAGTACGACAGTGTCCATGGCTCCAAGAAGAGTTTCGATCAGTAAAGAGGATGTGTTGAAGAAATGGACGATAGACGAAAGGCAGGTGTTTGCCATATATTTTCCATACTACAACAAGAATTGGGTATTGATGGCAGCATATTTTCCAGCAAAAACGTCTGGGGATCTGCGACAGTACTATAACAGATACTACAAAAGCCTCAGCTACAATGAACAGAGGCTTGAAGCCAGCTTGTATGATTTCGGGCAAAGGGTTACAACGCCGCCAGTAAGACATATTGGGAATGCCAGAGAAGAAGTTGTGTTCTGTGGAACGGCCGGGGTTCTGTTTAAGAAATGATAAGATTATTGAATATCTGTGATGATTAAATTCTTTAGGTTTAGCTTAGTAAGATAGAAAAGCGATTTTTTGCAGAAAAAATTGCCCTCTGATGGATACGTATAACGAGTATCTTCTGGAAAAGATATGTGAATTGTTTCCGCGTAAAGAAGCAGAGGTTTTTATAGAGGAGAGTGAGAAGCAGAGGCCAACTACCATACGAATAAACACCCTCTTGAAACACAGGAAGGATGTCTCTAAGCTCTTGCGTGGAAGAGGAGTAGATCTTGATGATCTTAGTTGGACTGACAGTGGATGTGTTGTCTTCAAGTCGTCTGTGCCCATTGGAGCGACTCCCGAGTATCTTGCAGGATACTACTGTCTTCAAGGAGCTGCATCCATGCTTCCTGTTCTTAACATGGAGCTCAAGGAAGGTCTGACTGTTGTTGACTTGTGTGCGGCGCCAGGAGGGAAGACAACGCACATTGCTGCATTGATGGAGAATACTGGGATAATATATGCAAATGATGTGAATGAAGACAGGATGGCAGGATTGAAAAGCAATATACAGAGGATGGGTGTTCGAAACTGCATAGTGATGAACATGGATGGAAGAAAGGTGAATGTTGGAAAAGTGGACAGGGTTTTATTGGATGCCCCCTGTTCTGGAACCGGGGTGATATCGAAGGACCCTTCTGTGAAGACTACCAGAACAAGAAGTGAAATAGATAGAATGGCCACACTACAGAAAGAGCTTATACTCCATGGATTTGAGATGTTAAGGCCTGGGGGGATATTGATGTATTCTACATGCTCTGTGCTTGTCAAGGAAAACGAGGAGGTTGTTAACTATCTTCTCACGAAATGCCCCTCTGCTAAAATGGCCCAGTGCGAGGTCGACATTGGAAAGGATGGATTCATGAGCTTCAAGGGAAGGAACTACAATGGGTCGCTTAAGATGGCCAGAAGAATTTACCCACATGTTCATAATATGGACGGGTTTTTCTATGCAAAGATCGTGAAAAAAAATTAAAAGTTATGGACTTCTCTAGTGTTCATGATAAATCCTTGAAACATTATTCTTTGAATGAAACTGGTTACAGAAATATTTGATATCTATGAGGCATATGAAGGTGTGATAAACAAAACACTAGATGATAGGGCAATTGAGTTTGGTGGCAGTGCTTTGGAGATGTGCTGAAGCAACAGATACGGGAAGTTCGTTGTATTCAGTCCTCCCATCGAACTCTCCTCTTTTTGATCAAGGGTTTATGGGATCTATACCTCAAGTGCAGGCTATCAGTGTACCTACAAGCAAGCCTGGGCAACTTCTGTCATTCACGCCCGAAGGATCCGGAAATGGTCAACAGGTGGCTATGACACCTATGGCTCTCCAACCACCAGGGAACGCTCAATATGCAAATGTATGTGATATGTCTGAGAAAAAAGAGCAGCTCAAGAAGTGTTTGGCTGATCAACTCAATAAGTTCAAAAACATATTAGAGAATTGTAGGAAGACTTTGGGTGAGAATGCTAAGGAGTGTTGTATTGATCAGAAATGTCTTGACCTTCTAAACGGAGGAAACACTTCTTGTAATGAGGAGGACAATGGAAAAGATTGTAAAGATAAGAATTGCCGGGATAAGATTGCAGATGAAATTGTCAAGAATCTCAACTTAGACCAGCTGAAGAAATCCTTGCTAGACTCTCTCAAGGGAAGCTTAAAAAAAATAGGAAACAAGCTTGGGAGCTTGACCTCATGTAGTAGAGGAGAAGGAAACTGTGACGAAGAAAACAACATCATGTCTCCTCTTGGGCCTGGGAAGGGTGTACCACCAGGCGTGTTGATATATCCCATAGAACAGAGCAAGTATGAAGCAATAACAAATATTCTGGACCGCCAACAGAAGTTTCCTCAGCAAAGAGACATAGAGCAGCCGGATATACAAGGGAATCCGAACAGGTCCTATGACAGGGGACCTCGAGAAGGGTGGGGTAGGGAGTATCCACCAAGAAGGGAATCTCGAGAAGGTAGGAGAAAAAGGCCTAGAGGAACCAAAAGAGATTCTGATGACTGGGAAAGGGAAGAGGACACCCAAGATGAATGGAAGTCCGACCAAAATATCCAAAGCTCTAGACCATATTCCCCCAGGAAGCCAGAGATGCCGTGCACAAAAGAGATGTGTGTAGACATGGATAGATATGATTCTCCAAGCATGAAGGAAGAATGCATCAAGTACTGCAAAGATTACAGGAGAAAGGACACCAAGAAGAGCAAAGATGAAGAGAAGGAGGAGTTTAGCGAATTGACGAGCGATTCGTGCTATGACGAAAAGAAGTGACATTATACCCACAACTTGAATACTCGATAGGCCGCTGGCAATATCAAGAGATGAAGTCTTGACTTGTTTATAGTTGCATTATACATAGCGGGTTTATTGATTGTAATAATACCATCCTTTCCCCTCCAATCACAATAAACACGCATTAATTATTTATTCTTAGGGCTGATCTAACTCACAGAGTAAGTCCGAAGTCTATTGGAAAGACATGGTCTTTTGTAAGGGGGATTGGTGTCTCTTCTATATCCTCGTCCTTTACATTTGTGAATGGCTTTGCAGTTAATTCTATGCTTGTATAGCCCAGAAGACATGCGTCCAAAAATGCGTCTGTATAGTATGTATGATCCATTTCGAACATGGGGTATCTTGTGTTCTGATGTAAGTGGGGAGGGAATTCGATAAATCCATAGGGAATATCACCCAAAGCATGAATGAGCTTGCGATCCCCAAGAAGGCAACAAAGCACCAGTTCCCATATGAGGAGGTTGTTCTCAAGGAGAAGAGTGAAAGATATCCAATGTGGGTGAATTACGATGGATTGATCATACTAGAGACATTTCGGGAGTCCTCTCGCCAAGCTAGTGACTTTCTGATAGCTATTGCAGAGCCCATGAGCAGGCCTCTCAGAGTGCATGAATTCCAAATCACAGCATACTCTCTGTATGCTGCAGTCAGTGTTGGGTTGACGACTGGAGACATCATCGAGACGCTGGATCGGTTTTCCAAGAACCATCTCCCGAGGTCTGTTAAGGTGTTTATCACTGAATGCACACTGAGTTATGGGAAAGTGAAGCTTGTCATGAAGGAAAACAGCTTTTTTCTAGAGGCTGCAAATGAGTCTGTGTACAAGATATTGTCTGAGGATACTGTGATAAGATCACACACCGTCGGTGGTCCTAAGGAAAAAGGAGGCCTGTCGATTGAAGTTGAGAATGTAGAGATGGTGAAGAAGCGATGCATTGAGGTTGATTATCCGTTGATTGAGGAATACGACTTCAGGAATGACAATGTGCTTCGGAGCCTCAAGATAGACCTGAAGCCTACCACAATCATTCGGTCTTACCAAGAGATATGTCTCAACAAGATGTTTGGAAATGGAAGAGCAAGATCTGGAATAATTGTATTGCCTTGTGGATCTGGAAAGACCATTGTTGGGATCACAGCAATAAGTACGATCAAGAAGAGCTGCCTAGTGCTGTGCACGTCTGCAGTGTCCGTTGAGCAATGGAGGCAGCAAACGCAACAGTTCACAAACATATCCCCTGATAATGTAGGAAGGTTTACTTCTGATCACAAAGAGTGGCCAAGGGATGACTGCGGGATAGTTGTTACAACATATACGATGCTTGCATATACAGGAAAGCGATCCTACGAGGCGCAAAAGATCATGGATCTTATACGAAAGACCGAATGGGGATTGCTTGTCCTTGATGAGGTTCATGTTGTACCTGCAATGATGTTTAGGAGAGTTCTGTCACTGGTGTCTCATCACTGCAAGCTTGGGCTTACTGCAACTCTTGTAAGAGAGGATGATAAAATTGAAGATCTGAACTTCTTAATTGGACCCAAGCTCTATGAAGCTGACTGGCAGGATCTGAGTGCTAAGGGGCACATAGCCAAGGTGTCATGTGTAGAGGTATGGTGCGGGATGACCGGGGATTTCTACAGAGAGTATCTCTCTCAGCCGACCCGGAGAAGAAGGCTTCTATCTATAATGAATCCGACGAAATTTCAGGTGTGTGAGTACTTGATAAATAAGCATGAAAGTAGGGGGGACAAGATCATTGTTTTTTCTGACAGTGTATATGCGCTGAAGGCATATGCTCTGAAGCTTGGAAAGCCATTTATTTACGGGCCTACAGGGCAAACAGAAAGGATGAGGATTCTGAAGCAATTCCAGACAAATCCGGTCATCAACACGATATTTTTGAGTAAGGTTGGAGACACATCGATAGATCTTCCTGAGGCAACATGCCTGATACAGATAAGTAGCCACTTTGGAAGCCGAAGGCAGGAAGCGCAAAGACTTGGAAGAATTCTCAGGGCAAAAAGGAGAAATGACCCCGACTTCAGGGTCTATTTCTACTCTCTGGTGAGCAAGGACACTGATGAGATGTTCTACTCGAGCAAAAGACAGCAGTTCTTAATAGACCAAGGATACACATTCACAATACTTACAGACATACCCGAGGTACATGAAAACGAACATTGTGTATACAAGACAAAAGGGCAGCAAAGAGAATTACTGGCAGGGGTGCTGCTTGCGTCTGAAAAGGAGCTAGAAAGTGAGGAAAGCGGCAGCGAAGAGGGAGTTGTATATAACACAGCAAAGCTGAAGAACCTTAGTGGTGCTGACGAGATGGCCTATATTGAAAGAAAGGCTCCGCAGCGTCACACTCTTACCAAGAACGGCAGGAAGAATAGGAAATTGAATCCAAAGCCTTAGGATTCGAGACCTTGATCCCTTATGAACTTTACATCCAATGAAGAGGAAAGGCTCAAAGAGGTGCTGAAGTCGAAGAGGAAGGAAGAAGTGCTGGTTGAGCTCTCCAAGGAGATTGAGAGAAAAGAAAAGGAAATGATGGGAAGTATTTCTCAGGACTACATGGACATAATCAGCAAGTGTAGTGATTTGGAAAAGACCAAGCAAAGGCTGGGAGGGATTATAAACACAAATAACGAGCTGGTTTCTTCTATTTCTGACGCTGTTATACAATACACCGATGCCCTCCACGAGATTGAAGAAAACACCATAATAGAATCACGGCTTGACCTAGTTGTGTCTGAATTGAAGGAGATCTTAGGATTTATAGGTATTGCATCTGAGTACGAGAGCATTGATAAGAATATGAGGGAAGATCCATTGTACTACTATAACATGGCAAAGAGTGTGGTGTCCATGGAGAAGAAGCTTTGCTTGTTAGAGAAGTATAGATTCTTTGTGAGTGCAAACCAGATATGCATCAAATCAAGAAAGATGCTTGTAAATCTGATGATGAAGGATATTGATCTATGGATTGGGAATGCTAGCAATAATGTTCGGGAAGGCGGTGTTGAGATAAACAGGATTCTCTGGGAGAAGAAAGAGTCTCATATATTTGATCCTCTTGGCACTCTCCGGGATTTGTTTATATCCAAAACCTTTCTATGCATTCTTCATGAATCAAGAAGGTTGGGGGCCGGGACGGTCATTGTGGAGAGAGTAAATGAGAAAAGGAAGGAGTTTGTGAAGGATGTTGCTGCTAAGGATGATCCTAATGCGATTTCTGATACTGCGGGATTTATCCTGTGGAGCCATTACCTTGAATCTCTTGACACAGGCTTCAGAATCCATGCCAAGCTTGCATTTGATATTCTATCCAGAAACAAGATGTTGTTCGAAAGCCACAACTTCTCCCAGATAAGAGAAGCACTCATCTCTCTCCGAAGGCTTACTGTTCACCTTGGGATCGACTACGAGAGTGTAGATAGGATTATAAGCTCTGTGGCAATTAACTACTTTGAAACGAGGGGGCCTAAGGATATTGATCCTGATGCAGACGGAATGGAGCAACTGAAGTCTTCGATGATGACTTTTATTGACGAGTGTAATGGCTTTGTGTCTAGTATATTTCAATTTTCCAATGAGCTTGATGAGCTTCTTGCAAAGAGAATAGATCAGCATCTGTGCAGCCTTATTGACAGGAGTAAGGGAGACATGGATTCCTTTATCGAAGCACAATCTACTGCTTCAGAGATTTTGAAGTATTCGATCGAAAAAAATGATTTCTACAGGAACATTGAGTTTAGATGTTTGTCGGAGATAGATAAGGGAAACAAAAAGTTCATGGAGGAAGTAATAAAACAGAAGGAAAAGGAAATTGATGAACTTTTCAAGATTGTTACCAAGAATGACGACTTTGGGGTTGATCTCCTCAAGGTATTTTCTATGGCTAGAAGCCTGAAGTTCCCTGCAAATATAAATACAACAATAAAAAGAACTCTAGTGTGTTATATCAGAGATAGGTTTGCAGCTGAGATAAACGATAAGAGTTTGAGCCCACAAGACAAAAAGGTTGTGGAAGGGCATTTATGTAGTTTCTATGGGTATCTCAGAAATAACGAGCCGTCTCTTCATAGCATACTTGAGCCAGATGTAAAACATGAGAGGCCGTAGCATCCCTCGGTACAATAAATGGAGTAATGAATCTATTTGCTTGAATAGTACCACCTATTTTTTATTTCTCTAACGACCGAATAAACCTTTCGTCGAAAACAACCTCTATGGATACCTTGGACCAGCTGAATGGGTCAAACATCACAATGGATCTTTTAACATGGTCGGCGATTGGAGGAGCGTTGAATGTTACAAAGCACTTGTACATTCTGCAGAAGATATACTTTCTTCTGAGAATATTATCATAGGCCTTTACTTGTAGCTTATCATTTGGAAATGTGTAGAAAATATAGAAGAGTGTTTCCTCATGTAGATTATCCATCTTCATGTCCTCTATGTTGACCTTGAAAATTCCCTCGTTTGGTGCTTTTGGGTAGCAGTTTGGGAGCATCCTGGAGAGAAGGGATTGCGGGTAGTATGTAGACGGATCCTGATACCTTTTTTCTCTAACTATTGACAGTATTTCGGCCAGCTTGTCCTTGTTCATGTCATGAACTGCATGGTGGTCCTGCTGGATCTGTTCAAGCTTTTTCTGGATATTTACCATTGGGTTAGGAATCCAGAGTGTATATCAATCGGGCGGAAACAGCCCTGGTAGGTATGGCACAGAAAAGCCGCAGAGAGTTAATTGAGTGGATAAGATCACTGGGAATCGAGATTTCTGCAATTGAAGAGCTCGGGAAGGGTGTGGTGATATGTAGGATTCTGTCTCTAATTCACACTGACTTCCCTTCAAACTACGTCCGGAACCCAGATGGAGAGCACGATTACTTGAGGAACATGAAAGCATGTCAGGGATTCTTTGCATCGAGAAACATAAAACTCTATTTCCCTGTCGACAAGCTGGTTAAATGCAAAATGCAAGACAATCTAGAGGTGGCGCAATGGCTAGCAAAGTATTATTCCAAGAACATGGGAGAGAGGAAGCCCAGAGAGAGCACTAGAGATGAAAGTCTAGGAACCTCTGCTTCTTCCTCCGTTAACTCACATTGCTCTGGGTGCAAGAACATTAAAGAGATAGTGGATGCAAAAGACAATAGAATTAGAGAGCTGGAAAGTACACTTTCAAGAATGGAGGATAGGATTACACAGATGGAGACTGAAAAACGCACCATTGAGGAGCAAGCAACCATCTCTGGTCCAAAGGGATTTGAGGATGAAGAAGTCAAGTCCTTGCTTATAGCTTTTGAAAAGGAAAGAGACTTTTACTTCAAGAAACTATTCACTGTCGAGAAATACTTTCTAGAGAAAAAGGGACTTGATGAAAGCCTCAAGAATGATGTGCTTAGTATTCTTTATGAAGAAAACAATGAATGATATGTAAGGATCCTAGAGCGTGCCTTATTGGAGTGGATCTTATTAAATTCCAGAATGATGTTTCCATGTTTTCTTTAAGTTATAAGATAAACAAACATCAATGGAAAGTCCTGGATGCTTGAGGAGGCAGGCTATGTTGTATTCTATACCTCTTCTTCTAGTGGCAAGCCATTTTCCAGGGCCATATCTATTTGTTCTATCCATTCCTTCTTCCTTGATTGCATTTCTTGTTCCAGGCACAAAGAGAAGAATGTATATATCAAACTCTCTGTTTATTCTTTCTCTATTATTTCCAGAGCTATATTTCCTGTGCTATGGCTTCACAATGGCTGCAATATATGTGTCTGTAAGTAATCTTTGTATGGACAGATTTCGCAGAGAAAACCTGGTAATAGCAGGGATGATGGAATCCGTAGGAATGCTCCTGTCGTTGTATTCTCTGAAGAATAACGTGGTGTCAATGTTCCTTGCGGTTTTTCATTTTCTTATCATACATCGCTTGATGTCTCCTCCGATAGAAAGCGATGACTATGGACAAGCATATAAGAAGATAGCCTGGCTCCTAAGAGAAGCTTCATTTACTGACAGAGCTAATGAATATAGAGAGGTTGTGGGATGCAGGGGGATAGTGATTCCTGAATTCAGAATCGATCTTTGGACCCCACTGCTCATGGGAAGGCTATCATGCCTTTCTAAGGCCATCATCTGTTGTTCATCACTGATCCCCATCGGAAAGTCACACTGGATGGGGTTTGTAGTATACTCACTATCGTTTTTACCTGTAGAATGGGCTTGTGCAGGTCTTTCATTTTTCTGTGACTTTACTCCTGGGCATCCCTTCTACAGACTAGTTAGTGCACAAGTTTTATATTTGATAACCAGATGAGGGGGCCCGAGCTATAGATAGAGGGCTCCATGATATAAAAACAAATATATGACCCCTACAAATGTTATCACCTGGTGCCCGCAGGCGCTTATCGAAGGAGGAGGATATGCTGAAAGACTCCACAGGTGATGAAAGAAAGCTCTTCAGAGCATGCCCTAGGGGCCCGAAGGAAAACAGAAACTACAAGGTTTGGGATATATATTTCACACTTGGAGGAGACTCTTTGTATGCAGGAAGGATTCTGAAGGCGGTGATGGAGTTTCCAGATTGCTATCCTCTTCAGCCGCCCACTCTCAAGTTTGTTTCGAAAATGTTCCACCCAAATATCTATGAAGATGGAAAAATGTGCATATCCATTCTTGAGGAGGATGCCCCTGACCCAACAGGATATGGGGACTCCAAAGACAAGTGGGCACCTGTTCAGAACATCAGAACGATTCTTCTATCGATCATTGTAATCCTCAATGCTCCAAATACATCATCTCCAGCAAATGTCGATGCCTCTGTGATGCACAGGGACAATCACGAAGAATATGCCAAGAAAGTCATCAAGATTGCTCGAGAAGAAGACGAGAAGCTTAGAAGCACAGATCCGCAGGCCAGGGAAATAGCATTGGAAATGGAATCCGAGGATTAGGTACCAACTTCAATAAAATATTTTCTGATATCAATATACCTTGTTGGGAGACTTTTTTGACTTTTTGGGTTTATTTCTCAATACAACGGATATCACTCATACCTGAAACAGCTTCTGAAAGTTGGGCAAGATGGAATAATGTCTTAACCATTGTGACACCCCCAAGAGTATAAAGAAGCACTCCCTTGTAGTCAAAACAGTATATGTACATAAAGAACACCTCGCTCAGTAAACATGTAGGGCCAAGAACCCTCTTGTCATAATAAACTCTTAGGATCCTATTGCTCGTTCCTTTGTGATGCTTCCCCAGCAAGGTCGACATGTGGAAGTATATAAAATGAGAGATGAGGTCGAATATTATGTACAGAGATAGAATCTGTAAGTATTCAACTCTCTTCTGGATGATTCGAAGCGATATCACAACTGTGGAAACCCTGTCTGTTATCATGTCTAGGCTTGACCCTAGAAGAGAGCACTGATTGAGCATCCTTGCAAGATGCCCATCAAAGAAATCAAGGAGAGATGATAGGCCATATAGAACAACAAACGCTGATCCAGATACAAAGGTAGATGCAATCAGGAGTCCAATTCTGAAATATCCAATTGTGTTCGGAACATTGAACATCACACTTAACTTCATCTTGCAAAATGGGGTAGCATGATCTTTGTTTTGAAGTTCTCAGCATGAGAGAGCGAAAGAAAATAAAAAGCATTGAAAATATATATTTATTAGCCATTTGGTGTACGGGGTTGCTTTCTCTTGTCCTCACGGAAAGATTTTTGGATCCGTCTAGCTATTGCGTTTGTAAGGCTGAGAAGACGCTTTTCTAGGAGGACCAGTGAATGTAAAAGCCCACTGAATTCCTGAGCCTCCACCACTATTCTATTAAGGCATTCGTGAACCTTAACACCGTTGACAAAGATAGATATTGATGTGTCTTGCTGGATGATAGGGAAGGCTTTCTTCCTGCCCTTTTTATACCGCTCCAGCGTCTCCCCGAGACTTAGTATATATGAAGTCGATGGAATGCTGATGGTTATGAAAAATACGTTCGGGTTTGACACAATTGTCCCCAGCCCAAGCCTTCCAAGCTCTTTGTCATTTGATTTAGAAGTAAATATAATCTCACCAGGCAATTCCGGAGATGGAATTCGGAGTTCGAACGGGAGGGGGAACTCTACGCACATCCCCAACCCATTTATTTCAGGAACAAATGGGACATGTGGAGGGAATATGCTTACCAAAGAAAACACAATCGGCATGTTGAACCTTATCTTTGAAATATATATCATTCCATCATTGGGAATATTTACCTCAATTCCAAACCTGCTGGTGAGACACCAATCTTCATATTCTGATGAGCCAACAAAAGGATCGTGATATGGCTTTTCCAGTATCGTCCTTCTTCCACTAAGCTGAGGTTTCCTTACAGTCTGAAACTTGTACTTAATCGTCTCAGAAAACAAGAACTTAGAGAATGTAAGGTTGAGGATCTCATAGGGCGGGCTTTCACTTTCATCTCCCTCCTTTCTGTCTCTCCAAGGATTTCTTTTACAAGATTCTATAGAGAACCCCACAGTATCTTTATCCACTTCTACCACAAACCTCATTCCTGATGGTAGAACTTCATAGAAAGAGCTCAAGAGTAGATTAGGAACCTTTGAAAACAAGAGATGCTTCAGCCTGTCACTAAAAATCTTCAGCGACCAAGTGTCCTCATCAGAAGTCATCGTCTTCCCCACACTTCTAATCTTCCAATTGCTTGTGCTACCGATTTCTGCAGCCAATATCTTCTTTCCCTTTCCTTTGGAAAACTCATTTCTTATGTCTGCCATTATCTTTCTATATAGCGAGTGCTCTATGACCATAGGCTTGCTTAACTTGTTGCCATTAATAAGGCACACATTCATTAAAGTATTGGCCACCGAAAACTCTGAGAACCGGCACAGTATTCCAAAAGACCTGTATTCACACCCTTCAAACTCATGATGAGACCAGGGTAGAATCTCTATGGAAGCAATTCCTCTGCCTTGAGAGTTCTCATCGCATACATCAAAAGCCGCAACCCCGATTCTTGGGATGTCAAACTCAATACTTGCAGAGTTGAACATCTCCATGGGAATCGACATCTCTATAACACCTTCATGCACACATTCAAATCCTGGGGCACAGTCTTCCATCTTCCTTAGCCTAGACTTGACTATCAAGTCCTTGTTACAGACATACTTTTCAACCCCCATGCCATCTTCTTTCATCATAACCCTGGAAACTATGTCCTTGATTGCTCTTGCTATATAATCCTTTTCATTGCAAGCCACATCTACATCGCACATCCCCAATGCTACAAGATCATAAATGTGAGAAAAGGATATAGAAACATCTATTCCACCCGCGGCATTGAGGCATACCTCTTTCCCTTTCTTCGAATAATGGAACTTGGAGTTTCCGATCTCCACCACTACGGGATGGATTGGCCCAAAGCTTAGGCCCTTTGTATCTGCTACTAAATTGAACTTTATCCCACCCATCACCCTGATAGTATTCTGGACAAAAGCTCCAAGATCATCGGGCTTACCGTTATCAGGGATGATTATGGAGAAGTAATGCTTTCCAAATTCATTAGGCTTGCTATTATTATATTTGACACAAATCTTTCTGGAGCCAAATCCTTGCTTTTCCCCCTCCTCTATAGGGTCATCCCCAACGTACTCAGTACTCCTTAGTATATAGTCTAAAGTATCTTCAATTTTTATATGCATCACAAACTTCCCAAAGAGTCTTCTACGCAGTGGTTCATTTGTGTTCTTATACAAAATGTTAGAACTATCCACATCAACTTTTATGTTTATTCCTGCACTGACAAGAGAGAAGCTGAAGCCTTGGAGATTGAATTGGACGAACCCAACGGTGTTTTTCTTAATCGGAGAAAAGGCAACTGCGGTGTCAATGCGGAGAGCTTCAGAAGCATTAGAGATGACATGGTGGACATTAATGGGGTATTTACTCTTTTCAGAGGACAGAAAGTCATACTTTTCATCCGAAAAAAAAAGATAGAGCTTTTCAGAAAGATCACATGCTACCCCGATACCATTCACAAGAATACCCAGCCCAACCTCAGAATTGAAGACAACCCGCAAATCCTTCTTCCTCCACATTCTGAAAGCTTTCAGAGTCTTCAAGGAGTTAAACTCAGAGAATGTACATGATAGTACAAAGTGTCTATCTGTGTTGCTTAGTTCAACATTAATCCTTCCAATGTAACATCCATTGAGATGCACAATTCCTTCGAATGGGTTAGAAGGAATGCCCAAAAAGCTGTAACTCTCAATGCCTGGAAGCGCATCCTTACTGATATAAATATTGAACCTCGAGTACTTCTTTTTCATCACATTCCTCATAATTATTACAGGAGCACTCAAAGGTGTTTTTTTGGCATCATTATCCATAAACGTTATGTCATAGTCCTTTGAGTTTTTTGCATTGAATCCAATTCCAATTCCGAGCCTGATGTGTTCCTCAGGTGTCCCATCATCGTGATTTTTGAAGTAAAAATCTTTCATCCTAATACATACCTCGTCTCCTCTGAGTATTTGAACAAAGTTCCTTTTAAGCTCATTTCCCCATTCTTCTGATATACTGATCTTTATGATCAAAGGCTCCATGAATATGGATCCGTCTACCTCAACAGGTGCAATCGTTAAGGTCCTTGGGCCCTTCCCTCCTCCAAAGTTGATCACGACCTCGCGACTTCTGATCACAACAAACCTGGGGACATTGAACTTACTACTGTCCACCTCTCCTTCCAATAGAAGACAACCATCCTTCATTCTAGTATATATCTGCTTAAATACAACCTCCTTTCCAGGACGGGAAATCGAACTCCCTAAAGAAAGGGTTTGGGAGCTACGGAAGGGAAACCTTATGAAACATAGGCGAGGATACATCCTTGCATCTATCTTGACCACAAAATTGATGGAGAATCTTGATTCAAGCACATTCCTTCTGTTGAAATTCTCAATATATATGTCTCCATTAAACAGGATATTCTTATGCTTTGCAATGTTAGCTCCAGGGATTCTCAGCGACATCAAGGGACTCTCAATGCCATCCATTGACATGCTAAATAGATTCGCAGTTACATCCGTGAACTTTACATGAATAGGGGACTCCGAGTTCTCAAGCGAAATCCCAACCTCTATCTTTTTCCATGTCTTTGTGTCATACACCACCTTATTGAGGCACAGCTTGCTAAGATCCAAAGTGTATAACCAATAGAAAGTGTTGGCCAACCGACACATTGCAATTATAGAAAACAAATACAACGAGTATAGAATAAGCTTCCTCTTCTTACGTCTGAAAGGATTTCCCTCATGCCCAGATGGACTTTTGAGTGATGGAAATTCTTCCAACTTGCCTATCAACATTCTCTGGGGTGACCATTTGAACACATTACAATGCTTAAATGATAACACTTACCAGCAAGCCCATAGGAGTTTAAGTATAATGATTGAAATGTCGAGGGACGAGTTAAACCAGCTAGTTTACAAATATCTTGAAGATGAAGGATACATATACACTCTTTTCACATTCAAAAACGAAGCCGCACCTAGTGATAAGCCTCTTGGTCATAGTTTGGTATCTCTTGTAGGGAAAGGGCTGCAGTACATATATGGTACCGAGCATCTGAATGGAAACGAGGTAGTTGAGTGTGATGCAAAGTTCTGTTTGTCCGAGGAGCATGTGTGCAAGTTTAAAAAGAAGGAGGATGCAAGTGCCGATGCACTCTATGGGTTGAAGAAGGAGGGGACGATGGTTGTTGATGTTGAAGAAGTTCGTTTGGGCAATGTAGGGAGTGAGTTACTTTCCTGCTGGAATAAGGAATGGCTGGGTATCTACACGACGTCTGGAGAGGTCCTTGGACTTGGAAGTGAAGGGTTGCTCTGGAAGAGAGAGATGAAAAAGGTAACAGCTTTGTCTTGGAGCGATGACAATTTAGTTGTTGGAAACGAGGGCGGTGAAGTAATAACAGTCAACATTTCAAGTGGAAGGACAAGGAGCCACACATGCCATAGCAAGGCTGTCACAAAAGTAAAGCAGCGTGGAATGGGAATCCTTTCGTCTGGAAGAGATGGGCGTATAGTTATGATGAACAACGGAGTTACTGAAATGAGTGTTTCTGAGTGTGGGGTGGAAGATATTGCATGGGTGGGGGAGAATGAAGTTGGATGCAGCCTAAGTGATTTTTCTGTTTCGTTTGTAAATAGCAACGAGCTCAAAGTATCAAAAGTGGGCACTCATGAAGACAAGATAAGTAACATAGAGCATAATGAGGAGATACTCTCAACATCTTCACATGACGGCACTCTCGGATTGTGGGATATTGTTTCAATGAACGGAGACAGAATGAATGTCCATGATGGGCGTGTTAACTGCCACAAATGGATGAATGGTAGGATTGTGACCTGTGGGTCTGACAGGTTTGTCAAGGTCTGGGATATGGAGAAGGCAATGCCTATTCACGAGCTAAACCATGAGGATGAAGTTATATCCGTTGACTGCTCATCACGCCTGGTTGCAAGCGGATCTCTAGATGGCAGAGTGATCCTAAGCGATTATAGATGCAATGAAGCTTACAGATACAAAGCAGATGGAAGCATTTCGAAAGTTTTATTTTCTGAGAGCGGGTCATATTTATGTATCTGTATATCTGGCCATCCACCAAAGTTGATAAATCTTAGGTATTTCTAACATTTGTTGTACTGATATTGTTTCATCATTTTTCCATTACCTTGATGGAATCTATGACTTTCATGATATGCCAGCATATTTCATATCCACAGGAGCACAGATATTTTGTTTTACCTTTTATTACATAAGATTTTCCTACCTTGAAGTAGTCTACCGAATGGATCCTTTCCCTATGTACGCTTTCCTTGTCAAGGTAGTCAATGTCGTCTCCCACTATTAGGTAAATAGTTTCTCTCCGCATCCTTTTGAATCTTTCCAAGTCCATTGGGGAAGAAGTAGAAATAACAAGAAAGCTAGTCTTAGATTCTTTATTTGAATCGGTTAGGCCCAAAGCTCACAGGGTCGACATATCTATGGCCGATGTCGAGACCATCGATAATAGAAATGTCTTCCTTTGCTAATTCCTTCAGATCGATATTCTCTTTCAAGTGCTCCTTAGACTTGCTTCTTGGAATTACACAGATGTTTCGTGAGACAATGTAGCTAAGTATTATTTGGGATGGGGTGCATTCGTATTTCTTGGCTATGGCCTTGATGGTCTTGTCTTCTCTAACCTTCTGAGATGAATCATGACCTGACCCGAGAGACGAGTAGCTAATTACTTGGATCTTCTCGGATTGCATGAATTCCACAAGCTCCTTCTGATTTAAGTATGGATGGAGTTCGAATTGGGAAACCGCCGGACGAATTCGACAGGCTTTAAGTACCTTTTCAGTATTTTCCTTGCCGAAGTTGGATATTCCAATCGACTTTGCCAATCCAAGATCAACAAGTTCCTCCATCTTCTTCCACACTGAGACTGCATCAAACTCTCCGATGTTGTACTTTTTACCACAAGACTCCACACTACCGTTGGGTGCGGGCTCAAATGTTACTGGCCAGTGAATAAGATACAGATCCACATAACTTGTCTGAAGATCATCCAATGTCTGTCTTAAGGCATCTTCCGGGCAATGATGGAATGTATTCCAAAGCTTTGATGTTATGAATAGGTCCTTTCTTTGTACTACTCCTTCATTGAACAGCTTTTTCAGAATGTTTCCTATCATTTTCTCATTGCCATATATAAAGGCGGTGTCGATATGCCTGTACCCCAAGCTAATTGCATTTCTTATCGAGGCTTCAAGAGATGATTCGTCCTCTAGCCCCCATGTTCCAAGGCCGACAGTAGGAATCTCATGTCCATTGTTAAGCTTCTGAGTTCTACACACCATTTGGGTTTTACAAAATCTGAAGATTTATTTAGAAATTACAAACATAGAATTGGATGGATTTGACAGGTTTGAGGTCTACCCCAGGATGAAGGAGGATTACGAAGATGAGGAGGAAAGGGTGTTCCAAATGATGTATAAGTGCAATAGGCCCACATCCAAGTCCGAGATAATGGCATACTTCAAAGGCGAGATAGGGGGAACTGCAATACAGGAGATTCTAGACTATTTGGAGTCTGATGGAAGGCTGGTGACAAAGACTTACGGGAAATCCAAAATATATCTTGTCAACCAAGACTTATTCCAGAGCGAGGAGGATGTCAAGCTGAATGCAGAGCTCCAGGAGTATGGGGAGAAAAGAAAGATTCTTGAAGAAGAGATTAGCACTCTTGACGCAGAAATTAAGATGCTCGACAAGATGATGTCTATCAATCAATTGGAAGAAAGTATCAAGATTCTAGATAAAACAGTTAAAGATAACCAAGAAAGGCTTGAAAGCTTCAAGAACGGGGGGAGAGAGGTTTCCAAAAAAGATATGGAGAATGCCAAAAAGAAGTATGAAAGGGCACAGTCTGGGCTTAAGAAGATCAGAAGGATCTTCAATGAGGTTATAGAAAGGCTTTCTGAGGGGATGGACATGAAAAAGTCTGAGTTATATGAGGAGATTGGAATTGAAGTATAATACTTGCCTCATGAGAATTTCTTATATTATTAAACGGTAATATTTTCAAATGCAATTGTTTAACCCCGATGCGAGACAACAAGCCGATAATTCTAACAAAGAAAAAACCTGAGGGCCAGAATAGGCCAAAGGGACCAAATCCTGAAGATGTGGAGGTTAAAATGGTCAGTAAAGAAGTAGGAGATGCTATAGCCAATGCAAGGACTAGGAAGGGGATGTCAAGAAAGGACTTGGCTCAGAAGTTGAAGAAAAATGTATCAGTGATTGATAGTTGGGAAAGAGGAGAGGCACCTTACAACGAGAAAATTGCAAGTGAAATTGAAAAGCTTCTTGAGTTCAAGATCAATTGGAAATAATAAAAAAACTTGTTTTTATTTTTAAGGCTCAAGCGGCTCAGAAAGACTGGTCCTTAACGTTCTGCATCAATGTACTATTCTTGTCCCGCTCCTCATTATAATACTTCTCAAGGAAGTATATTGTATTTGGTTTGTTCTCCATGCACAGGGAATATACTAAGGATGTGGTTGCTCTGTAATGATCTATGGTGAAGTCTAGAAGCTCAAAAACCCCAAGGGCTCTAAATGCATTTTGGACGTCTTCCATATGCCTGCATGCATCAGATAACATAAAGGCACTAGCGTTGTATATGTCTTTGTCCTTTAGCAGGCCAACTAGCTTTGGGAACTTCTCTTGGACCTTTGGGTTCAAAGCTGCTGCATAGTTTGACAGGATGACAGAAAGATCGTTTACAAGCCCGTTGCGAACCTCAGGGTCATTAGATGCATCTATTCCTTTCAGAGTGTTTTCTGTGGCCAGGGGATATGGATTCAGGATTATGTCGATGTTTTCCTCGTCTTCTTTTGTCAACCTCTCTCTCACCATTGGGGCTATGAAGAAGGGTCATTTCTAGGATTATCTTGCTGTGGATTCTTTTGGTCCTTGAACACATCCCTTCAATGCCGAATTTAGAAAGACTCCTGGCTGAGCAAGAGAACTTGGCAAAGAACAGAAAGTACAAGTTCTACGCGATCCCCTTGCCAGAAAAGCCAAAAAGAAACATTACGAGATGGGAGTGTGGGATACCAGGCCCTCCTGACGGAGTATACAAGGGAGCTTACTATACACTGTATGTGGATTTCCCAGATGATTACCCATTCAACCCCCCACAAGTAATGTTCAAGTATCCTGTGTACCATCCGAATGTTTATCCTACCAATCAGGTGTGCCTTGATATCATCGGAGACAGATGGAAGCCCAGTCTAAATGTCATGAATGTGCTGTGTGGAGTCCAACAGCTTCTTGAAGCCCCCAATACACGCAGCCCTGCAAACACAGATGCTAGCCTATGCTTTAAAAAAGATCTGGAAAGATATCTAGAGAATGTGAAGGAGAACATCGGAAGATATCATAGAAGGCCAGAGTGGAGAGGGCTATGAATGTTTATTGAGAAGTGTTTTGCCCAAACAAGTGCCTGTGTTCCTTGACAAGCTCTTCAAACTTCTTGATGTTTGAGCCAACAATTCTAGTTAGGGCACCCTGACTTCCGTTCTTGTCTTGTAGCTCTTTCATGTCCTTGTCTACAAGCACAACAGTTGGAAATGCAGTAATGTCGAATTCATCCCAGAGAGACGGATAAGAAGCTGTTCTTGTTCTGCAAATCTCGAAAACGTTGATTTCCAGGTCTGTACTGTATTGGCTAAGCTTTTCTTTCAGATCTTCACATGGGCCACAGTTTTCTGAAGAGAATTTTAAAAGGGAAGGCCTTCCGAGTTCCTTTACCTTTGCCTTTATTTCCTCGGGGCTCATACCACTGCAGTCGCGTACTATAATTGGCATCTTTGGGGTTTGTTTGTTTGGCAATAAAATATAAATAGAAAGGTTTCTGGAAAATGATAAAGAACTTCTTAAGCCAAGACCTGCGTTGCCAAGATGCTATGGTGCCATGATTTATTAGTATAATGGCAATCGAGATGTTAATGGGGAAAAAATTTACCCTCCAATGAGTGAAATGCAAGAGCCGATGATGGAATCTGAAATGACCCTCCAGGAGGCACTCTCCAAGGTATGCAAGGTGTCCAGGACGTACTGTAAACTAAGCAGAGGGGCAAGGGAGACAACAAAGAAAATACTTGCCGGAAACATGAGGTTTGTTATGCTCGCAAAGGATGCTGAGCCGAAGATTGCAAAACTTGTTACACTTTTAGCGAAGAAGAAGGACATTCCGATTATTTCAGTTGAAAGTCGGCTGGAGCTGGGAAAGATTGTTGGTGTGGAGAATGCCAGCTCAAGTGGGAAGGTAAGAAGCAAAGGATGCTGTGTTGCAGGGATTCAAGACTATTGCGAACAAACAACCGAAGCTGGGTTTGTTCAGGCAGCTTTGTTAAAGGGGGTTTCTTCCTAATAAAACGTTCTATCTATTCCCTTTATTCTTGATAAGTCGTTTCCTCTGCGGTGTTTGTAGACTATTGGAGGGCCTGTAGGGGCCCTAAAGGGGAGGGCATTAAGGAGTGTTAGTGATATAGAGGATCTTTAGTAACGGATTACTAATGGATTCACCTGATGGGAGATCTGGATCTTCGATTTCACTAAGGAAGCTAGGAATGATTGTGGCAATATTCTTTTTTGCCATGGCAACCGGACTTATGTTCATTTACAGGCATCTGAACAATAAAGACAACAGAATGTCTAGGCCAGGGCCACAGGGCAAGTTTGGGGTTTCTTTGAAAAGAGGAGGGAGCGAGTCCTCACCCTCGGGAAATGAAAGGATAAGTCTTCTTTCGATGGATGCAGATCACGTGAAAAAGCTATTCAATATGTTTTTTGAAGACATTAAAAACGGGAGAGAAGCATATTCGGATATTCTGAGGTTTCTAGAACGCCACGAAAAAGATCCTGGCTTAAGTTCTGGAACAAGGGGATTTATTAAAACAGCAATATCATTTTTAGAGGGCACCTCAGAATCTAAAACCGGCTCTTCAGATATCGAAGTCCTTATGGCGTTGGTTGATGTAATAGCCAAGCGATTACCAAAGAAATAAACCAAAGGTTTCTCTAATTTTCATGTGAAGTTTGTCGGCCATGTCCTATTATGTAAAAATGCTTATAACTTATCCACTGAAAGGAATGGATGGGACACAGATACCCTCCTTTTTCCTATAAGGCAAATATGCAGTAAAATGGTTAAATTCTTGGAGAAGAAGGAGAGGTGCTATGGATATCCTGAGAAAGTGTGCTTCCTTACAACTCGCTTGTATGCTTATGGGGATGATAGGAATGGGAACTGCTACTAAGCCAGGGGAATCCTCATCTAGTTCTATTTATGGGGTGTCAAATGAAAGAAAGATAATTAATAACTACTTTAGTGACGACCAAATCGAGAAATTTCTTGAATGGATATCTAAAATACCAAACATCATCAAGGAAAATTCAAGTGAGATCAAGGTCGCTTCAGGATTGATAAAAGGCTCCAGAGAAAATCTATCTGGGCCAGTTCGAGCAATAGGTGATGTCTTTATTCGAATCCTTGGGACGAATGTGAATGATGTGAAGTTCTTCAAAGATTTCTTTATACTTGTTCTTGTTAAATTGATCAATATACCGGATATTATTGAGGAGGTGAGCAGTGCCTTGAGCTAGAAGTAATAAACAAAGTATTTCATCACGTTCTGTTCGGAGTTCGCAGTTAACCTGTAAAATATTTCTAGACCCATAGTGAGAATGAGCATCGAAGAAATTAAGGGCAGCACCGAGGAGAACGGTGGAGGTGGAGAGGACAAAAAAGATAGAGAGCAGTGCATGGATAACTGCAAGGACAACGAGGAGGTGAGTAACATATTCAAACCGGGGGACTTGAGTGATCTCAGGAGCAAGAAAACTATTTTTGAAGACCTAGGTGGGGAAAAGAAGCAACCAAAGGAGTCTGAGTTTTTAAAGACGCCTGTTTCAAAGAGTTCGACACCTGTGCAGAACGAGATTCCTGGGGTTGTGTTTAAGGCAGGAGCCAACCTGCACAAGTTTGTAGGGGAATGGGAGAATATAGGGCCAGGCTTTGTGTATGTGACAAGGAATAAGGAGAAGAGGTGCTTTTTCATTAGAGATGGGGTGATGATGTGTGCATTTGACTTCCTTGTCACCTATGACACAAGGCCCACGAAGAAGAAGCTAGGGGTGTGCATTGGAGTTAGAGAGATGATTGAAAATAAGTGTGTTGAGCAACCTTACTGTGTTGTCTTCAAGAATGAGAAAGATGCAAGTGAGTTTGTCCAGACAATGAAGATTTAGGATAAATGCACTGATATTATGAAATTAAACAAGACTATCATGGCATGCTTACTTCCTTGCATATTTCAACATTGCTCTACTTGAAGATGAATAGCACCCCATAACTGATGAATATTATAGCCGAGCTGAATGACTATCAGAAAAACATATGCCTAGAGTTTATTCTAATCAAGTATCTTGGAACAAATAAAACCAAAGGCAATGATAAAATCGACGTGTGGTTGGTTGGAGACGAAAGTGGAACAATAGAGTTTGGAGTATGGAACTGCTCTTTAAGCCCGGGAGATGTAATACATTTGTCTGGGGGATATACATCGTTATTCCAAGGAAAGAAACGACTCTTTATATCCAAAACTGGATGGATTAACCGAGTGAGAACTTTCAGAAAGATATTCAAAGTAAGTGAATGCCATGAAGAAATACTTAAAGAGTTTTCAGAATGATTGAAAGAGAGAGGAGATGGCAAAAAATGAATCATTTATTCCAGGAATTTGGAAAGGAGCACTCTGAAACTCTTTGGATCCTTGACCCTGTACGCCGCAGATGTATCTTGTTGACCTACTTTAATGGTGTATCCATTACACAGATCAAATGCTTCTTCATCAGCAACATCATCCCCCGCACATAAAATAAATCCTTCTCCAACTTCCTTCATGACACATGACTTTTTGCTGCTTCTAACTTCAACTATATGATTGCCTTCCTTCACATTGTCTCTACAAATCCTCATCAGAAGCTCGAAAAGAGCTTTTGCTTGCTTCACTCCTACAAGAGGAGACGCATTCCTGAAATGGAAGGCATAGCCTGTTCTTTTCTTTTCCAGCTCAGAGCCTGGTGTCCTCAAGTGAAAGAACTCTGCAACCCTCCATGCAAGATCCTTCTGTGGAAAGGCAACGCCTTCCTTCCATTCCCCGTTGACCCGACGGCATGCTCCATGCTCTGCAAAGACCTCAATCTCCCTTGGAAAAAACTTGTCTGAGTCCTCGACGCTTCTTCCAGTAGATATTATAACTCTACAGACCTTATTCAGCCTTACAAGCAGATCCTTTATTTCTTGAGTTGGTGCTGCCATCGAAGGATGCACAGCAATGTCTGTCAGTGTTCCATCATAATCCATAATCAATGTCCTGGTCTTGCTTTTCTTGAAGTCATCAACCATCCTTGCAGCATTTTCATCCTCCTTGCTATCCAAGTCAATTTGAATTGCTTCTTTCTTCCTGTCCTCCCGCTTTTTGGTACTCGACTTTTTCTTTGCATTCTCCTTCCCATTTTCTTTTTGTTTCATTGACAACGATGTCCTCACCTTTGGCTCTTTGGGCTCAAGATCAACGTCATACTCAATTCCACTAGCATTCAAAAAGTTCGTCATAAAGCGCCTCTTCCATTCCATCTTCCCAACCATCTCCTCAGAGTTCTCTTCAGTACTTTTTCCTGCTTGTTCAAGCTTCTCATTTATCTCGTCTGCTACTTCAAAGAAATCATATGGATTGCTTTGGACAATAGGAATCCCAAGAAGCGAACAGACATCTGTTATTTCTGAGCAATGGCATAGATCGCAAGATTTCAACACAGAAACAAATTCGGCATCATTTGCAGGTATAAATACCCTTGATGGGATGTTGTAGTTCATCTCAAGATACTCCCGAAGTCTCATAACCTCGGTTTGCTCATCAAAGTCTCTGTTTAAGGCCTTCGTGATCAGAAACAAAATCATAATCTCTTTCTCATACCTAGACAAATAGGCTTCAATCCCAAGAAGATGGGTCTGGGAGTCAAATGGAACAAGAATGACCTTTTTCCCTTCAAACCCTTTAAATCTCTCCACCTCAGACGATACCTTAAGAATGGCATCTCTATCAATTCCTCTTCTTCCTACACAAGTTAGCGGCACCCTTACATCCTTATACTCTGGATTTCCTGCAACAAATCCCTTCTTCTGAGAAACTAGCATGTTAAAAGATCCCTCAGACAAGTTCTCACTAAACTCAATGTATTTGCAGCAAAGAATCGATGAAAAAAGTTCCTCCCAAAATGGAATGCACTTGAACAATAATGAAAAGGGAGCACAGAAAGACATTCCAGTAGGAACAGAGCCAAGCATGCCTGGAAGGAGAAGTAAAGAATGGTCTATCACCCACACAACATCCCCTTCTTCATAGATCTCCATTATTTTCTTACAATATTCAGTGACATACACCTTGTATCTTTCAAACATGCTGGCATGGTTTAGATCTTTTTGCACAAACTCATAGGTGTTCTTCCGAAGGATTCTTTCAATCATTCTTGAGTATTCTCCCTTCGTTTGGAACACAGGATAGCATCTATAATGCCTCATAGATTCTTCAATCCTCTTACAGTCTTCATCATCGAAAGCCTCAGAAGAGTAGAATCCGGGTGTCCCTACAAAAAACATCTCTCCATCATCCAACATATCAGGAACCATGAAGTGAGGTTTTGCAAAAAGCCTCAGCTTTTCTTCATTATCCTCAGAAAACTCTATCTGGATCTTGCTTGCCTTATCAGGATGGGAAATCTTCTTCAAGAGAGAAGAGATCCTCTTTCTTATTGTTTCTTCGATCCCCATCCTCGATGCACATATGGGCAGTTCATCCATGGCAACTATGATCTTCATTTTCAGGAAAGACTACGGAAGGACGTTATATATCAAATCCATGTCTTGTGGACAAATAGGGTTCCACGTATCAAGCATTCTGATAGAGACATTGCTACAGCCATTTTACTCGAGAAGACATCCCTAACAACAAACTCCAAACCGAATCAATCATATTTTTCTTATGGGAGTCAGGATAATACAGGCCTGGTCGTCCTCCTGAGGCTTCACAAATCTCTTGATAGGAAAGTATTCTATAGCTAATCCGAACCTGGATATAAACTTCTTTGTGGATTCTAATGCTTTCGAATGGGTCGAGAAGTCTAGCTTTCTTAGCATACTCTCCATATCATCTACATCTCCAATACTTGCTTCTACCATACACCCACTTCCATGTTTGCATGACCGGCCATACACTAGAGATCCATTGGTAAAGTCGGTTCTGCACAGCAATGCTGCAAACATCTCCTCGAGGCCTCCGACAAAGTGCTTTCTCAGCCTGTCCTTGGGGTCGTCTTCAAAATACACAATCTCATCCATATGCTTGAATGGATAGGATATGTTCTCGTGATGGTTCGACCATACATGTACATTGTCATAGATCTCCTCAAATACCCCAATCCAGTACTCCAGCAATTCTCTAGGCCCTCTAATCTTTTTTTCCTTGTTCAAAGAGCTACCATTAAAGATATACTCATTCTTCGGAATGCTGAAACAGCAGGAAAGGTCCGGGGATAGTACCCTTAAAATCGACATTATGAACTCTCTGGCATATCCTCTTTCGCATCCTGTCGTGTCCACATTCTTTATATACACACGGGCTCCTATCCTTTGAAGTGTCATTCCAACCAAGAGTGCCTCTCTATTGAAGAGAAGGAAGAGGTAGCTTCCACCCGACACAAATGCCTGGACACCAACGCTGGAGTCTCCGCAAGAATTCTCCATATGTTTCCTTATCTCTAGATCCATCCACAGGGTGGTGAGTTTCTAAGTAAATCAAAGATCTTGGAGCTTTTTAAGATGGGATACCAGTGCCGGATAAGAATATCCCCAATGGGATGGGTGGAAGCGATTAACTCAAGGATAGATGCAGAGGATGGAGAGTATGTTTCGCGGCTGTTCAGTAAAAATGCAGAGATGGACATTGAACAAGGGAACATCGATCTTAGTGGAGTCAAGTATCCGTTCAACATTCTCCTTGAACATCAAAAAGCGGCCGTAGAAAAGAAGAGCTATGGTGCACACGAGTTACTAATAAAAAGCACTGTAAGAATGGTTGGGAGAGAGAGGTGGACTAGTCCGATCATTAAAAGAGTTGTGTATGAGCTTCTCGAACCATGGGGTCGATACAACCCTAATAGGATGAGCAAGCTTTTAGCAGACATATATAAAAAGTTAATAGAACAGAAGAATCCAGCCTTTGTCTATGTTGGGAATGCCTTATTCCATATACACCTTGAAACGGGAAGATTCAAGCTGGCAGAAGACCTACTGATGATTGTAAAGGAGCCTGAGACAGTTTGTAGAGACTATTACGTGTTCTACTATTACAAGGGAATTATTAAAATGTACCAAGAGAGCTTCAAAGAATCTTATTTGGCATTGGAAAGAGCATTTGGGTACAAGAAATGGAGAAGGACAATGGCGCCTGTTTATTTCATTTCATCTCTACTTGTCAACAAGTTCCCCAAGGACATATATCTGAAGAGGTTTGGATGTGATTACTTATCAGAGGTAGTCTCTGTAGTGCGAGGAGGTTTCTATATGGAGGTGGATGATGCAATCAGAAGTGCGTCTAAAGGAGTTGTAAATCATAATCTCTGCAGAATCATCTCAGCCCATTGCCCACTTATATGTTTCAACAATCTAGTGAACAGGACCTATCTGCAGTATGGGTGTGACAGTAGACTCGACATCCAAAAGATCTCTGAGGCTTTACCTGATATCGACTTCAAAGAAATTGTTTGCCTCTTGAGCAATGCAATCGAGTCAGGCAGATTGAGAGGATATATATCGATTAGCAGAAGAGTGGTGGTGTTTAGTAAGGCCGACCCCTTTCCGATAATTGTTGTTTAGGCAGAGGAGTACAAGGTCTGGCTATCTAGCCATTTCAGCAGATAATCCTAGACTATCTATTGCAACACCTCGGAGATCTTTGATGAACCTTATAGCATCGTCCTTGGACTCCAAAGTCACAAATGCAAACCCTCTGAACACTCCTGTCTCTCTGTTCATGACAAGATTGGGACTCATGAAGAAGACACTTGTATGTGACTTAATGATAGAGTATAGCCTATCCCTTGTCATGTCCAGAGGAAGGTTTGAAAGCTTAACGCTACATGTTTCCGGGCGTTTGATTGTTGGAGGGACATAGGCATTTGACGTAGTTGGCTCCTCCAAGGAAGGCCTGTATGGGGTGTGTTGCTTCTCCTCCTCTTCATACTCAATGCCTATTTCTGTTGTATACAGATTAAATTTTGGTGCAGCTGTACTTTTAACGACTCTTATTCTGCTCGTGTCTCCAAAAGTCTTTATGCCTCTCCTTCTTTCTATACCTTTAGTGTCTGGATTGAACTTTACTATTTCCATTGGGATTCCAATTCTTTTGGTTTTAATGTGTCCCAGAGACAGAATAAATTCACAAAGATTTATTTACATTCCTAAGTATCCAAGTACAAAATCAGATACCTTTTTGTTGAAAGGCTTATATACATATCCTCCGGGCGCAAAGACCCCACCCCTGGATTGCTTTCTACAAGGGCCTTCCAAGTAGAACAGTGATGCCTCCGAATCCAACCATATTTTGGAATAGTTGGATTCCCAGAAAGGCCTTCGAAGCATGACCTCCCCATTAAACTCGTCCTCAATAATAGGTTCAAAGGATTGCCTGGAAGATTTATAGAAAGAATGATTAAAGATATGAATTTCACCAGAGAATACATTCCGAGACTTATCAAACCTTTCTCCCGCGTTCCTTCCCACCTCTTCATCGGTCTGGTTAAGGTCTTTCTCCACTAGTAGGACGGGCCCATCAATTTTACTGCAAATAAGCCTATCGTCCGAGTGTTCATCTATCTCTCCCAATACCAGTTCATAATCCCTATAACTTCTCTTGTTGTCTTTCTGGTGGTTATGAACCGGGAGATTGCCTATGTCGGTGTTTGGAATATGGATGAAACAGCATCTTTTTCCATAAGGGCAGCTTCCTTCTTCCCAGAAAGTCTTACATGTCTCTGTCTTGTATTTTGGATGCCTCTGAACATATCTAAGCTCAGCCTTGCTATGTGCAAACTGGCACTTATCACCATACTTGCAATAGCCTATCTCTGTATGGCTTCTACACATTTCTGTCTTGTAAAGCTGGTATTTTTTATTGGTATGAGACCCTCTAGCTGACGAGAAGTGTGTTTGGATAGAGTTAGAAAGCACCTTAGAATCGTGGCCTTTCAGCCTTCTTTCAAAAGGATTTTGCTCTTTATTGATTGATTGTGTGGAGATATGGGGTATGACATTCCCTTGGAACAGCTTCTTATTACTTTTAAAACATGTACAAACATTTCTAGGCTTGGAAGCCTTTTTGGCCAAAAGACACTGACACTTGTCCGGATAGCCTTCTGTACAGTCGTTTGTGTCAATACTGGTTGTCTCTATCGGCCATGGATCCTTGTCCATTTTCCCTCCAAAAATGTCCATGAACCTTAAGTTTAGGTGGAGTAAAAGATATGTATACCAAGCAATTTTTGACTATGATTAATAGATAAATTCACCTTAAATCAATAAATTAATTTAAGCTTCTACCAAGCTCTTGATCTTTAAGGCTAAATTAAACGCCATCCAACATCCATCCTTCAAGATATTTCTGATAAAGTATCTCGGATATTACTTCTCTATTTCTGGAAATCATGTTTCTAGTTCTGTGTCTTGGAAGCCGGCTTTATATAGGAAAGACAATAAGGTCCTCAGGGTCATCTTGGCTCATTAATTTGATATTAGAGGAAATGATATGCTCTGTCTAATTACGTCTTTGGCATCAGAGATCATGGCACTCCCAAAAAGGAAAAAAGAATGTGACAAAAGACTATTCTTTGTTATTTTAATGCATATATTTGTGGAGCAAGGGCAGTATCAATGAAGCTTTTGGGATTGTTGGCAATTGCATTTGGTGCTATCAACGCTCTTAAGACCAAGGCCCTTCACCTTAACTGTGAACAGGAGCTTAAGCCTTACAATGCTGTGCTGGATGCCAAGTGCATGGCATTTGCCCTGAACGGAAGCAACATCAACGAAGCAATCAGATACCTCAAGGCAATGAACATCGAGAAAGCATATGTACTCTACTGGAACGACCACGATCTTCGTCAGAATCCCATGGTTCTCTACAGTAACGGGACTCTTGCTCCTCTTGACCCACACACAAACACAGCAAAGTACGTCCTTTGTGTTGAGACCTGCACCTGCCCAGGATCCGAGATTAGGCCTTCTGCCCCTGCTCCATGCGAGAAGATATATATCGAGAACAATGGGTCTGTCCCATGCGAGAAGATATATATTGGAGGAGAGACCACCACTTGCAAGAAGATTGTTGTCAACCCTTCTCCAAAGAGAGAGTGTATTCCATGCGAGCCCTGCGATTCTAGCAGCAGTGATGAGGTGTGCAAGGACAAGAGATGCAAAGTCTTCCCAAGGGTATGCAAGAAGGCATGTGGATCAAGGCATCGTAGATCCCCAAAGAAAGTTGAGGTTGTGAAGAGTCAGAAGACATTCACATTCGATGTTGAGAAGTATCGAAGAAGAGGAGAGGTTGTTGTCAGAGTTTGCTCTAAGGACTCCAAGGATAAGTTCGAGAAGTTTGTCCTGTCTAGGAATGGAGAGATCAGAGGAAAGAATGACAAATGTGTTCCCGAGGTTCTCCCAAAATGCCTTAGATGCCCAAGCAAGGTCTACAAGCTCAAGAAGCGAATTGAGCGTGATGTCTGCCAGAAGGTTTGCATGTACATCAACAGCAAGTGCGAGATCTTTGTACTGATTGGTGATTGTGAATTCTACAGGGTTATTGTCAGAGAAAACGGAAGGCACAGAGGTCTCCGTCTTAGAAAGGTTCGAGGGCACAAGCTCAAAGAGCTCATCAAGCACGGTCTCTTTGGTGTTGAATTTGGTCCTGTGGATTGCAACTGATTGTAAATAAAAGCAGACTGTAAAACTTGTCTTAAGCCTTTTTTAGAGCTGTTCGCAAGGTAATCAAGAGATATTCTAGTTACCCCGATGATGCAGCTTGGACATTTATTCGCAGGCCAAATAGTTATGTACATCTCCTTCCTACTGCTTGTGGCCGTTTCTGAAAGCAGGATCATACCAACAGGAGTAAACTACCTTGCCAGGTCTTCTTTCCTTCGTGTGTCGGATGCCAAGGGTGTGTTCTGCTTTCTGTTCTCGTTCTCCACAACAATCATTGGGTTTATGTTGGAGACTATGCGGTCAACAGCAAAGATATGTAAGAATGATCGGATGAAGTACAGGGTGATGAAGGCACAACGTGGATTTACTTATATGACATTAATCCTGTTCATCGACTTCCTCAGTGCATATATATTCAAGTCCTTGAACGACAGGACAACCAGCTTGCTTATTCTTGGACTGGCCAGTCACATATGTTGCTCATTTACAGCATTTATTGGAATGGATATGCTGAACACCTTTTTCTATCTTACCTTTGTCATATCGAACTTGGGAGTGCTTCTCCTTACATATGTTGCTGGGTTTGACCGTGCATTCATAGGCGTGGGCCATTATCTTGGGAGATTCAGGCCTTTCTGAACTAAGGATGATTAAACTTTATGCCTCATTCCTTTGCTACATGCTTCTAAGCATCCAACTTTCTATTGGTTTTATAAATTCTTCCCACTGGTCACATAGAGTTGTTTGAGACTTCATTATCCCTACCTCAAATAAATACCAACTCTATCATTTCTTCATGAAGCTTTTGGTCATCAGCAATCGTCTACCACTAACAATAAAGAAGGGGAAGAATGGGTTTGAATACACAAGGACAAGCGGGGGCCTGGTAACTGGGCTGAAGAGCATAAACGACAGAATCAGGTTCAAATGGCTTGGCAACATAAGTGGTGTCGAGCTGAATGAAGAGGAGAAGGATATAATAAGAAAGGACTGCTGGGAAAAGTTCCATTCAATCCCTGTGTTTATCGATCCAGAACTAAACAGCGATTGCTACGATGGATTCTGTAATGCCATTCTCTGGCCAATAATCCATTCATTCAAGGACGATGTTGCATTTACCATCAAGAACTACAACGCATATGTGGAATACAATAGGATCTTTTGTGATAAGGTATGCGAGGCTTTAGAGGATGGAGACATTGTTTGGGTTCACGACTACCATCTGATGATGCTTCCGGAAATGCTAAAGAAAAAATCCAAGAAGGACTTCAAAGTGATGTTCTTCTTACATACTCCATTTCCACCGGCAGAGATAATGGAAACCCTTGCATGCAGAAAAGAGATAGTAAGTGGGATGGCACACAGCGACCTTGTTGCATTCCATTCATTCGACTACGCCATCAACTTCCACGACACATGTATAGCCAACCACATAGAGGTGAAGACTAAGCTGGATGCAATTCCCATAGGAATTGATCCTGAAATGTTCCGAAAAATACTCAAAGAAAAGAAGACTGTGGAAAGGATAAAGGAGATCAAGCAGATGTTCAAGGGAAAAAAGATACTTCTAGGTGTGGACAGGACTGATTACATAAAAGGAATGCCTCATCGTTTCAAGGGGTTCCACAGGTTCCTTGAAAAGTATCCGGAGTTTGTTGGAAAGGTTGTGTTTCTTCAGGTTGGTGTTCCCAGCAGAACAAACGTTAAGGAGTACTCTTCATACACTAACAAGCTGAACGAACTTGCATCCGAAGTAAACAGTAAGATTGGGCCTATTGAAGCAACACATATACACTTTCTAAACAGAAGTGTGGAGTTTGACGAGCTGTGTGCGTTGTATGCAGCAAGTGATGTCCTCCTTGTGACATCGCTGATAGATGGAATGAATCTTGTCGCTCTGGAGTATGTTTCATGCCAAGACGAAAACAAAGGGGTGCTCCTTCTGAGCGAGAGTGCAGGAGCATCCACAACTTTATCTGCTGCATTGGAAATAAACTCGTGGAATACTGAGGAGATTGCTGATGGAATACAGAAAGCCATCATGATGCCCATGGAAGAAAGGAGTGAAAGACATGAGATAAATAAGAAGGCTGTTGATGTCTTTACATCTGTCGAGTGGGCAGAAAGGAATCTCGATGGACTTTGTGATGGCTGGAGGAAATCACTGATGCTCTAGACGAGATTCTCTGCGAATAAATTAGGTTTATTCAACATTTGTTTGCCAGCCCAAGCAAATATATTTTGCTGAGGCGACACCCTTCAGGAATGTTTTTCTTGTTTCTAGGACATGTTTTCTCAAGAACTTTGTTCTATTTGGACAAGAGCAAAGAAGTGGAAAGTGCTCTAAGATTGAATGGGCAGACTGTAGTTCTGATGCAGGCTGATCTGTTCCACAAGGAATCGGCCAGCTATCCATGGAAGGAGGCAAAGGGAACAAGTCCCGGCATCGGGCTTAGCATATACAAGTCTGACGGGGATTACAAGAACGCAGATCCTGACCCAAAGAAGTTGACCTTTAAGGATGTGAAGCGCGATATGTCCACTACATTCTTCTATACAACACCAGAAACAGGATATTACACTATGGTTTTTTCTTTGGACAAAGACGTCCAAGGAGAACAGGCCCTTGGGCTTGCCATTTACGAAGGGCGCCCATGGATCCCGGAGATTGTTTCAGGGACAGATTATCAAATGGAATGGCTGATAAGGAAGATGAGCGATTTGCTGTATGCCTCAAAGAACAACTTTGACCTGCAAAATTTGGACGATTGGGACGAGGTAGAGTATATGATTCTATACAATAGCATATTCAAGCTTATCAACGGGGTAGTTCTGCTCAAGATAGGCACAGTATTTGTTACCTTATTGTACATCAACAAAAAAACAAAGGAATTCTATGTGTCTAAGAAGATAATAAAGAAGTAAAAATACCTTTACTTCGTGTTTATTGTTTCTTCTTGTGCAAGTCTATGACTGTAAAACCAGGGCTCCTTCTCTCCTCAGGTTCTCCATATATTACAGGCTTAGATGGAATAAACTTTGGAAACATAACTTTCTTTCTCAAAGCCCTTATATTATTTTCTATTGTTCCTTGCTTAGCTCCAAAGTGAATGGTTTCAAACAACTTGAGAGTTATTGCATCTCCAACCATCTCGGATATTTTATTGAAGGCTTCCATCACATCCATAAAACCTTCTAAAAATTCGTTTATAATCTCTTCAACCCCGTCAGCTTCTGCCTTACACATACGATTTATGACAGCCTTGCGTCTGTTTTGTCTCTTCTTCTCCTCCTCAAGAATGTTTTTATCAAGGTATTTTGGAATCTCTGTCCCAGTGCTTGGTAAAGCCTTGCTTTGAGGAATACTAGCCTTAACGAATGAGGAAACCCTAACCTCTCCTCCACTTGGATCCATAACACTTACTCTAGCCAATGTTTTTTTCTTCTTAAATGGATCCATCACGGGAATGTTGCATTTCCCATATCTTGGAATCTCCGATAGCTTAGTACAGACTTTGTGAAACCTGTTCAAGTGCTCAAAGAGTTCAGTTTGGTACGGAAACACATAGCATTTGTTTACCTGACAAGTCTGGAAAGTACAGCAGTAATGAGCATTTCTATAATGTGCCTCCAGATCTTTGAAGCCACTGTAATATTGATATTTCGTTCCCATCATGTCACAAACATGGCATAGCTCATGTTTGAGATTGCAATGCTGCTTTGCATCATCAGAATCAAATAGATAGATTTTGCAGTGAACGCATAGCACATGGCCATCAAATCCTTCTTCTTGGAGACTCCCATTCTTGTGATCCTTGATCGTGTCGCTTCTATAAAGCTTGATTTCATTCCAAAAATCCTTTCTGTTCTTGATGCATTCAAGACAAAGAATAACTCCATGACAACTATAGTGTTTACTGAGCTCTTTTAAAGTCCCAAATTTGTTGTGGCACTTTTGACATTTGTTGGACAAGAGATCCTCCATCATCTTCTTCACACATTCTCCCTCATAAAAAACAGTCGACGCAGCCCTCCGACCTTTCCACAGCTGCTTGGAAGCTCTTTCACAACCCAATGAAAGTGTAGAAAAGATAATTTCTTCTGCAGGCTTTCTACATAGGGGACATGTGGGCTGCATGTACAGAAACACAAGCCTCATGGAACAAACCATGCATATTCGATGGTTGCAATCATATCTTGCAAAAACATCCATACTACCGGTACATACTTGACACCCCATGGGTCTGCGATAACTAGTAATTTACAATCGATTTTGATGTGTGCAAAAACGAAGGTGACAGGATTCGAACCTGTGAGGGCGGAGCCCACTAGTTTTCTAGACTAGCGCCATAACCACTCGGCCACACCTTCATATAATCCAAGACCATTCCCGACAAGTTGCTTCCCCAGACAGCTTTAATTCGCCCCCATACACCAGTCATCGAAAGTATCAGGGATGGATATGCTGCTAACAATTTAGTAGAAAGTGATATTACATTACACATATGTGGATTAATCTTTCCCCTGCTGAGAAAGAGTACATAGGGCCATAACCCCTTGAAAATGGAAAGGACAGAACACACAGGGCCATCTTCAAAGCTCAAACTGCATATTTATAGCAAGGTTCCAAAAAAGAAACATGTAAGAGAAAATGTCGTTGTCAGGAGCTATACTAAGAATCCAAGAAGAAAACCCAAGCCTTGGAGCCTCGAAGAGGAGGAGGCATTGCTTAGAGGAATCAAAGAACTAGGACATGGCAAATGGAAGGAAATTCTGGAGAAGTATAAAGATGTCTTCCAAGAGGGCAGGAGACATATAGATCTGAGTGACAAGATCAGGGTGATGAATAAGAAGGCATCCTATTATTACACCACAAAAATAAACTTCATTGAGGTCAACGATGAAGGAGAAGAGGTCTCAAATGCACTTGGAGAAAGGCGTGTGTATCCATCAAAGTTTCCCTATTCCGCAGCAAAGAAGGCGGGGCTGTACCGGTTGTCTTCCGGAGTAAAGGAAGCAATAATTAATATCCAAGGAGAGAGAAATGGTGTCATAGTCAGACATAAATACCTTGCATCCGCCTCTCCAGGGTCTCGTACCGGAATAAACCTTGTTAAAATAGGCAGTGAAACCATAGAAAGGGCTGCTGCACAACCAAAGGATACAGGGGAAGCCTTCAGTGCTGAAGAATAAACCTTTTATTGTTATTTTCTAGCTATCAATAGTCACTGGAATCCCAGATATATACTCACTTCCTACAACAAAGCTCTCTTTCCTCACATCAAAAGCAAGTGTAGACTTACATATCGGGCATGTCTGCTGCCGTTCACACCACATCTTGAGGCATTCTATGTGAAAGCAGTGTCCACATGCCAGTTTCTTTCCTATCTCCATGTCGTCCCTGCATATCGCGCAAAAGCCATCTCCAGACCCCTCAACACATTTCTCGAGGTCCTTACATAGCTTGAGGTAGCTAAGGAACACCTTGATCTTTGCAACCAAAGCATCCAATATTGTCAATGCAGATCGGAAGAGATTCAGAGGGAGCCTGTAGCTGAAAGACGTGATTCCTATGAATACTATATAAACAAGGAGTGTGATGCTCATGTATGCTATATCGATGTAGAAGTTGTGCAGAGACCTCTTGTCGTCATCATCAGACAGAATTAGATTCATGATGCAGATATTCTTTATAGAGGCTATCACAAGCAGAGTGTACTCAAAAAGAAAGAGAATCTGCCCATCGATGGAGGATATGCAGGAGAGAGTAAATAAGAATGCCATGAGCCCTGAAAACAGGGATATCCCATACGCAAGGCTATACAAGGAAGAGTAAACATCTCTTTTTATCCTTGTGCCTAGTAGCCAGCTAAGAGACTTCACACACAGAAGCATGGCAAAGAAAAGCCCATTCTTGAAGCTAATGTCATTATCAAACGTAGACACAACAAGAAGGAAGTCGGTCAAGAAGTAAAGCAAAGATTCGTTGAAGTTGCTTATTTCTTCTGATCTGAGACTCTTGAACACATGGTCTATTATCCGTCCTGTCAGGGTGCACATAAGAAAGATCAGAAACGTGGCATGAAGAATGTGCACAGTGCTGTTACGTGTCGTGGTTGTAAGAATGTTGTACATGGTTAGACTTCCGTGGCTTGCCTTTGTGGTGTATATAGCAAGTAAGATGAAATGAGTAACTCCATATGCAACGATCTTCTTCATTGTTCAGGGTGTAATGTTTGTAATTCATTCAATGGAAGGGGATTTGAAATCGAATATGAAACATATGGTATTTATCCATTTATCTCCAGGGCCTTATCCACTGGAACACCTTCACCGCAGAAAAGCGTGGGACATCCTCCCTCCGATGATGATGTCTTTTCTGTCCAACACATATGGCACACAGAAACAAACTTATCATTCTCAGGAGTAGTGACTTCGATTGAAGGCCCAGACAGACTAGCCTTCCCGTCGGTATACTTCAGGTGGAATCTTCCGCTCTCAGAGCAAAAACAGCACAGAACATCAAGCTCATACATCTTGTCACATAGCTCAACCAACCTTCTTGACCCTTCAAACAGATTCTTCTTGAAATCCGTGAGAAGGCCATAGCACCATATCGAGACCTTGTGGACATCTACAACTTCCCTTAGCTCTTCTATCTGCCGGGTGCTCAGAAACTGTGCTTCATCTACAAACAGGATATCTACATCCTTATATGAAATGTCCTTCATAAAGTTGAACTGAGGATCAATACATAGATTACACTCCATTTCGGCACCGCATCGTGACTTTATTATGGTGCTGCTGTGTCTGGTATCAATCTGAGGCTTTGCCAGAAGCACCTTCCACCCTAGGACGCTGGCTCTCTTTGCCCTCAGCAACATGTTAGTTGTCTTCCCACCGTTCATCGGAGAGGCTACAAACTTTAGTACTCCTCTTTTCATTTATGATGTCTAAGGGCTGACGAATACTTTTATACTTTGAATTCCAAAAAACCGCCAAATTCATTACAATTAAAGTTAATGGCCATCCCGCATTCGTATCTTTCAGAACACAGCTTCTGTTTCAGGTTTCAAGAAACTATAAAACACTCCTCAGTACTGGAAACAAATGCAAGCAGAAGACTACAATGATAATCACCAAAGAGGAATTCACTGGGGATTTACAAAGGTTTTAATGGTAGCAGTACTCTACGGGCTGAGCCTGGTATGCATAATCCTCGGCCTGAAGCCGTTATTCGATATGGAGTTTGAAATCAAGAGCTTTGCAAACTTGGCATTTGTTGCATTCCATGGATTCTACATGTTCAGCTTCATGGCAGTCCACAAGAAGAGCCATTTTATCTTCTGGTCAATAAGTTATCTGATCCTGAGCGGAATCTCTCTTTTTTTCTACTTCTATGAAGACTTGTTCTTCTGACTCAAGACCTTCCCATCCATTGCGGAACTGCAATCTTGTCATCCAAGACAATGCAAGCCTTTCCTCCGTATTCACATTCGCCCGTACACTCAACTCTAAATTCACTGCTCAGGTCCATCTCTTTAGATTCGTCTACCACTATCTTCATCCCAAAGAAATACAGGCTCAACTCGTTCATTAGCAATTCAACCTTCTCATGATTGAAGTTCCCATGTATAATCTTGATGAAATTACTGTATACAGGTGAATATATCCACCTTAAGGTGCTTGGGAATGTCTTCGAATAAAACCTTTTAACTATTGCATCTCTCCTTCTCCCTATCAACTCATCCCTTCTGAGTTTCACTGAAAGAATCCGTGATGCACAGTTGGTCATAAGGATCTTGAGTATCTTGAAGTCATCCATTCTAAGAAAGTTATCCACAAATTCGTTGCTGATGGCCTTTTCAGTGTCATACGGATCAAATTCCTTGATATTGAAAATCTTACTGTTAATGGTGTTAAACGCCTGTACTCCGTCAATTATTATCACATTTGGCATCGTGTTTGGTTCTCTTACCACGGAGACCTCTCCATAAGAAGATGCAGAGTAAACGTTGTGCTCAATAAACGGCTCCCTGTCTCTTAATGCCTTCAGAACATCAAAGATGTTTCTCCAATCAAGTGCCCCTGGATTGTCAAAATCATAGTCCTCTTCGTCAAGATCCGGATTCAGAGGCTTAAAGTAGTAAGAATCTAATCCAAGGGCATAGGCGCTTATCCCGCCCCTACTTAGCAATCCATGGAGTCTTCTGGCAAATGTTGTCTTTCCAGTCGATGTAGGGCCTTGGATACATATGATGTATCTTCTGCTTGGATCATAAGGTCCTTCAAAGCATTCATACATAGCATCCCTTATTCCTTCGGAATCCCTACTGCACCTGGTCTCTTTCCCATTGTGAGAAGAAATCATCTTGGTAGGGATAGTTTCTTTGTACTCTTCTACAAAAAAGGGCTTTAAGTGACTGTTATGTTTATTATATACTGGAGATAGGCTTAAATATATTACTCCCCAGAATCCTTTCCTTAAGAGCCTCCAGCTCTACATCATCTCCAAGCTTTTCAAACCCGACAACCTGGTCCACAAAGTATCCATCCTTAAAAAAGCCTAGAAAAGGTAGCACTCTTATCTCAAGCTTCTTTGTCACAACAGGACACATCTCAGCATTTACTCTATAGAATTGGATCCCTGGAAAGTAGTCTCTTATCTCCTCCAGTCTCCTATCCATTATTTTGCACCGATTAAACTCCGGTTTGTAGAAATGAACTATCATCTTCAAAGACTTAGTCTTCTCAATCAGCTCCTTTTCAGCCGTAATGTCCTCTATCCTCCCATGTAGCTCTTTGATTCTTTTCTCCCTATATCTCATGAAAGCCTCGTCGTCCTGTGGGAATCCACTGTCTTCATAACCGGAAGGCATGGGAGTGCAGGATTTTTTGCTTAAGCCAACAGAACAATCCCAGCGTAATTAATCCCCTCGATGCATAACCCAGAAGACATAGTAAAGGAAGCTCTGATAACCGTTCCAAGTCCGAGGAGATTCCCTTCATTGGAAATAGCATCAGGACTAGAGGTTCCCAAAACAATGTCACCAAGGTCTCTGGAGGATCTGAACGAGTTGTATAGAGAAATGGAGTTCCCGACGATAGAAGAGAGAATGCTTGACGATCACATGGCTCTGCTAGATGTTCTGAACAACCTGAGCATAGAGTATAATAGATATGGCCTGATTATCTCATCAGAGTTGGACGAGCTAAGAAAGAAGCAGGAGGAGATAGCACTTTATGACGAATACGAAAGAGAATGTGATATTTTGGAAGTGGAACTAGCAAACATGAAGCAGAAGTACGAAGAGACGTGGAAGTACAGCTGTCATGAGATAAGCGATCTAAGGCATAGACTTGATGAGCTTCGGAAGATGTTTAATGACATGGAGTATGGAAGGTTACACTCCAATCTCATCAATAGGATATTTGCATTTCTAAGAGAAGAAGGCCCTGGAGATGAGGAGGTTGTTAGTTCTCTTGGATATGTCAAGGAAACCAGAGAGTATCTCAACAGCATGGAAAAGATGCTTGTACTTGATGAAATTGGAAATATACCTGATTCATACAACAAGATTGTTTGTCAGCATCTTATTCATGAAGAATCAATTGAGCTGGACAAATTAGGAAAGATTCTAGGCGTGGACAGAACAGTACTTCTAAGAATAGTTTATGGGCTGCTGAGCAAGGGAATAATTGCATTCGATAGGTCAGAGGATAGAATATGTCTCCAGAGATGATAATCTGTTACCTAATTAAAAGCTTTTGAAAACCACTCTTCTTTATTTCAGACGGCTTCTTTTATTCTGCCCATATTTTCAATATCTCCTATCTATCTAGTATATTCTGGTTCAACACACACACCGTCCTTGATTTCTCCATGTCCTATCAACCTCCAATGGTTGTTGATTTTTCTTGATATGGCTATTCTTTCTCCAATTTCACAACATGCAGGTTTCACAAGATCAAACTCACCTCTGGTCTCCCCTATGCCTCCTATCACACTCCCGGTTGTTGTACTTCCTATGTTCAATAGCACGTGCTCACCTTCTTTCAGCTTGAAACTCCCTTGGACTGTTGTTTTTGGAAAGAGACTGTATTCGACAGTTATCTTGTGAAATATCGATGGGAGAAATCCTAGCTTTCCCATGACCTGGCCAACCAGCTTGTCTGCCTTACAAAACGAGGGATCCATCGTTGTACCGACGCCTATCAGTCCTCCAGGATAGGCTTCCTCAAGGTCTGTGCTTTCTGCCTTCAAGGAAACAATCTCAGAAACAAAAGGCCGGCATACAAATCTGTTATTCCTCTTCATCACAAGCCCAGGCCTTATCTCAATCCTGTCCCCAACCCTTAGCATTCCGGTAACAAGACTTCCTCCAATAACCCCTCCAGACATATCGCCCACCTTGGTCCCTGGCCTGTTAACATCAAAGCTTCTAATGACAACCATCTTTGGGTGTGCTGTAGAATCCCTGGCAGGCTGTGGAATGTAGTTAACAATGAAATCCAGAAGGGCAGGGATGTTCACCCCCACCTGAGCTGCTGTTGGAATAACAGGTCCAGAAACATTCGATGTCCTCAGGAATTTCTGGATTTGATCATACTGCTCTAAGGCCTGTTCCCTGGAAACAAGATCAATCTTATTCTGCACAACCAGAACCTTTTTAAGGTCCATTATCTCCACAGCAAACAAGTGCTCAGTAGTTTGGGGCTGCGGGCAAGGTTCATTAGCTGCTATCAGGAGCAGTACAGAATCCATAATTGCTGTTCCATTCAGCATTGTAGCCATCAGAACATCGTGCCCTGGGCAATCTACAAAGGACACATGTCTGACAAGCTTCAAGGTGCCTCCACACTTTTTGCATGGAAGTTGATCTGGATTTGAACTTCCAAACGACTGGTAACAATTGGGTCTGATGCACTTTGAGTCACACTTGTATATCTTGGCATTAGCATATCCTAGCTTTATGGTGATGTTACGCTCAAGCTCTGCCTTGAACTTTATTGTGCTTATTCCACTTATTGCCTTTACAATGGTGGACTTCCCATGTGCAACATGCCCAATGGTCCCTATGTTAAGGGTTGCCTGCTTCTTCATGATCTCTGAGACATCTTTCATCTTTTAGGGAGATGAAAATTGCCCTCCTTTCACAGGAAAATTTTTCCCTCAGGCCTCCAAAGCCTCCCTTAGAAACCATATACAAACATCATTTCTCTTTAATTTCTACTGTCCGGGGTGGAGTTGTATGCTTGGCACCCCTTAAGATACATCTCCCAGCATTTTTCTACATTTTGCATTATTAATCCAAACTCGTGGATGCATCTGTGGTAGAAGTCTTCGGCATTCTCCTGGGCTTTCTTGTACTTATTGTAAAGATAGTTTACAGATCTCTGGTATGGGATCTTGAGAGCCTTTGATGCATGCTTTATATTTGTTTTTGTTATAGGCAGCTGCTTACTAATGAAAAAGTCTTCCAATGCAGATATTTGGTCAACAGAGAGAATCTTGTAGTGCCGAACATTCTTCTTCCACATGCTCTTCTCCTCTTCCTTTTTCTTAGAGACTTTGCTGCAATGGCTTGCATCTATGTCGCTTCCAAACAGTATATCAGATAGCCTTATGTCGTCTATGCTGTCGAACATCGGGGTGCTCTGTATCGATAAACACAATATCTATTCATCGGGAATTTCCCCATTTGGAGATCAAAACAAATCTATCATTGTAATTGAAGATATTTCCATCAGACAGCCCAGGTGTATCCCCTGTTCTAGGTGTCAAGGCAAGATCATTTGTAAATTCTCAACCCCCTGAAGAATGAGAAATGTTGTAATTCTAGGCCAAGGACCAGGTGCTTATATGTGTGGAATATACGCTCATACAGCCAATTTGTCTCCAATCATAATCAAAGCATGCAAAAAATCAATGACAGACTTTTCTGGATCCGAAAAAGTCGTGGGTGTCAAAGGAATTCAAAGCCCCGAGGAGCTTGTTGGTTTAGTGGAAAGACAATCCAAGAACATGGGGATCGAAGTGAGGGAAGAGGAAATCCTGAACATCTCCAAGAAACAGAACCACTTTGAGATTGAAACAAACACCGGAACACACGAAACAAGATCCTTGGTTATTGATTCCAAGGATCTAGAAAAAAAGTATCGCCCTCTCCTAGGAGGCAGAGGTGTCTTTTATGTAAGTGATAAAGCCCCTTATAGAGAAGCGATAATCCTTGCAAGTGCAGGATGTAAGGTGTCATTCGATGTAAAGGAGTTCATAGATGCCATTAACCAATGATTCCGTTCTTTAATTAAACCAATCTGCTTCTATATCCCTGCAATACCTGGAAGTTAACCTAGAGGATAGTTTTTATGAATTCTCTAACAAGCTCATGCCCTTCTAACTTTACAACTATCATCCTTTTGCCAACATCCGACTCTATCAAATAACTTCTTTCGGTGCAAAACTCTAATACTCTTTGATAGTCTGACAGGTTCAAGAAGTTCGAGTAAATATACCCAGGCACCATAAATATCCTGTTCCTTTTAGATTCCCATATCATTATCTGACTGGTAATTGCAGGTGGTAGGCTCCCTGGTTTGACACTTGCTTCCAAGAAATGTATTATCTGCTTCCCAGTTATTCCTTTGTCAAACGCAACATTCACACTCTCTTCTGTTATACTTCCCTTTATAAGATTAGGAAGGCTAACAGACACATTACAAAACAGGTGGATTACAGACTTCTCATATTCAGAGTTTGTGTATGCATATATCTTATTGTTGGTTTCAACTATTATAAACTCCCTTCTGTTACGCTCAGATGCCTCAAATAGCTGTACAAAGGATCTTCCAATGGCAAGTCTTTCTCCACAGACCCTCAGAATTCCTAGCGCCTCAAGATACTTCAGTAGTCTTCCATCCATCCGACCATCCTGGTGGTGTGCAGTTTCAATAGTCTTCGTGCTCAATTCAAACAGTGCCTCAAGCGCATAAATCTCCTCCTCAACCGACCTAAGGAAGTACTTCAAAGATAAGAGCACAAGGCACCATAGCTGCTCCTTTTTTGTCTTCAGAAGAAACTCAAATCCTCTATTCGTTATGTTTCTGTCTTTTCTAAGAAGACCCCCAAACATAAGAACCTCCCCGATTCCAAACGCTTGGATCCTGTACTCCCTGTTGACAATAGACCTCAGAATGGCCTCAAACTTCCCATTGCTTTCGTTCTCGTCAATTTCTAACCCCTTTCCAGTGCTTTTGTAATGCTTCTCCATCTTGAGTATGCAAAACCCTTCCATTAGCGATCTTCTGAAACTCGCATCCAAATAGATATTGTCTCCTTTCTTTTCGATCATCTGGATCTTCAGCAGCGTTCTCAAGGTTTCCTTAATCCCCTCTATATCTCTCAAGGAGCTTATGGAGTGCGACATCAGTAGCAGGTCAAATATAAACCTCGTTGTTTTCTCGTCAAAAATCTTAAGAAAAGATACTGCAAATATGGGTGCCCCATATAGCTGTGCTTTCGAGTGGTCTGGAAGCATTCCAAAATACTCTATAATGTCTATTGGATATGCCCATGCTTGGGAGACTTCACTTTTCATAGTCTCTAAAGGGCTTCCAACTCAAACTCTTTATGAGACATTGCCCCATTCTTAGTCGATAGTGCTATGGTTCCAAGAAAAGACAAGAATAAAAAATATCAAATGAGAAATATTGAGCTTCTTATCGATGTCTCCAATACTCCACAGAGAAGAGCATAGGAAAAGAAAGTCAGTTACTGCATCCAGCTAACAACATATAGTAGGGACCTCATTTATTTGTGTAATCAATCTCTGGATGGTCTCCAACACCGCTGCACATGTCATAAACATGCTGTGCAACTTTAAGGCAAAGAAGATCTGCATCTGCCTCTGTCGAGCATTCAGCATAAACCCTCACGACATCTTCTGTTCCAGAGGGTCTGACAAAAGACCTTCCCCCAAGACTCAATGCTTCCACATCGATCCTATCCTGAAGCTCTTTTGGCTCAATAACTTGGTTCTTTTGGTCAACCTTAATGCTATTCTTGTCTACTATCTTAACTGTGAGGAGCCTACTCGGATTCTCTCTGAACTTCTTAAGGTCATTTGGATTGGTCATGAGTGCCCGGAAAACCATGAAGTTAGCAAGCGCATCTCCAATGCATGGATCAAATAGGTTGGCCAAGCACTTAAGGATCATATGATGTTCACTGTTCCCCCTTTCGATCTCATCTATGCAGGCCTGTGAAAAGCACACACTTCCGTGTCCATTGGGCTCAAAATATATTCCGACATCAAACTTCCTTGCTGGACTCACAAAGTTCTTGACTCCAGTCTGAGCCATCACGACTTTGAATGAGGAAGAGGGAAGAGCATCAACAGCTGCGTTGTTTGAATAGTACGAAAGTACCACACCAATACTAAGTTTAGACCCAATCTTCTCAAGAAGAGATCTTATGTAAAGGCCCAGAAAGACTGCTTGGGAGTCCCCGTCAAATATCTCCGTGTCCCCTGGACCTGTAAAGAATATGAGCCTGTCTACATCTCCATCAAAAGAAGCACAGATTCCATTTGGTGGGCGAGAAAACCTGCCGGAATCAAATACTTCCAGCTTTGGTGCCCTTTTCTTTGTCTTGACAAAGTCTGCACCACAGTCCAAATTCAGAATGCCTTTAGGATCATTCAGAATCTCACAGTTCAGCTTACCTTCAAGCATTTCGTCCAGGTTCTTAATTTTCATCCCTGCTACCCCATTTGCAGTATCTATCATCATCTTGAGATTCCCTTTTGTCAGGGAAAGTAGTTTGGTGAAGTTCCGAGCAATGTTCTTTAAGTATTCTTCCTTATCAACAACCTTGTTCTCTACATTGCACTTTCTTACAAGAAAATGGAGCTCAGGCGTAGTCACCACTCCATAATCATCTACCACACAATTCAATTTACTCAACACAGACTTGATATTATTACATAGTTCTTCTCCACTGTCTCTGGCGTCTCTTCCGAGAACCACATGCCCCCTCACACCCTCTCCCAGCTCACTTTGGTTGCTACAAGATCTTAGGATCTTTTTCATCTCTCTAGGAAGCTTCTCGTCATCACAGTTCACAACCTTGTCACTGTATTCTTCCCATACCTCGTCCAGCATGTCTCCATTGTGATCAATGATCTTAATTCCATTGTATTCAATAGGATTGTGGCTTGCAGTGATCATCACCCCGACAATCTTTCCCGCAAATGTCGTAGACCGTAGATAAGCTATGAGAGATGCCCTACACAATATGTTCTTCAAGTCGGAAGTTTTTGACCTATACCCCGCTGTTCCATAATAAGCCGGCTTGGAGGGCTTTTTAAGGTTTTTGTCAGACAACAAAGCATTATCCATCTGAGTGTGGGGACCTAAACTTTACATCTTTATTTATTTGTTTTAATTTTAACTTGCGTCTGGATCATCCAATCCTATTTCTCTATTGATGTTTTGGGTTTTCCTCTTAAAATCCCAACGGAAACCAATCCGAAATGCCTCTTTGTCCAACCCATTCTAAACTATAAGCAGAATCTCAAACAAGGCCGAATCACAAATCATATCAGACATCCAATACCATACAAGCAAGTCATTATCTTTAATCGGTACCAATTGTATAGTCTCCAAGACAGCCAGAATAGTAAGACTATCCACTCACCCAAGGATTTTCTTCCTGCAACAAAACCTTAAGCCCTATTCCCTCATCTAAGACCTTCTCAGGACTTTCAGAAAAGTCGTCTATGCTTTCCTCAGGCTGATTCCTATCTTTGAATGCATGGAATATCTCTATTGCATTCGAAAGTGTGAAGAGCTTAATCTTCACCTCGCTAACTCCAAAAAAGCTAGCAAATCCATTTTGATGTCTATTGCTAGCCGAGATCTGCCTTCTTTCTCTATCAAGTTCATATGTATTGTCATTTAGATAGATAGAGATCACCGGGCTTGAAAGTGTCTCAATCATCTCCCCAACTTTGCTGTTCACTTCAAAAACCATTCTATCTTCTCCAGGCTCCTTCTTGTGCTTGCCTGCATCAAATATGGATATGAGGCTTTTACCAACACCTCCATTCAGTCTCTCAACAATGTTCCTGAGATCCTCAGTCTCATTCAGCAGTCCGGAGATATCGAAGAAATGCCCGTATCCTGTAGAAGTAATCGTTAAATATGCTGTGACCCAGTCTCCCGTGTATCCCTTCTTCACCTTGCATATCGAAGACCTCACAACCTCCAAATTCTTTCTAACAGTTATCCCTTTTCCAATCAACTCTTTACTGATCCCTTCCACAAACGTTTCAAACGATGAGTCAACCTTTTCCTTCAATTTCTCTTCTTTATTGACCTCCGCTTTCATCTCCTTCGGTGATTCAGAAACGGTATCAAAAAACCTATCTATCTCGTCATATCCTTTTATCTCCACATCTGTAGAGTCTCGGAGTTTCTGATACTTTTGCCTTTGGATCCTTACAAGGCTGAGCAGAGCTTCCTTGAATCTCTCTCCCGCTCCCTGTAAGGATTCAGCGAACCCTCCAATCTTATCATACATTACATGGTTTGCTTCGTCGTCCATTAAAAGAACTTTCTTAACCGCCCTCTTCAATCCAAGCTCCGTCAACCAGGGATCGTGCTTTCCATATGTCCAGGCTTCCATATGCTTGTTTCTAGCTATTCTTAATTCCTTCAGCCCTTCGGCAGGCTTTTCGGAAACCCTCTTCACCTCTTCGTCAATCATCCGAATGTCACTGACAATGGTTGCAATTAGCCCATCAAGCTCCTTGAATAACGTCTCCCCATAGAGCAGTCCCGCTTCGTCAAACACAGCCCTCTGTCTCTCACTCATCTCTATACAATGCATAAGTAACGGGTCATTCCATGCAGTATCCTGAGGAATCTGGAGAGCACGGAAAAGAAGGTCAGAGGATCTTTTCGACACAATAATAATGTGCTCCAAGTAGCTTTTGAGGTAAACGCATTTACACTTCAGCATCTTATATGAAGCCTTTATGTTCTCCACATCTTCCATACACCGCAGTATCTATCTTCTTTTATTGATTGGCTTTGATACAAAGTTCCGAAACATCACCCAAGTATTGTAATCAAAACTCTTCATATCCAACTCAAGCCTTAGGCATTTCATTCACATCCGAGGCAGTTCTTCAGAATCCTTATGCATTTCATTCTTATCTCTTGATTAAATGAGGCAAGCCCAAGCCCGTTGTAGCACGAGACCCTTTCTCCACACCTGGATAGCACTACCCTCCACCCATCAACAAAATCAAACACAATGGTACTGTCAGCCATCACAAACAAAAACCCACAATCTATCTTCCTTATCTTCACAATGAAGCAAGGCTCTACATCCAGAAAGCTAAACCCGTTGTCAAATGTTCTGATGAAATACTGTAATCCTTTGTATGATTCCAGAATCTCTCCAGGTATCTTCTCAACAAGATGCTCTTCCTTATAAAACACCCTTTTTCCACTCTCCATAGCCGAGCTTAGGTATATCACACTCTTCTTGTTCGGCTTCAACATCAGATTCCTATGATCGCTAAAATATATCCCATAAACCCCGGACTTCAGAACATACCCGATCCCTCTTAGTTTTGTCACAGGGATACTGAAAAGGACATAATCTGTATCGATAACCCCTTCCTGTGTTTTGTTGATCATCAGGTTCCTGTAGATCCTCATCAAAAAGTGCTCCTTCCTTGACAAGAACTTATGGCCAAGAATATGCTCCAAGGTTGGCCTTTCAAGAGGATTTGTGTTCAGTATCTGTGTTATGAGGTCAATCGCCTCGCTCGAAAGATCGCAGTTTTCCGGGAATATATAGTTGTTGAGCTTTATCATCTTGTAGATGTCCTCCACGTTCTTTTTCTGAAACGGTGGAACACCAACAAGTAATGTGTATATAATCACCCCCAGAGACCATATGTCTGCTTCAAAAGAATGTCCGCTCGCCTTTCCAAACAGAACCTCGGGTGCTATATAGTTCGGTGTTCCACACATAGTAATCTTTTTCTCCCCGTCCTTTATCACTGCACTCAACCCAAAGTCTCCTATCTTCACATTGAATTTAGAGTCCAGAAACAGGTTCCCTAACTTTAAGTCTCTATGCACAACATTAACACTGTCATGAAGGTACATCAGGCCCTCAACAGTCTGTTTAACAAATCTCGCCACATGCCTTTCCTTCAGCTTTCCATTTCTTTTCAGCAGGGCATCCAGCGCCCCTCTCTCACAGAGCTCAAGAACCATAAAGACATATTCCTCGTTTCTAAATGATCTATACATCTTGACAATATTGGGATTGTCCAGCTTGGAGTGTATTGATATCTCCGACTCTAACTTCTCATGAACTTTCCGACTTTTAATATCCTTCAGCCTGACCACCTTCATGGCATACTGCTCTCCATTTTCTATCTCTGCCAGATAGCATTGTGCATACGCTCCCCTTCCAAGAAGCTTCTTCAGAATGTATCTTGTATGGTATTCATGATCTGTTATGACCGTTCCAATCTCCATGTATAGCTCGACCTTGGTGGACATACGGGGATTCCATTTTTCTCATTTTGGGTTTGTTTCCATCATCCTGCAATAGTAGCATAGATAAATATTGTTCGGTCCACCCCTGGAGAATATGGCCTCATTATCGAAGGAATACCTTCTGAAGTCACTGATCAACCTGCTTCCTACTGAGGAGCAAATGAAGACTGTCGGGCTATTTATAAGAACCTTCAAGAGAGACTACAGGGCAATAGTGGAGGGGTGGATGTTTGTCTATAGGAAATCCAGTCCATACCATAGGCTTAACTTGCTGTACCTTGCAAACGAAGTTGTTCAAACAACAAAGGATGTTGATCCGGATTCGATTGAGCTGAAGATCTTGCTTAAGAAAGTAGTAAACGAGGTATTTGAAGAAACAAAAAAGATGGCTATGAAGAATCCTTCCCTTTACAAGAAGTACTGCGAGCTTGAGAATGTATGGATTCAAAGAAACGTCATGGTTTTGGAGAGCCATGGAATCAACTTAGGAGACCTGATTAGAAACATTGAAAAGACGTTCAATGATAAAGCCAAACTGTCTGCAGTACTAGAGGATGCCCTTTCCAGGGTCCGCAAGGGGTCTGGTGGGGGATGAGCCATTCTGTACCTTTATATCCCCAAAATAAATAGAGATTGTAGAAGTTTTTCGTTCCAAATTTTTATCCCTCTAGGCTCGATGGATTCTGTCTTTATATCTGCTGGATGCACAGGAAAGCCGAAGGTTTCCACTGCATTTGGAGATAAAATGGCCTATGGATCCAGGTCGAACGTTGTTATAGCTGATGAAGAAAAGGTCCTTTCTGTGATCTACATGGACAACGATGTGAATGCAATTGAATATGGATATGGCATGATAGCTGTAGGAGATATTAACGGAGGAGGATATATAGTAAGGGATGGGGAGATTAGAAGGTGTAACCTTGAAGGGTGTGTTGAGGCAGTAGGGCTTATGAATGAATTATGGGCTATGTTCTGCACAATAGATACAGTTTCCGTGTACGACATAGCTGGAAACACCATCAAGAAAGAGACAAGGATTGAATGGGTTCCTACATGCTTGACAACGATATGCAGCAGAACGTTTGCTGGAAGTAGGAAGGGGAGTATTTTTGTGCTAGATGAAATTGAAGATGATATAAAATGGCATGAGGTTGAGGGTCATAAGGACAGTATTCAAGATATAAAGTCTACTTTAATAGATGGAGAGGCGTATGTTGCTACATCTTCACAGGATGAAACAATAAAGATATGGAGGGTTACCGATGAATGGCCATGGATTAAACATATCCAAACGCTCAATGGCCATACCGATTGGGTTTATGGGGTGTTCTGGACAGGAAAGGGAGATCTTCTTAGTTCATCCGCAGACAAATCTATAATCTACTGGGAAAGGAGGTCTAAGTGGGAGGATGTGATGAGGCTTGGTGGACAGGAAATCTTTTTCAATGTGCTGATGGTTAAAAGCCTGATTATAGGACAGTCCCGCTCTGGAGGATTCTATAAATTCACAGACACGCTTGAAAGTTTTATCTCTGGGCATTTAGATGGAGTGAAGTCCATAGACTGGAGAGGGGAGTTTCTGCTTACATCTTCACTTGATATGACATCTAGGATGTTTTACAAGGGATATGAGGTGGGAAGGCCTCAAAAACACGGGTATGGGCTAACTTCTGCAAGATTTCTAAACGATGATAGCCTGCGGTTTGTAAGCTCTGCACAAGAGACGATTTTAAGGATCTATGAGCCCACACAGGTTTTCTATATGTCATGCATATATGTGGAAACCAGAAGAAAAGACGTGGTTGAGTCTCTCAGGGAGATGAATATTTCCAGGAATGGAAGATCTCTGGATGATTTCTTTCCTGATATCAACAGTTTGAAGTTTGCAGCTGTATGTGCAGAGCTGTCTCTGACAAATGAGGTTTTGGAGGACCTTGAATTTGAGTCACTCAACGAGGAGCTACTGTCTGTAACGACTTTTAACGAGATAAGAAAAGTTTATGGGCATTACTTCGATGTGTCTGATGTAGCGGTATCGAAGGACTTTGCTGTTTCTTGTAACAAGTCGTCGTTGAAGAAGTTTTCGGGAATCTTTGTATGGAACCGAGAGTTTGAGCTGATAGATTACATAGAAGTACATGATTATGGAATAGAAAGATTAGTGTTTTCACGTGACGGGAGGTACTTGGCAGCAGCCTCCAAAGACAAGACTGTGTCTGTTTACGATGTTGGGAAGAGCATAAGGTTTTCAAGAAGGCTAGAAGGTCATAGAAGAATTGTGTGGGATTGCAGTTTCAGCCACGATTCTCGGTATCTCGCCACATGTTCTCGAGACAGGAGTGTGCTTGTTTATGAGGCACCGGAGTTCAGAGTGAAGTATGTGTCTAAATTTGATTGTGAAGCCACTTCCTTGTGCTTTTCACCGAGAGAATATCTTCTGGCTATAGGGCTTGAGTCTGGCGATGTGTTAATAGCAAAGCTTGGGGGGGCAGAGATTAAGATCAAGAGGAGAAGTAAGGAGCACAGCAAACGTGTGAATGTGATATCCTTTAACGAAGATGGAAGTGGATATGCCACCGGTGGCGGTGATGGGATGGTTAAGATGTTCTTGGTATAATCTGGATGATAGAAAGGACAGGGATAACGATACTGAAAAATTTGCCCTACAAGCCTATGTCGAAGATATACAAGTTAGAAAGAGAGACGATGGTTGATTTACATTGCTCGGAGGTGAAGTCGTTTGAGCAAACATTAGATGATATTGAGATAAAAATAACAGAGTATAGCGGGGAAAGGCTAGAGTTTGATCTCGTCAATGTTGACTGTTCCTTTGCCAATGCCCTGAGACGCATACTCTGCAATGACGTTCCAACTATGGCTGTCAAGGATGTTTTTCTAAAGGAGAATGAGAGCGTGTTTCCAGATGAGTTTATAGCACACAGGTTAGGGCTGATTCCTCTGGAGGCCGATCCTGAGATGTTTGAGTTTGTGGAGAAGGAACTGAACGAAAGAAATTCTCTTAGGTTTGTTCTTAATGTCACAAATGAAAGCAAAGATGTTATGAATGTGTATTCTGATGATATCAAGTGGATTCCATTTGGAGGCCAGAGAGAAGCTTTAAGGAATGCCAAGTTCTGCAGCGGGGTACTTATGTTTAAGTTAGCACGAGGGCAGAAGATAAATGCAGAGCTTGTATGCACCAAGAATATAGGGAGGGTGCATGCAAAGTGGAGCCCTGTATGTCCTGCAACCTATAGACTCATGCCGTTGATTGAAATAGGAGATGTCTTTGACGAGGATGCTTACAAACTTCAGAAATGCTTTTCGGAAGGTGTTATAGATGTAAGACTCAGCGATGGAAGAATGAAGGCTTATGTAGTCAACCCACGACTAGACACAATGAGCAGAGAGGCACTTAGACATGAAGAGTTCAAAGACAAGGTGTTTATTGGAAGAAGGTCCGACTACTTTCTCTTCACAATCAACAGCGTGTTTCTAGATCCTTTATATCTCTTAAAAAAGGCGGTTTCGATACTCATAGAGAAGAGTATGGCCTTGAGAAATGAAGTCGAGGATCTTCTGGACCAATAAATAGTTTCTATTAATGTAAGGTTTTTGGAGTCTGGCAGAAAGACTATTTGTTGCCAATTTTTTGCCCATAAACGATGAACTGGGTTCTTTCTCTATGTTGTGGCACGACAAGAAAGAAATATGTTATTACGTTGTTAGGTCTCCAGGAGGACCAAAGACATGTCCTGAAGCACTCGATTTCCAGCTACAACATGGATAAACCCCTTAGGCCTTTTTCTGAAGACATTTGTATTGCAAATGGAATGGAGTTGATTCTCCAATCGCTAGACGACAATGCAGACCTGTATGAGATAAGGGGGATCCACATGGGCCTTGCTGCAGGAGTGATCTTTGCTGTGGATGCAGATAACAAAAGTTCTGTCGAAAAGTGTATTGCACTCATCAACGAAGACACAACAAAGACAAAGGATATCATTGTCGTTCTGTGCAGATCCAATATCTATGGAAATGAGTCTGTGCAAGAACTCAAGAGGACCTGTGATGAGATAGGGCATGGGAAAATCGAGTTTATTCTTTACGAGGAGTCAAGATCATTTCTAGGTGTCCATAAGGGAATAAATTGGATATGCAACCGGCTGGAGGAGTGAGATTCCTTTGGATACGAACATATGCTTCTGGGTGTGATGTAAAATAAACTCCAGCCTTACTTCCAGATCTTTCTGTTATTTTCAACCTTGGCCTTGATTTTTGTATTCCTTCATCATGATTATAAGGATGGTTTCGACACCGAACATTCTTGGAGCTGAGGTCATCTCAGATGTTCAAAGAGCATATACAATAAAGCTAGAGAAAAGATATGTCTTGAAATTTACCAACGGGGAAGTCACACTCAAGGCCTTCAAAGAACTTTTCTTACTCGACAAGGAAATTCTATTCTATGTGGTGAACTTCGAGTTTTTCCTTTACAAGATGAGCCTGTTCAAGCATTACAGGATTGAGTTTGTAACATATCCGGATGGTGTGAAGGATGAAAGGATTGAGAGATACAAGAGTGTTGAGAAAGGAATTTCTGGAGAATGGAGCAGTAGAGGAGTCGACCTTTCATTCACACCAGATGTGTTTGCCTCCATAAGCTCCTCTCTACTTAGCCCAGAGCTGTACTTATCTGAGCTGAATCTTAGTGGAGTGATATATAAGACACTTGTTAAGAAGCTCGAATATAAAAATTTGAAAAGGCAGGCCAGAGAAGTTATAGAAACCCATATGAATGCAGAAGATGAGTTTGACGAAGAGTTTGATAAACACTTGAAAAGTCTAGTGTTTACAGGAGTAGTAAAGATGAAAGATGGATTGTTTTACAGATGGAACTAGCAATCTTCTCATGGACATAACTGGTTTAGTATTAAATTCCATTCCTAGAATTCCTTGTGCCCCATTTTCAGATGCGTGAGTAACTCTGCCCTACTATTGAACACAGCTTTGCACTCTGCACATGTTCTAAATGGGGCAGGCTCCCGTATATGGCCTGTCTTCTTAGGGACACTCTGCTCTTCAGCCTTGTGGTCCTCCACGATTTCAAGTTCCTTTTCTGTGCAGGGCTCTTGGGTTATTTCAGAGAGGTCTTGACAGGTAATCTCCTGTAACTGTTTTTCTATGTACTTCTTTGGATCCTCTGAGACTAGCCTTATTCTTTCAAAATGCTTTTTACTCCTGAAATGGTCTATGATCTGATTGTGGGAATGGAATCCTTTACTGCAATGATCACAGTTGTAAGGATAAAGCTTTGTTTTCTTTTCTCTGACTTTAGGAGGTGCGGGATGAGCTTCAATAGAGAAGCTGTCGATGCTGATCCTTTTATCCAAGCTCTTAACAATCCTTGCTACCTTTCTAACACTTCTACAAAATTCACTTTTTTCTTCCTCGGAGTCAAATACCTTTTGAGTTCTGAAGTTGGTGAACACCTGATAAAACCTTTCGAAGTCCGGGTCACTGAATTTAGGAGCCCCTGGAATTCTACAATAGTCGGATATTCTTTCAAAGAAATCATCTGCATACTTCCTAAGATCTTTCCTGAAGAGTTCTTCGGTATAGAACTCAAATCCTGGAGGAGATCTCATAATAGATGTGTATGCCTCCATTATTTCCATTGCTTCTTTAGGAGCTTTAGAGGAGTGGACTTTCTGTGCGTCTGGATGGACCTTGAGTATGAGAGTTCTATAACAATCCTTGACTTCCTTCTTAGTGGATACAGGAGATAAGCCTAAAACCTCATGAGGAGATTTCTCTATCTTTGACTGCCTATTTCCCATTGGTATGATGGGGTAGGCAGGAAAGAATTGAAATCATAGTTGGCTACATTACAAACAGTGGTGCCTACCAAAGAACATTCTTCCCTTCCAGCAATTCCCAGGATTTTTGTTGAGGAAGACATACCCTTAACCCGTGAGATGGGAGAACATTCATTTTCGCTTCAGTTCAATCCTTTGCAAAGGATTAAGACGGTTAAGGATTATGAGAAGGAGATTGAGGAACTAAGAAACGAGAATTTTGAGATCAAGCACCAGCTTTCTCATTACAAGGCAAGCTCAGGGGGGAACATCCAGGAGGATATCCAGAAGCTCCTTCTTGATAGCAAGAGATCCATAGACATTCTTGAAGGGGAGAATGAGGAGCTCAACAAGCAAATGGAAAGGATGAACGAGATGGTTAGGAAGATAAGAACGGAAAAGGAAGATACTGAGAACAAGCTAAAGGGTGATTTGCAGGAGTACCTCAATAAGATATCTATGCTTGAAGAAGAGAATGGTAGGCTTCTCAAACATCTAGAAAATGTCAATGGGATCAATGCCAAGTTAAGGGAAGAGAATGAGGTGTTAGGAGAATGTTTTAACAGAAGTAAGAATACGATTGATGAACAGAAAAGCCTTATTGAGAAGATTGCACACGAGAAAGAAGAGAAGTCGCAAGTCGAGAAGGAGTTAATGTCTTACAAGAATGCTCTTCTAAACAGCAACAAAGAAAGGGATCAGATTATGTATGAGCGAGAGAGAGAAAGAAATGAGTATAGCAACAAGATTTCCCAACTTCAGGGGATTGTGGGATCCTTTGAGGAAAAGATGAATCTCAAGGAAGCGGAGATGAACCAGATGAGAGAGCATTACAAAAGCATGGAGGATGAGTACAAAGAGATGTATAGGCAAAAGCAATCGAATGAGATGTATCTTAAAGAGATGGGGGAGAATTACATGAGGGAAACAAGAGACAAGCAAGAGTTGGCATTGAGAAATGAGGAGCTAAGAAGAGAAGTTGAGCAATTGAAGACTTCGAGAAGTGATCTAAAGAAAAGACTTGAGGTTTGTGAGAATGAAAAGAGAGCTTTGTCATACAAGGTTTCACAGGATGTTTCCGGAAGTTCAGAGCTCTACAGAATCAAAGAAGAATTAGAAAAAGCAAAAAGAGAAAGAAACTCGCTTATGGAAGAGGTTGAAGGGCTCAAGAAGAAATGCCTAGAGTGTACTTCTGATCTAGAAAGGTCAAGAGAGCTTGAAATATTTCTGAAGGATCTTCTCCAAGAGAAGGGGAAAGAATGCGACAGAAGGCTAGGGGAGATTGAAAAGATGGCAGACACGATAGACTCCAAAATAGACCTGGCAAGAAAGATGCTTGGAGAAAGAAGGTCTGTTGATGGGGGGTATAAAGAGATGGATACTTTGCTCAATGAGATGAAGGAACTCAAAAGCAAGGAAGAGGAGTATAGAAGAATGACTAATATCACAGAGGATAACAAGAGATTTCTTAAGACTTTTGGCGTAGAACCAACAGGATCACTTGATGAGATTGTAGGAAGGTTTAGAGGTGCATACAAGGATGTTATTAGAAAGATGAGAGTGATGAACAAAGAAGCCAATGAAGCCATGAGGTTTGCAGAGAATAATAAAGATGTGATGGACAGAAAGACAATGATGTTCTTGGAGGACTTCACCAAAGAGTTCAACATTGCCCGAAAAGATCTGGAAGCTTGCAAAAGGTATCTTGAGAAAAAGGGCAAAGAGAACAAGGAACTGAAGGCAAGCAACCTAGTTCTGGAAAAGAAATTCAATGAGTGTAGAAAAAATGAGGAAAGGATAAAAGGTCTTTATTCGGCAATGGCTGACAAGCTCAGGAAAAAGGACGAGATGATATCCAAGCTGGAGATGAGAATGGCCACAAGGCCTTAAAAGGAATAAAGATGTATTTTTATATTGCCTTGTATTTTGGATAAAATACAAATAAATTAATTACAAATTCAAAAGCAAGGTTTATTTAGCCAAGCAAATGGTGAGAATGGCGGCAAGCCCAAGGAGACTTGTAGCAAGAGGTGAAGATGAACTCTCATTGCTGTTGGTAGAAGTATTATCTTTATCCTTCCCATCCTTATTATCAGACTTGTTGTTATCTTCTGCATACACAAGGCCAAAGATCAAAAACATGACTAAGAGCAGACTTTGTATTCCTTTCATTAAGGGTAAACTCTCCGGAGAATTTAAGCTTTTCGATTTATAAATTATGTTTTTAATTTAATTTTATTGACATATTTCAAGATTAAAAGAGTTTCTAATATATACGGATAAGGAAGAATCCTGAACCTTAAGGTCCATAAGTAATATCAATTTGAAGTGTCTACGAACATGAAGCCTTCACCGAGGCAGACAGAATATGCAGAAGAATCATTCCTTAAGACCTAAGAGAAAACATGCACAATAGGTTTACTAAAAGTTCTTAGAAAGCAACACAGGCAATAATCCATCTTGGGATAATCACGTCCTTTCCTACGTAAGATCAGATGAATAGTTACTGATCGGATGGACTTACATCTGATCCCCACAATATTTTCTCCCCTTTGTCCTTAGGATTTATAAACGCACTTCTAGTTTTGTTAAGGATGCTCCTCATGTCCAAGTACTCCTTTAGAATTTCTTCCTTGTAGCTCTTTGAAGACCCTGGAACGCCCTCGAATCCTTCAAATGCATTGGGATAAAGCTCCTTCAGCTGTATCACTTCGCTAGTTCCGAAGAAGGAGAGGAGGGGAACATCAAAGGACAGAAACATCCGCTTGAGCTCATCCATTACATACTGAAATGTTTTGTTGAAAAGGCTACTCTCATCCTTAGCCTTTATCTTTAAAGTTTTAATGAGTCTTTCTTTCTCATTAGCAAACTCCTCCTCAGTCTCGGCCTTGATCCCCTGCTGAGCAAGATACGGCTTCATAGACTCAGGGTCCTCTTCCTTATTCAAGTCCCTGAATTGCTCCAATGTAGGAGAACTGACAAACCTCACCACTACCACAATATAAATGAGGTGGCTGAATGCAGTACACTCCTTCAGAGAGGAATACTCTGCCATGATCTTAGTGAGATAGTCATAGGAGGTACTAAGAAATTGCAAGTAATGGGCCCGGCAGCAAGAGGCATGGTGCCTTCCTGTACATTTTGGAAAGGATAGATGAAGGTCATATAGCTTTATGTATGCAAACTTCAAACCTATCTCGGCATCAAAAATAACCCTATCTGAGCGGAGCTTTACTAGAAGCTTTTGCGCTATTTTCTGGTACTGGCCTATTTCTTTGCTGGCAGTCTCTAATGTATACAAATTTGCCAGCTTGTATAGGATATAATCATAGTATAAAACATCAACAAGCTCTTTCATTATGGGTGAGGAGCTAAAAAATTTAATCCACTAGACTGCCAGATTACCTCTATTCAGAGCAGTAATGACTCTTCGGAATGAGCCACCCACGAAATGAAGCTCATAAGATTCTTGAAGAAATGCAAAGGCGAAAAGGTTAAGGTTGAAACAAAGGAGGGTAGAAAGATCGAAGGCAGAATAACTTCTGTCGATAAAACAATGAACGTAGAGATGGAGGACGCTGTGGTTGACGGGGTGCCTGCAAGCACATACACAGTGAGGGGAAGCTCTATTAGGTACATTATGTTCAGAGATGATATTGACTTTAAACCTTTGCTGGTTGATGATAGGCCAAGAAATAGGACCAAAGACCAGGAAGCGACCAGAGTTAAGCGGAGAAAAACAAAGGTGTGAAATAATGAGTAAACAGAAATTATCTTTTATCGACTTCTCTCTTTCTTTGAACAATGATTTTTTTTCCTTTCAAGACAGATCCATTGAAAAGCAAGGACATCTCAACAGACTTCTCCGAAGTGAAGTCTACTATTGCATACTTCCTGGTGTTTTTTGTAGTAATAACATTTATTCCGGATATATTACCACAAGATCTGAAGTGTGCGGCAATGTCTGAGTTGGTAACTGAGGCATCAAGATTCTTCACGTACACACTTGATACCGGCTTTTCCTGAATATCTAGATATGATTGCTGCATACGCTGAAGCCTTTCTATATCACTTTCTCCCTCCATTTGTTAGACGGGTGTCCATGGAAAAATAATTAAGTAAAAGTCTTCGGCTTACCTGTAACACTCTACAGGCATCCATGGGATAGTCTCCTGCGATACCCTTTTCGGCTTTTGCAGGCCAATCCCAGTAAGAATTACTAGGTAAATAAGGAGCGGGGCTCAATCATTTTGCGGCCTCCACCCAACAGACGAATAAATAAAAAATGGAATTTACAAAGAAAATGGGATCGTGTATATCAACAATTAAGTCGTTGCAAATACTAAAGGTTTCAGAAGGCAGTGTATCACACAAGAACGGAGTTCTTCCATTTATACACTCAATAGTCAGCTTCAATGGAAAGGCCATTGAGAGCAAGGACGATGCACTGGCGATGAACAAAGAATGGGAGAGTAAGGCTCTTAATCTAGAGTTGATAGACATGAGGACCATGGAGACATCCATTCTTGAGATACCAAGGAAAGACAAGACCAGGCTCGGAATCAGTGTGAAGTTCCATCAGAGCATGGCTTCCCTTCTTTCGATGGAGGTTCTAAGAGTAAATCCTGGCTCTCCAGCAGAGAAGGCAGGAATAGTTGTCGGAGACTACATTCTTGGGATAGAAAACATCTATTCAAAGGACGAGGATGACTTACTGAGATTCCTTGAGCTGAACAGAAGGCGGGTTGTTCCGCTCTTGGTCTACAACAATGATCTTGAGTATGTAAGAGTGGTTCCACTCCAAGTCGGTATGGATGTACTTTTAGGATGCCAGATAGGGATGGGAGAGCTCTACAAAGTTCCTTTTAGTCCAAGGCGCAGCAAGATTGAATTCAACAATGAGATCATTAAGAACGATGTCAGGAGACTCAGAAGAAAGCTACGTGGAAAAGACATAATCAGCAGTAGACTAAGGGACGTTATGAGTGGAAGTGACGGGTGCTTGGAATCCATGTCTAGTACTTATATCTGGGATGCCCAGGAAAAGACGCCTTCTTATGACTTTATGAGCTCGAAATCGAAAGAGTCATTTCACAGTGAAGCACCTTCTGAAAGTAGACAACCCTTGGAAGGTGTGGAGGAAGTAAACGAGATTCCTATGATACTCCCCGAAGGCCTTACTTATGAGGTACCTATGGGAAGGAAAAAATGCATAGAAACAAAAAGGAATGATCTTTCTAAGGATATTGTAAACATCCTTGAGCAAGGGCAGGACGATCACTTTGATTTCGAAAGCAGTCTTTCCTTGGTGAGCAAAGATGAGGTCTTGGAAAAGAAGGCCGTGAGGGGTCCGAGCTCCATAAGGAAAGCAGAGATCAAAAAAGGTTTAGGATACATACGCCAGGCTGAAGGTAGTAATGATGAAGAGTCCGAGGGTTTTTTGCTTCCTATAGAAAAAGATGATCCTCATAAAGGTGAGTTTGACGCAAAGAACTTCTTGTCTAGCCTGAGCCTTTCTTTTTATGGGACCGAGAATGGCTATGATTCGACAGGGCCTCACAAAACCATGGAAATATCTGAGCACGAAGCAGACGGCAAGTGCCCTTTATGCTCCGAACACCATCAAGAAGAACGTAGCGAGTTTGCTGAGTCATCTGATGATGAACCAAAGCCTCAGGTTAACAAAACGTCCAATATCTTAAAATTGGAAATAAGTCATGATGCAGAGCCCAGCAAGCAGAAGGAAGGTGGAGAAATGCTTGGGGGGATGCCTCTAGATGTTTTCAATAATATCTCAAATGAAAGGAAAAGTAATGTACTCCTAGAACAATTCAAGAACATGGAGGATTTGAGAAGTGTCCAGTCACATTCAGAAGAAGACAGCTTGGAAACAGCAACCATTGGGTCTCCTCCATACAGTGACCCTGGATCTATTCTTTGATTCCCCTGTGCCCTATTGCCTATAGTCTTATCCAGAATTTCCAACCCCAGGATGAAAGGATTCCATTCGAAATACTCTGATTCTAACTTATTCTTTGACAGAACTAAGAACGTGTACAACATAAGAGACTATATCAAAGGTAGAAGAGATACAAAGGCTGCGGCACGTGGTGATGAGAATAGGATGGAGGAAAAGAAGCAATTTTTAAGCGAGGAAGACAAGGAAATAGCGTTTCTTATTAGAAACAGGGATCTTGTGAATCCGAACATGAGAAAGGTTGATTCTGAAAATGGTTATGTTGGGAAGTTTGTGAATTAAGACCCGGTATTGCCCATGAATAAATGTGAATGGTCTGTTCTTTGTTTCTGAACTGTATGGGATTTTTTAACTTCCGACAAGGTTTTGATTTGGTTTGTTAATATTTGGTACTGGGGATGGCGTGACGAAGGAGATGGAAAAGTCGCTGAGGAAGGTAATTTTTGAAGAATATATGAACTACATTAAGGTCGAGTCTTGTAGGCCGAAGCTGAGTTCTTCAGGGCCTTTTTTCTCACTGAACCGGTACGATCTGTCTGGAGAGAAGGTTAGAGTATTTTCTATAGAGCTTACGGGGGTTGAGTTCTATGTAATCGATGGTTATATTCTGCTATATCAAGGCAACATGGTTGGAATCTATAGATATGACAAGAGGTTCAAATGCACAAAAATAAGGAGTATAAACCTGCATCTCTTATTGTTCCTACTGAGGAAGAAGGCTATGAGCCGGAGATGCAGATTTCTATTCTACAATATATTGTTACATCTCGTAAAGAATAATGAGAAGAAATACGACATGAAGTTAAGGGAGATAATGTGCTATCTGTGTGCTGACTGGATGACTGATGTGAAGTTGGGAGATGGTGTTGTTTCATGCACATATAGGAATGGAGAGTCGAGGGTTTATAATGGCAGGCTGCAGCTTATTAAAAGTAGTCCTTCGTGGAGGAAAGACAAAAGTACCATGGAGTGTGGAGATCAGAAGGTCAGAGTGATGAAAAACTGTGTTGAAGTGACTCGTAACGACTGGCAGCTCAAGAGCATGTTTCCTGTAGGAGAAATTCGCCAGTACATTGCACTTAGGAGTAATTTGTTCCTACTTACAGAAGATTCCATAAAGGTTTTGAGCTTTGAGGAGTAGAAGTTAAAAACGATGACGCCAACCCCGGTATGCCAGCACTTCAAGATATAAGTAGGATAACAAGAAAGTACGATGCAAGTGTTGTGGATCACTTTGAGAATCCTAGGAACGTTGGATCTCTTGACAAAGCCGACCCAAGGGTTGGAACAGGAATAGTCGGTGCTCCGGCCTGCGGAGATGTGATGAAGCTGCAGATCAAGGTGGGGAAGGATAACGTGATTGAGGATGCAAAGTTTAAGACCTTTGGATGTGGGTCTGCCATTGCCTCTTCAAGCCTGGCAACAGAATGGATCAAGAAAAAGACGCTAGACGAGTCACTGAAGATATCCAATAGAGATATAGCAAAGAAGCTCTCTCTGCCGCCCATAAAGCTCCATTGTTCCATGTTGGCCGAAGATGCTATTAAGTCGGCAATCAAGGACTTCCTTGATAAAAACAGGCCGTCGTCATAGAATGGATAGGTCAGAGCATTCCTAGGAATAAAACGTTAGAGTAAAGTATATTTCTTCTGGATCTGTCTGGGTCTATGCTCCAATAGATTCTGTAAAAGAAGCTGGCAAGTACTTTCCCTTAATGGAGGAGAAAGAAGAAAGCATCAGCTTTTTTGACCAGAGGTTCCTCAGCTCAAAGTCTCTTGACACCACAAACATCCTGGAGTACTTTTCTGGGTCTCCTTTCTACGACAAGTCCTGTAACAATGAAATACTCAAGATGCAGACCCAGTTCAGAGGACTTGACCAGAAGTCCAAACTGTCCTCCATGATAGGGATATTCTATGAGGTGGAAAGTAGTAACAATGAAAGAACACTGTTTGTGATCAGGAAAGCATATAATCATGGAGACACCACAGAGACATTAGGAATGTACTATGTAATCCACGGACACGTCTATGCAGCACCTACAAACTATTCGATTTATAGGTGTAGAATGGGAGACTCGATGTGGCTTTTGAACTCATTCATTGAAAAGATGATGGAGAAGAGAAGATTTAATCCATTCAACCTGTCTAAAAGAAAGCATTTTAGAAAGGGTTTAGAGGACAACAAGGATCTAAGCTTTATGATGGAGATTTTCAACGATTTTAAAAAGGAGCAGATGGAACCATAAGTCATCAAATTGTTACTTTAATCTGGATTCTCCAGCTAGGAAATAGCCTAAGACCAATACATCGTTTGGGAATCCATAAATACAGACAAATGGTTGTCAAATAAGAGATCTAAATAATGTTACTATTGTCTGCAGCCATTTCTTTGTTTCATAGTACGACTTTGCTTCTTCATGGGCCTTCTCGCTAAACTCTGTATACTTAGTTGCATAGTTGTGCTTAGACTTAGCTGCTTTTGCAGATGATATCTTCTTTAGATATTTTTTGAGGATCCCATCGTATCTCCTGAGTTTCTTGATACTTTCGCATAGATGGCCTTTGCCTCTGCTGATGTAAGTCTCGACCTTGAACAGCTCATTCGATAGAAGCTCTTTTATATCTTCAAGTACATTGAGTAAGGACTGTATTTTGGAGAACATAGGCTCTGGTGCAGGGAGACCATAATGCTTGTCTGAACTGAAATCAAATATCTCTGGCCATGGCTGAGTTATTCCCTTGTACTCCAAGAAGCTAGATAGCTTCTCCGAGGCACCAGGAATCGATTGGATTAGCCTTACAAGGTCTGGGCTTAGCCTCGATTTCTCGGGCCTTTGAGGAACTATCCCGGTTGTTACCACTGGCTGCGTAAACGTGGCGCAAACTGGAGCTTGCATGGGGCCTTGATATATTTGATAGCATTCCGGCTTTGGATTGATATCGTTTTTTAATACCACCATTTGACTAGTTGAACCTGTGCCTGGTTGCTGGTATGATCCTCTAACAGCCCTGAGTGTCAAGATAAGTGATCCTAAAATTCCCAGAAACATTCTGTGCAGCAAATCCACTGTAGAGATAAAATCTATTCCTGACGAAACAATTGTTTTAAGCCCCCATGTTTTAAGTTGGGCTTATCCTTCTTAAGGTATTGTTTCAAGTCGATTGTGCCTTCTTTTTCAGTCTTCAAGCATTGAAAACCATCCCTAAAGTCAGAAAACCCCCAGCATGTCCTCAAACATATTTGTTAGTTTGGTACAACAACTTACAGGCGAGAGCTTGAAGTTCGACACCTTCATGGTGACCTCTCCTTCTTTTTTCTCTACCTTTCCAATATTGATAAAGAAGACAAGTCCTCGTTCAATGTATGGTTCAAAGTCTTTAGGGGACATCCTGCATCCTCTTGAAGAAAGAACGACCTTTGTGGAGTTTGGAGGAAGGTGTTTTTCTATTGGATTCTTTATCACCTTTGCTAGAACAGCTCCATCAGATGATTTGACAACTAGTCTTCTAAGCAAATAGGACATAACATCGCTGAACTCAATGGGGCTTTCAGGAACTTCAAGAAGATGGCTGAGCTCTATAAGTACATTACTAGTTGTATGTACATAAACATGAATTTTCCTCGACTTGTTCAGAGGAGAATCCATTAATAGTTGGATTGCCTTGTGGGATCTGTTGAACTCTGGATCATCTTCACGACTCTCACATGTCAGCTTAGCCCCTTTTAGAACAAATACCAATGGAGCACTCATCAACAGGGAAGGGATATGGCCTGAGAATTTGATTTTTCGGGATACGCTTAAAGCCGTTACACATAGAACACTATACATCTAATTTGAATTTATTTCTCTATCATCTAAACGAGAAGATGTAGTTTGCGTTTGAGACATCGTCGTTGTGGTCGAAGTACTCTTTTTGGTAATTATGTTCGAGACAATCGCTGAGACTTGTTAAATTTCCATCAAAGATAGTTGTGTGGCGCTCAAAGGGGACTTCTGTAACGCCAATGTTGTCGAAGAAACCCTGCTGTGGCCCAAGAAGCTCTGATATTGAGTTGACATTCTTTTCTGCATCGCGATGACTATTGAACGAATATTTATTCCTAGACCTATAGGTCTTTTGAGAGCCCTTGTTGTTCTGGAACTCATAGTTTATCTTCCAGAACGAGCCTTTCCCTGGATTCACTGATGTTCTTGGAACCTTATAGAAAGATTTATTCAGACTTAGATTGTGTCTAATGGAATTCTGCCATCCTGTTTTCTTAAGAGAGAAGTATGGGTGCTTTGAAGAGATATAGGAGTATATCTCCTTGAGTGTCAGCATTCCTTCCGAACTACTTTCTATAGCTTCTGTTATTAAGTCTGCATAGGATATTCCGGGGCGTCTTCCCTTTTTTCCTTGGTCATGGGAATCTGGGTCTGAGGAATGGCTAAAGCCCTTTCTTTCATTGGCACTACATCTTGGAAGTCCATCTTCATCTCCACACTTCTCCTTCCCAAACATATAAACAAGAGGAAAAGTTTTGCTTTAATGAAGTTGAATGATTTCATTTATCACCAAGGTGACAGAATAGATTATATAGTTAATAAAAATGATCTAAAAAGACAATCATGATAAATCATTCATTAAGAATGCTTTCCATAGCACCTGGCCATGTTAATCAGAAGCACTTCCTGTGGACAATAGATGGCCCGTGCTCTTGATATTCAGCCTTGGAAACCCACATCTGTTGGAAAGTAGACAGGGATGCCAGAATAGATCCCCCAATCCATACACTGTATTTCCTCTCGGGAGGTGCAACTACTCCAATCTTGATCACTGGGGGTGCAAGAGCTTTGATTTCATTAAGAATCCTCTCAGCAAGCCCAGGATACATCGTAGTACCCCCAGAAAGAACAATGTTCCCATAAAGCTCCTTTCTGATATCAACATCACATTTCATAATAGAATCATAGATGTTCTGATGGACTCCCTTCAATTCGAGGCCTCTGAGCTTGGGCTGGAACAACAGCTCAGGCGCTCGGAATCTTTCATTACCTATGGAAATCACCTGCCCATCAGGCATCTCGTAGGTCTTTGTGATCGAAGCCAAATGCTCTGTGTTCCTCATATCCTCCTCATAGTTCAGAGATACATAACAAAGCTTCTCTTTGATATCTCTGACTATCTCTCTCTCAGCAGTCGTTGTAAATGAGTTTCCACTTTCAGTAAGGATGAGCTGTAGGTAATCGGTCAGGTCCCTTCCAGCAAGATCAATTCTGTTGATTGCATATGGGAGAGAATAACCCTCATAAATAGGCACAACGTGAGACACACCATCTCCAGAGTCAAACACTATCCCCGTTGTCCTTCCACTCGCATAGAGAGACAAAACAGCTTGGATAGAAATATAAAATGATGGTACATTGAAAGTCTCAAACATAATCTGAGTTATTTTCTCCCTGTTGGCCTTTGGGTTAAGTGGTGCTTCAGTAAGAAGAACAGGGTGCTCTTCAGGTGCAACCCTTAGCTCATTGTAAAACGTGTGGTGCCATATCTTCTCCATGTCGTCCCAGTTGTTTACAATTCCGTGTTCAATAGGGTACTTGATATGAAGAATCCCTCTCTTCGTTTGTGCCTCGTCTCCTACATAGGCATCCTTCTGCCCCATTCCAACCATCACTCCTTTGTGCTTAGGAGACCCTACTATACTAGGAAACACAGCCCTTGGCGCATCGTCACCTGCAAAACCAGACTTCACTACTCCAGATCCAATATCAATGACAAGTGCCTGAACTATTTCTGACATAAGGGGTATTTTTTTTTTCTTTATGTAGGTTTTCCTGGATAAAAATTTGACAACAATTATACATAAATGGCCATTCGACTGTCATCTCCTGTTATTTATCAAAGTAATATCTTCTTTCATCCCTTTGAAGTCTTTTACTAAAGCCTGTTATAGCTACTTTGGTTCCGTCTCAGCCAAAAGAAAATACCAAATATTATTTTAATCCCAAGCTTTTTCTTATCCTCAAATACTTGGCTGCATTTCTGATTAAAACCCTCCACCTTTTCAGCCCCAATGCCCCACGCTCGTTCCTCTCCTTCATCTCCAAGTACTTGCAATATTGGGACAGAAAGTTAGAAAGCACATAAAGATTTTTTTTCTCTATAAATATCCCTCGATTGATAGGAATCCTCCCAGAAAACCCATGAAAGCAAATCCTGTATGGAATCCCAATCAGATATGCAACATCTTTAGCGTTTTTGTTATCTATATATACACAGTCCTGTGGTATAAAATTCGGATGGAAGTAATCTTGATACATTGACTCACTGAACCCTTTAACTACTATCTCGCACGTCTGCCATGGCGCATACAGCCGGATCATCTTGTCTCTCTTCACTATTCTATAAGGCTTTGATGACCTGACTTCTTTCCCTTCCTTATAAAATTGTTCCTTTGTTCTCAGCCTTATCACATTTTCTCGAGGATATACAGCTTCTCCTCGGAAGATCCCAAAAACCGGTCTTTTTGGATAGATGCACTGGTCCCATCTTAACATGGACTCAACAATATATTTTGGATGTCTTTTCATCTTCTCAACAGAGTTTGGTATCGTACTCATCCTTTCATTATCGATCTCATCAAAGCATCTGATCATTTCCTTATCCGACACATCCTTACACATCTTGGACTTGGAAAACCCTGAAACCACATATCTTGATGCAGAAAATCGTTTTGTGGACTTTGAAAAGTGGTATGACTGGTCTTTAAGCTTTAGAGAGGCGTCGATTGAAAAAACACAGTCTTCATATCTGCTGTGGTGTTCCTTAACCTTGCCTAGAATCTTACTCTCAATAAAACATTTGGGCTCCTCGGACAAAACTATGTATATCCTGCTTGGTATCCCAAATGAAATTAAAAGATTAAATAAAATAACTGTCCTATCCACTTCTCCAATATCCCCGACAGAAGATACATGCTCTTTCAATCTTTCATAAATATGGAGATCAACCTTTTCTTTTATACTCGGCTTCCCAACCGGAACTACCACCTTCCTAAAAAACCATAAAACCCTATGAATCATCTCGATCTTAACGTCCACATCTCTTCGGATAGTCTTCTCTTTTCTTGGAAACAGCTCTAGTCCATCTTCAATGGCCTCCTCCCAGCTATCACTCGGTTCCATTCATAAGGGTAGACAGAATCTGCTTAACTATCCAAAACAAACAAAGAAAATCTTATGTTTATTTACTAATGGGGTGTAAACAAACAGTCACATAACCTCACAACTCCTTCTTCTCTTCTTCTTCATTTTTCTCTTCTGCCACATCCATATACCCGGCAAGCTTCTTCTTAACCTCCTCAATTAATTTCTCAATATCTTCAGGAGAAAGGTCAAATGCTTCTTCTTCAGACCCTTGCATGTTCTCAGACCCAGCAACCTCTTTGGCCTTTTCGCTCTTGCTTCTAATACTAGACATGGCATTCTTGATTCTAGTATAGAGCATGTTTTTGCCTTTCTCGAAAAGATTGCACACCTTTCCAACACATGTTTTTCCATGCTCCATAACTCTCTTGTATGGGGCTTGAGCCCTATTACTCATAGTATCTGCCACATGTTGAGAAACCTCAGAGGCGCACATCGCTAGAAATGGTAAGCATAATATCACAGTTCCATATAACTTCATTTTGGGGCTATTTTTTTGTTGTTTTTTAATCACACATGTACAGCATAGACATATATGGCCTTCTTTTCTTTCCCCTCCTATGGGAGAGCCAGTGTTCAGCTTTGAAAGTTATGTCTCAAACAAGTTGGGCCTGCACGAAGAAGATGAAGTCTACTGCATCCCGTATCAGACAAACTCCTGCAAGGACCCAAACTGTTCCAAGCAACATGTCAAGCTGAGCACGGCTGTTGTCTGTAAGCATTGGCTCCGAGGATTGTGTAAAAAGGGAATCAAATGTGAGTTTATGCACGAATATGATCTCTCAAGAATGCCAGAGTGCTATTTTTTCAGTAGCTATGGAGAATGTATGAATCCAGAGTGTAACTACATACACATAGATCCAAACAGCTCTTCAAAGGAATGTCCATGGTATAACCGTGGGTTCTGTAGGAACGGGGCTTCATGCAAGAATAAGCATGTAAGAAAGAAGCTATGCTATAACTACTTTCTTGGGTTTTGCCCAAGGGGGCCAACCTGCGACTATGGACATCCTAAGTTCAATATTAACCCAGCCCGTGAAATATCTCGTTCAGACATCATTCAGAAGCCTTCAAATCTGGCAAGTTCATAAAAAAACATAATATCAGCTAAGCATATATAAATGTATGCCTTGTTGTAGTAATAGAGAAAAAGAATTGGTAAAGTCTTGCGTAGGTAATAAACATTTATTTGACCTCTCCTAACACCTTAGAACTCTTTTCTGAAAACTCCCCATGGGCCTGTGCAACACTCTGAAGCACTCCACATACCCCATCATTTCCAATAAATCGTTCCATCTCCTTAAGCGCTTCTTTTGATGTCTCCTTAAACGTCCTTTCCATCTCCTCCTCCTTGGATACTGCATCAGGTGCCTTGGGATCCTTGGATCTCTTCATCATTTCCAAGTCGTACCTTATGTTCGAAATCTTCTTCCTCTTCTTATCAATTGCATTTGAATGGTCTCTTAACTCAGATATCTTCTTTATCTGCTGTTCAAGCTTCCTGTTCATTTCAACCTTGTATCTAGAAATATCCATGTGTGCCTTAGAGTACTTCTTTCCAATATCACTAACATTCGAGCCCAGCCCAATTCTTGAAAGCTCCAACCCAACAAGTCCATTGAGCTCGTAAATATCATAATTCTTAAAGTGCCCAAGCCTTGACGTGGAAGTTATCATGTCCATCTTCGAATACAAAGACTTCATCTTACTCCCCCCATGCTCATACGTCATCAGCCATGTAATGCTGTCAGAAATCTTCTTAAGGTTATCCCGAAATTTCTTGTAGCAATCCTCTGCTTCCGAGTATCCACTGATCAGAGAAACTTCAGTGTAGTCCACTCTGTTCAACTTCATTGCAATGGACCTTTGGATGTCCTTCACAGTTTCCTTATCCATGGGCATATCGCCTTAGGTTTTTTTATATTTCTTGGCTCCTTTTTTCAGGTTTGAAAGCTATTCTTTTTGTTTTGGTTGGATCAGCCCGCTAACAGATAAGTTTCAAATACCAATAGCCATACCTAAAAGACAGAATAAAAATGAAACCATCCTTTCAAATAGTACATTAAATCCCCTAAATCCCCAACCTCTATACAAAACTTAAATGACATCGGATTCATTAGACATGTCCAAATAATCAGAGTAGTAGTAGTTTTTGTATGCCTTGATCTGATCATGGACCTTCTCAGCATCAACCTTATCGCTGTTCTTTATTGCGTTGAGATGATCTTCCAACTTGTCGAACTTTTCTTGTAAGGCATCTGTTCTCTTAAGCATCTCGTGCAATGTAGAAGTTGTGCGAACAGTTTTCGGTGATGTGGTGCTTACGTCAGATTCTCCCCTACTTTCTGCATCCTTTCCAAAGTTCTTATTACTTAGACTATCAAATGGATCATCCAGATACCCGGTATCCCTCCCTGCCTCTCTAGCATTCTCTTCTTTCCTTTCTAGGCATTCTTCTTCATTCAAACCTATCTCTTTTTTAGAACTTGCAAGGCTACTGAAAAAACTATCCGGAAGATTCAGCTTAATTTGTTCGCCATTCTCATCGCCCACCTCATTCTGCTTCTTTGGAAAACTCAGCCTTGAAGGAATGTTCCTGACTCCCATCCCATAGATCCTACTCGAATCATCATATATACTATCGTCATTTACTTTGCTCCCATAGTCATTCCTAAGTGTAAATGGCCTTACGCTGTTTCCATCTTCTAACTCTTCCCCTCTTCCAGGGATCTTTGAGGTAAAAAAGTCTTCCTTCTCCACTTGATCATTCTCTCCATCATTCACAGTCCTGAAGCTTTCGTTGAAATCCACTCGGCCTTTGTCCTCCTTCATGTCTCTTCCTCGGAGTTCATAAATAATCCCTTGATATTCTCTATTCTTCTCTAACAATCTTTCAACCTTACTCATCAGCTCTTCCATAATCTTACTGTTTGCATTAATAGCTTTCGTCCTTTCCTCCTGAAGCCTTGAAACCTCGTCTCTAAGCCTTTCAACCTCTCTGCTCAAATCCTGAATCTCTATCCTTTGCTTTTCATTTATCCTCTTCTGATCATGAATTCGTTTTCTATATCTCTTGATTCTCTTCAGATCATTTTGCTCCACACCATTACCATTCTTCTCATTCGATATCGCTGTCATCTCCTCCTGGGCATTTGGATCATATTCGGGAATCTCTATTTTGTCTGTATCTCTTATCATCTTCGAAAGTTGTCTGTTGAGATACTCATTTTGGCTGTTGGTAGCCTTGTAAAGCCTCTCATAATAAGATGCTCTTTCTTTCATCTTCTCAATCTCGTTCTCAATCCTCTTCTCTTTGGAAATCAGTTTCGATAACTCGGAATTGCACACTCCAATGGCACTCTCCTTCATCTCCAACTTCTTTCGAAGCAGCTCATTGTTCTTTTCAAGACTTACTATTTTCTTGCTGAGTCTTTCTCTTTCTTCCTCTCCTTGTTTGGCCTCATCCCTTAGTCTCCCTATCTCCCCTCCTCTTTCTTTCATGTACTCCTTCAACACACCTATCTCCTTCTCATAAACATCACATTTCTCTAAGGCCTTCTTCCTTAGAATCTCTAGTTCTCCATTTATCGATCGAAAGCTATCGCAATTTCTCTTCTCAAGATCCGCCTTCTCTTTAAAGGCTTGAATCTTGTTCTTTTGATCCCTGATAATCCGGCTAAGCTCCTGGTTCCCTCGGTTCAGAAACTCGAGATCACTTTCCATCTTGTTTATTTTAATTTCAAGGCTTTCCTTCTCCTCATTCATCTTTCTTATTCTTTCCTTGTACTTCTCTTCATTCTTCACAAGCTCACTTTTTTCCTGCGACACATCCTTCAGCACCCTCATGAGAGACTCACATACCAGAGACATCTTCACATCACTGTTTAGAATAACATTCTTGAGCCCCTCATTGTCCCCAGCAACAAGGTTTGTATTGATCTCATTGTATACATTCTGTAGGCTTGTGAGAAGTGTTATCAAGGAAGAAATACCTTCTTCATTTGCCTTTGGATCCTTGGCAGGGAGAGCATCCTCGCAAGGGCTTCTGTCTGTAAGACTCAGAAAATTCTTTATCTCGTCGTTTATTGCATCATAATCACCCATTCAAGGATTTTCTTTCAGGGTAAGGAATGTAATTTAGTTTGGACTAGACTGGATGTGAAGATTAGCGGGAAATAAGGAACAAAAGAAAATTTATGGATAACCAAGGAGTAAAATGCGATGTCCGGGAATCGAACCCGGGCCAACAGCTTGGAAGGCTGTTATCCTATCCACTAGACCAACAACGCTTGCCTCTCATTGGTGCCCATGCCAAATCTTCTGATTACTTTTCGCATTCCTTTCCAATAAAACTTATCCATCCTACCCAATAAGTCTTCAAGAATATCAGCCCAAAATGGCAATTCCTCCATCATGAAAATAATTGAATATACATTTATATTCTCAGAAATATAGTATATAAATTCCGTGACAAAAAACAAAACAACGAATGGAAGAAACAAAAGAAAACAGTAGAAAATTCCATGATGCATGGGCATTCATTTTATATACCATTCTGACAGCACTGACAACATCGTGGATGGTTTCGGAGATGAAGAGCCTTCCCCAGTACAATGAAGAGGCCCTTCTTCCACTTCTAACAGTCAACGTAGGTATCATGCTTATATTTCTGTTGGCAGCTTACCTAGGATTTAGATACGCCGCAAAGGGATTCATATTTTTTGCCAATGCTGTGGCTCCAGGAATATTATTTTTCCTCTCATTTCTGACCTTGAATCCCTTCGCTATTCTTTCTGCAGGAATTACGTTTGGAATATCCTTGGTGTTCTACTTCTGGTCCATAAAGCCTATTCTGCCGCTAATGGGCCCAATGATAGAAGCCACTGCAAAGATACTCTCCTTGAATCTTATAGGATGCACAATCCTTCTTCTTGCCTCGGTGTCTTTACAGGTGATTCAAAGCTTTATATTTTTGAAGGTGCTGGGAAATGACGATGCAGGCAAAACCATCATGTCTGTTCTTTTTATTCTAAACAGCTATTGGACATTCTTCAACACGATATATTTCGCACAGGTTGTCGTGTCTGGAATCGTCACCACCCATGTGAAGAATGAAAAAAAAGGATCTTTCTGGGAATCTTTCTACATAGCCTTCATGGCCCTTGGTAGCATTTCATTTGCAGGGCTAATTATGGCTGCAGTTAGCACAGCCAAGTTCCTTGTTGAAAGAGAAAGAAATAGAAACAGGGAAAGAGGATCCAGCAACATCATCAATATAATTATATTGTGCATTCTGAGCATCGTTGGAGACCTCGTGAATCTGATGAACGAGTTGGTGTTTCCATATCTTGCAGTACATGGAACAAAGTACACGGAATCTGTGAGCAAATCCTATAATTTAATCGAGGAGAAAGGAGGCATTATTCTTCTCAGTAATATAGCTATAGAGAAAGTAATCTTTTTCTGCTTACTTTTCTTCATTTACTTCATTGCATCCGGGACTACTGCTCTACTTCTGAGAAACCCTAGCTACCAAAATGACCTTACATACTTCACAGTGGGTATTGTATGTGCTCCCTTGATCACTTTTGTCTACAGTTTCCTCTCAATGTTCTCCTCAGGAACCTTAGCATTGATATATTCATACCTTGAATCTCCCGAGATGGTCAAGAAGGTTGAGCCTGAGCTAATCGAAAAGATAAGTTCTTTTAGTTAAACCTTCCTCAACGAGCAGGGACTTTATTAATAAACAGGATTTTGACAAGATAATGTTCTCTTATAAATCCTTCTTGTAAGATGGAGAAAAAAGACGATGATCAGGGCCATGAGTTTTCCAACGACCCTGTAATCTGCAGGTACTTAGAAATTCTTAATAGCATAGAATCGATTAGAAGAGACAGAGATGATGTTCTATCGACACATTTCAATGAACTGAGTACTTATAACATAAACGAACTGGAAGATAGGAATGCTGTGATCAGAAGACTTATAAACAAAGAGTTTACATATCCAAGTGCATTTCTTGCATCATCTCTTGGGTTCAATAAAACCACATGGAATCGTGATTATGAGAGGACTCTGAGAGAGATAGGAATGTACAAGCGTCCAAAATACAGCACATTAAGGAACATGCTGCTGTTTGAGAAGCTCAAGTGGCTTGTTATCAGGTACCATGAGGCAAAGCAAAAGAGGAAGAAACAATGAAGTTCAAATTGAATTCTCGTTTATCCATACCCTAGAATGGAAGATGGTGTGAAGGATAATAGGCACGAGGCAACTCAGAAGCAAAGGTTGTCTGATCTTTGCAAGTTAGTCATAAGCAATTCAAAAGACATAAACAAGCTAGACGAACTGTTTGAAGAGCTAAAGAAATCACCTGGGCTGTCACTAGATATATGGACTCATGACTCTATGCCTATTTTTCTGCTTCAGGAGGTGATTACCCCTTACATGATTCTGAGCACAAGTAAGTTTGATGAGGTGCAGTACCATAGACTGTATACGGTTTTGAACATTCTACAGATACTGGTGAGTGACTCCAGGATAAAAAGGGTTTTCGTTGATGCCAGGTTTCCTTATTACATATACAGATATCTGGTGATATCGGATTCCGGCTCGAAGTATGAAACATTAAGGATCTCTGCCCTGGGTGTGGTAGCTTCACTGCTCCAGAACGGAGACCAGTATGTACATAAGCAACTCAAAACAACGGAGGTTGTCCCTCTTCTTCTCAAAATAGTTGATCTGGGGTCTGAGGCGTCCCAGCTACTTTCAGCAAATGTCTTTGGACTGATAATAGGGAGTGACGACGGGCTTAATTATGCATGCCAGACATTTGATAGGTTTTCAGCAATAAACTTGATGTTCAACTCGCTGGCATCTCAAGGAGTCAGTATTGGATCTGTAAAGCTTGTGAAGGCAGCACTAAGGATCTACATCAGACTTTGTGCAAAGCCTCATATCAGGGCACTGCTAAGCTCAAAGAAGCCTGACGGGCTGTTTACCGATGAAGCAGGCACGTTGATCTCGTCTGATGCGGAATGCAGAATGTTGTTCAAGTCTTTTATGGACATGATATGCTGAATAGATAGGAAGAATTAAAGTTATAGGTTTATAAGTGAATGTTTCACCCTCTCCTCTCGAAAATCTTAAAGTTCGGGTTTTTTTCCCCTGGATGCTCAACTGGATTATCAGATATGAAAAGCCAACTGGAGAGCTTGCAAGAATTCACGAGGAACACCTCAAAAGAAGGAATGTTCTGAATCTATACACGAAGAGGGAGTTTGAGAGGTGGGGAAGGTGTATTGACCTGTATATCCTACTTGATTTGGATATGTACAGAACAAAACCCATTCCTTCCTCGATTCTTGAGCATGTAGTGAAGGTCAAGATGCATGAATACCATCCTGATTTAATCAAGGGGTGCCGAGAGGCGTTTCTACTGGTCAAGATTGCAAGGGATGTGCTTAGAGATCGAAAGCTCAGATTATTCTACGACTCAAATTTTTTTGACGAGAGCATTCCTGAAGACAAAATTTATCGCGAAGACGAGTTTTTCGATGTGTTTGGAGAATGCTTCCAAAGAAATGCTAGGTTCAGCATCAACCAGCCTGTTCCCTTGTTGGATAGAAATGACGATCCTAAGAAGGCATTGGAGTTTTATGAGTTTTGGGGGAACTTTAAGTCCTGGAGGGCCTTTGAGCCTGTGGAAGAGCTCTACAATATGGGGGAATATGATAGATCGCAATATTCCATAAAGAACAGGGAGAAGCTAAGCTTTCTAAAGAACCAGGATGCTTTGAGGATCAAGAAGCTTGTCCAGATTGCCAAGAAAAGAGATCCCCGAGTGGGAAAAAGCATTGAAGAGCAGATGAAGGAGATGATGAGGATGAATAGCTGGACACCCTTAGAGGTTTCAACACTGAGAAGATTGATTTCTTTGGTTGGAAAGACCAAGAAGAATAAGTGGGAGATGATTACAGAGAAGCTTGCCGAGATCACAAAGACCAAACGCAGCATTAAGGAAGTGATGGAGAAGGGAATGGAAATAGAAAAGAGGTGAAGTGGGTGAAGAGCTACTTGGTGTTCTTGAATAAAAGGGTCTTCAAATTACATGATCCATGATCTCTGTGGGATTATGCCCTGAAAGTAAGACTTAAAAATGGAAGATTTTTTATTACTACAAGGGTATATGACCAGTGTGATTCTAAGTACAAGGGGAGCAACAGCAAAGATACGACATCTCATGAAGGACATTTCCAAGCTAGTGAAGGTTGAAGAGGAGCAGAAATGGGACATGGGGAAAGACTACAGGGAGCTCAAGAATCTGATTGAAATGAATGAATGCGATTCGATGCTTTTCTTCCGATCGACCAAGAGATCGGATGATTTATGGATAGGAATACTTAACGGAATGTCTGTTCTATTCAGGATGCATAACGTGTTTACTATGAAGGATTGCAATTTTCCTGTGAACTCTTTTAGGGATTGTGGATATGTCCTGATGTTCAGCAAGGAGTTTGACGAGATAGAGCATCTGAGATGTGCAAAGAATGTCATAGATCACGTTTTCCAGTCCAATGAGATAAAGGACAAGGCGCTATGTTTTTTCTATCTTGATGGATTTATTTGGGTTCGATGCTACAAAATAGGAAAGAAACTGGAAGAGATTGGGCCCAGATTTGTTCTTGAAGTTCTTAAGGTATTTGAAAAGTGTTTTGAAGGAAAGGTTCTATACAAAGTTGAAAAAAGGGATTGCCCCGTAGAAAAGGACTCTGATTAAAAGAATTAGCAGAAATTTTGATAGGACCTTTCTATTTCTTTAGATATTATTCTGTGAATGAAGCCAGTTTTAATTTATTGATTAATTTCGACAAGATACGACAGACATGGAAGAGGTGATACAGTTGGTAGATAAAAGCTAGAATATAGTACACTGAGACTTATACTGTAGATTCGACGGAATGGAGTTTTATTGTAGAAATCAGGGATTATGGGACTACTATCCAAAGAAAGGGGATGGAGCAAGGAATCAAGAGAGACACAAAGAACGAAGAGTTTTAGGTGTTTGAAACCACCAAGATGTCATCCTGGGAAGAAGAATAAATTTTTAAAAGCAAAAAAATAGGGCCCCAAAACATGGGTTCAGAAAGCGAGAGTACTGCAAGCTCCATTACCACTAGTGAAGAATCTAGCGAGAAGAAAGTGATGCCCAGAAAAAGAGGGAGGCCTAGAAAGAATGAAAGTAGTAGGCAAGTTCAAAATCATTTCAATCCTATGCTTTACCAAGCACCACTTGGATACCAATATGCACCAACACTGGGCCCGGGGATTGCACACAACATGATCCCAGGCATCCCACATGGGTTCTATAACACCTTTAATTTCAGCCAGGGCTATGGATATGGCCCGAGTGTTCCTCTCCAAGAAGAGGACATAAGGGTTCGTGAGACCAATGGGTATCGTGAGAGGAATGAAGAAAGAAATGTTTATATTCCTGAAAGAAGGCAAAAAAGGAATGCAGCAATGGTCAAGAGGGCATCTGTACCTGAGTCTGAAAGTAGCACGAATGAATACAATGAAGAATCTGAGGATGGGATTGAAAAGTTGCTGAAGTACGATTCGGAGAATGAAAGGTACTTCGTGAAATTCAAATATAAGAGTTATCTCCATTGTGACTGGGTTCCGAAGGAAGAGATCATGGCTACAAAGGTTGGGGCAATGAAGGTGAAGAAGTTTAGAGCAGTGGAGGTTCCTTTCAACCCCGACTTCCTGAAAGTGGACAGGATACTTCATGAAGATTACGATGGAGAAAAGGTATTTTTAGTGAAATGGAAGAGCCAGCCTTATGAGTTGTCGACGTTTGAAACTGCTGAAAGTGTGACGAAATGCGAGGGATTTGAAGAGGAGCTTAAGAAGTACAGGGATAGAAAGAAGATAAGAAACATGAGGGTTGGGATTGATTGGAGGCCTTCAAGAGAGAACTTTATCAAGTACGAGGAATCACCTGTGTTTAAAGGAGGAAATAGGCTTAGAGAGTATCAGCTTGAGGGGCTTAATTGGCTGCTGAATCGATGGTATTATAGACAGAGTTGTATCATGGCTGACGAGATGGGGCTAGGAAAGACTGTTCAGAGTGTGACGTTTATCAACACGCTCTTTACAAAGTATGATTACTGTGCACCTGTGCTTGTTGTGACGCCTCTCAGCATTATTCCGCATTGGGAAAGGGAGTTTGAAGCATGGACCGACCTGAGGGTATTAAAGTATCATGAAAATAGACCTGGAAGAGCACTAATAGCCGAGTATGAGTTTGTATTAAAGAAAAATAATCTTGAGATCAGATTATTTGATGTGCTAATCACAACATATGATACTGTTATGGCTGAGCAGGAGCATCTAAGCCAGTTTCATTTTTCTGTGGGGATATTTGACGAGGCCCACCGACTAAAGAATGCAAAGTCCAAAGCAGCAACTGTGCTGAGGACCTTGAAGTTCAATCACAAAGTGCTACTAAGTGGAACACCTCTCCAGAATAACATTTCTGAGCTGTGGTCTCTACTAAACTTCATAGACCCTGCGAGGTTTTCAAGCCTTCCACACTTTCTTGGGGAATTCAAGATGGAGAATATCAATGACGTTGAAAAGCTTCAAGGGCTTTTAAGACCTCTGATGCTTCGAAGGATGAAGGAGGATGTTGAGAAGTCTATTCCCACCAAAGAGGAGACTATTATTGAGGTTGCCTTAACAATGATCCAGAAAAGGTTTTATCGGGCAATACTTGAAAAGAACATCGAGTTTTTGACCAAGGGAGGGAAAGAGTCAGCACCAAATCTACTAAATGTTATGATGGAGCTGAGAAAGTGTTGTATACATCCATACCTCATCAAAGGGGCGGAAGAGCAGATACTCAGTGGATATCTCAAGAAGAAGAGAGAGAAGAATCGAGCAGAGGGGACTGAGAATGATATAACTTTGACTTCTGAAGTATCGAATGGAGATGAGAACCAAGAAGGAGGTATAATAAGCGACATTGATGAATACTACAAGGTGTTTATCCAGAGTAGTGGGAAGCTTGTTCTTTTGGATAAGCTTTTGGGAAAGTTGAAGGATGGGCACAAAGTGCTTATTTTTTCCCAAATGACTAGATGTTTAGATCTTCTTGCAGAGTATCTTACATATCGAAAGTATAAGTATGAGAGGATTGATGGAGGAGCCAGAACCGAGAATAGGCAAGCAGCAATTGACAGGTTCAGTGACAAGACAAGTGACGTCTTTGTATTTCTTTTGAGTACTCGTGCCGGTGGAGTGGGAATCAATCTTACTGCTGCTGATACGGTGATCATCTTTGATTCTGATTGGAATCCCCAGAATGATCTTCAGGCACAAGCCCGATGCCATAGAATCGGGCAGACAAGCGAAGTAAAAGTGTACAGGTTAGTGACAGAGAACACATATGAAAGAGAGATGTTTGACAAAGCAGGATTGAAATTGGGACTTGATCGGGCTGTGCTTCAAAGAATGACGTTTGAAGAACACAAAAGTGAGAAGACCCGGAAGAAGGATGCTATAGAAACCCTTCTACGGAAAGGAGCTTATGGGGTTCTGATGGAGACCGATGATGCATCCAGTAGAAAGTTTTGTGAAGAAGACATTGATCAGATTCTTGAGAGAAGGACGAAGATTGTGAAGCATTCTGATGGAGGAAACGTGTTTTCAAAGGCGTCATTTCAGGTTGAGGAGGATATCGATGACCCTGACTTCTGGGAGAATCTTCTTAGTAAGAAAAAAAGCGAAGAAAGTGAAGGAAGAATTAAGAGGCAGATGAGGAGGCTTGCCAGAGAGGGAGGATTGACACAAGAGAATATTTCTGAGATTGATAAGCTTTTGAATACAAAGCTTGAAGATGAGGATGAAAATGTGTTTTATGAAAACCAATGTCTACTTATATTTCTTGGGGTTCTTAGATTTGGGCCCAGGTCTGTTGGGCTTGAGATTCCTAAGCTGGAGAAAAAAGACTTAAAGATGGATGATAAGATACATGTATTGCCTCAATCAAGGCACTTCAAGGATACAGCCACATACTTCAGATATATTGTGAAGTATGTTGTTGATCAGTTTCAGAGCACAAAGATAAGATCTGACTTTTCTGATGGGATAGAAGAGTTTCTTGTCGACAACTATGATCCTTCACTATTTTCAAAGTTTGAGGATGTATATAAGAAGTATGGAGAAAGGTTTCTATTACGGGTCCAAGTGGTTATGATTTTAGACTCTCTCCTGAAGACAGAAGATCTTTCAGTGGAGAAAGTCCGAGGGTGGACCAGCGATGATGACAAGATGCTTGTCAAGTTGATACTGAACCACGGGTATGGTTGCTATCCTGAAACGATTAGAAATAAGAGTGTGGAGGACATGAACCAGCGGGTTAGAAAGATTGTTTCCACATTGAGTAGGAAGAAAGAAGTTCGTGAAGACGACAACCTGTTCCATAAGGCCATAATGATGTTTGGGCGAATAACTGATGATAACAGGGAGAGCATAATTGAATTTCTGGGGGACAAAGACATAGAAGGACTTGAAGAGACTATTAACCGGATATTAGGGGAATCTAAAAGACACAAGCTTAGTAGCTCTGAGACCGAGTGCCTCGATAGAATGAATTGGTTCAGCAGCCTAAAGTCCATGGTAAAGATTCCTCAACCCAAAAGAGGAATTCTTCCGAAGAATTGGAATATCAAAACATTGTCAGAGCTGCGTAATGAGCTGCTGGCTAAAGGAATTGCTTCTGCTGGGGAGCGGTTTGGCGTTAGTGAGGAGTTTATAGTGAAGAAGTTCGAGGCTCTGTTTTCCTCTAGTAGGTCTACACAAAATTAAATTCCGATTGTTTTTATAAGGATGATGGATTATTTTGGATTTGGGAGTATTAATGTTTTGTTTTTCCCCCAAAGTGATGACCAAGTCCTTAGTAGCTTTTGACATAAGCGGAACTCTTTTAAAGAAATATCACAAGGCTAAGAAGGAGCACCGCGTGCTCACCTCCATGGGGATAGAACCGGACATGAAGTTCAAGAGCTATCTTGTTTACAATCGTCCCAATTTGGATCTTCTGATAAAGTTTCTTAAGACACATGACACCAGCTATGTGCTATGGACAACAGGGATGAGACGAAATGCAACGAATCTGATCAACCATTTGAGCCATGTAGGGTTTAATGAGTATTTGGGCTGGTATTCGCAACTTGATTGCAAGGCTGGGAAGGTAAAACTTGATTCTGAATGCAATCTATGGGTTAAAGACTTGAATGTCGTTGCAAGAAACCATAATGTTGATGTTGAAAGATGTATTCTTGTTGATGACAGCATCGACAAATCGGTTCATACTCAAAACTTTATCTGCTGTCCTGAGTATATACCTGGAACAGAGGATGACGGGATTAAGTATATTTGTAAACATCTAGATGACTTTTTTGAGTGTAAAGAGGAGTGTATTGCCAAAAAGTTGGTATATGGCGAGAAAGGATGAAAGGGGTGCTTGGAGCCGTGGGGTATGGAATATAAAAAAGTCAGCAAGTGAGCCGTTAGATGAATGAAAGTATTGAGGAGATAGAAAAGCTTTTAGTTAAACCCAAAGAATGGAAGTATGCTGGAGAAGTGGACATAAAGAAAAGGCCAAAGAATAGCTTGTTAGAACGAGAGGAAATTGATTTTAAGCAAGGGCCTCCACTCATTCCGTTTTCATCGAAGCAGGACAGCGAAGTAGAAAGCATTACTTTGCAGAGAATCAGAGAGGGGACATTTGATAATCATGAATATAACATCAAGGAGGTGGTTGAGATTGTGGATGAGGTCCCTGATACGGAAAATCCAGAATGCAAAGACATTATTTCTCTCTACAATGAAATTGAAGGAGATCTTATGCAGATTGTTGACTTTGGAAACAACGGATTTGTTCCCGATTGTGAGATAAGAATTGTCCAGGGAAAAGAAGATGGGTCTGGCCCTAGGAAGAAGCTTGATGTTAAGTCACTGGACAGAATTAGAAATGTTACTGTTCTAAAAAAGAACTGAAATGGCATATCTCCTGTCTCTAACTATTCGATTAAATAAGACTAGTGGTATCTCTTGAAAATGTATAACAAGCCATCTTTTATTGGTCATCATCTTCGGAAAACGGTTCGGAGCCACTAGAAGAATGTCCGGAAGCATTCTCGGCGTTTGATTCCAAAAGCCTGAATGTTTCAGAAGCTGGCATCTGGAAGACATCATTTTCAGAGGAATCAAAGGAGGAGGATCCTAAGGATTCATCTTTATGCAACCTTCCAACAGAGCTGCACTTTTCTATTTCAATGCTTTCTGGCGGTATCTCCTCATCTTGGTCAGCAATGGTTTCCTTTTGGGAATCTTCTGAGCTCTTTCCACAGCAAACTTTTCCATCGTTCTGAAGCGATAGCTTTTGATATTTTGGATAAAGCCTAGAAATAGCAACATCCGATCTTTCGACAATGGAATTACACAAGTCCTCTATCTGGTAGTATATTTGCTCTGGTGTAAAGCCTTCAACATACAGTTCCTGATAGCCATACTTGTCTGAAATTTTTTCTAGCTCATCTCTTAAAACTTGCATGATTTTTGAGCCCTGAAATGGGTAAGATTACAAGAAGGACTAGAGAGGCGAAGAAGAAGGAAAGGCAGCCTATTGTTAAGGTTAGCCTGAAATATCCCATTGTTCCTCAGGTTGAAGAAGGGGAGGTGATTGATATAGTTCATGAAAGAAGTAGGGGGGCACCTGTGGCCATAATAAGCTTCAAGGAACTTGACTGTATGGTTCCTGCTTCTGAGGGGATATACACAGGGAAAAAGGTTCTTATTGGAGACGACGCTCCTATTGACATAGGAAACATTACAAAAATCAAGAATGTTCCCGAGGGGATGGCTGTCAACTCTGTTGAGGTGGTCTACGGAGATGGAGGCTGTATTTCCATGACAAATGGAAGTTATTCTCTTGTGGTAAACCACAGAAAGGAAACTAATGAGACGGTGATTAAGATACCGTCTGGGAAGAAGATAACCGTAAACAGTGAGTGCAGATGTATTGTAGGAGTTGTTGCAGGAGGAGGTATCCATGACAAACCTCTTCTTAAGGCGTCTGTGGCCCACTACAGGGCAAAGGCCCGTGGACATATCTTCCCAAGGGTTAGAGGAGTGGCAATGAATCCTGTCGAGCACATCCATGGGGGAGGTAATCATCAGCATGTTGGTAAGCCTACTACTGTCTCGAACAAGGACATTTCTCAGGAACAGAAGATCGGTCTTGTTGGGGCTAGACGTACCGGATATAGGGTTGGGTCCAGGAAGGTTTAGGATTAAAGTTATTTCAACGATCTGTTAAGTTTATCCATCTTCAGTGGGATTTAAGGTGTAGCATGTTTCCTTGGTATGGAGCAACATTCTTCTTGCTTGTTAATTGTCTATTTTCTTATCCCCATTTCTTATCTATGAAAGATAACTATGAAGAGGATGAAGGGCAAGTCTTTACCTCAAGATTGAAAACTTTGAGGAATGTTGCAATAGATCTAACAAAAGAGATCGAGGCACAGAATATCAAACTTCGGCAACTGGAACCGTCTTTCCAATCGTCATTGAATAAGATATTCACAACCATCCAGAGCATAAGGAAATCAGATCCAAAGAGGTTTAGATCATGGCTATACTTCATCCTTGGGGGAATAGGGCTTTCCTTTCTGTTCTTCATACTGTTTATTGCTAGCTAACTTTGCCTACATTTGAATAAAGCCCTATTTGTTTGCGGTATATTTGTTAAGTCTATCGAAGTAGGGGCAAGATGTTCTGCATTCCATGCCAAAAGAAGTTCAGCACAAAGAATGCCTACAAATGTCACATTTTGACATCCTCACATGCAAAGGCAGAAGATGAATACAAGATAAATAGAAAAGTGGCTATAGAGCGAAACACAGTTAACTTCATTACTGACTTTCATTCTTACATCTCACAGATAGCCGAGTATAAAGAAATAGGTCAAGCCTATAGAGAGTACTTAACTAAAAACAGATTCAGAATAGAGGGAACACGTTTCAAAAGTGTCGAGGAGGCTGTTGACAAGATTGCAAAAAGAATCTCCGTCATGAAAGAAGAAGGTAGAATAATGATCAAACGTTTAAGCAAGTTTGAATCTGTAAAGGAACCTCCTGCATTTGATTTAGAAAAGCTTAGTTCTACTTTTAGAATTAGGGTGGTGAAGAAGAATGACAGATATGTCGAAGAAAGCCTGAAGAAGTAAAGGCAAAAACTATGTTTAGTAAACCTGCTAACTAAATATTTTTTTCACGAGGTTCTTGCACCAAGCTTCTCAAATATTTCATTGAAGTTCTCCATGAATTTCCTTTCCTTTCTATGTATTAGGTCTCGAACGTATAAATGAATAGTATCTTGCTTCTTAACAATAAAGAAGTCGATCTCAGAACAAACCTCTACATAATTAATGTTTGTCTTTTTAAGTCGATCTATTATGCCAATAATAAATGCTTCCAATCTATCAAACTTCGCCATAGACAGCAACCCAACACTTTTTTGGATACATCTTAACTTCCCATCATCTATGATCCCAAATCTTATGGTATTATCATACTTGAAGCTCTCGTCTTGATCCTCATGAGAGTAGCTGCCGTATCCTTTATTTTGCTTGTCGTCACAGAAATTGTTCCCCTCAAAATCATACCCACACCCTTTGCTTGAGCCGTCACTTTCTTCGTCCTCCTCAAGTGTTTTCCACAGCTTATCTTTCTCCCCGTCCTCTTGGAGGCATCCTGTATTTACATCTTCACATACAATCTTCGTGATCTTTGATATTATGTAGTCAATCAACCCTTCCTCGTCATTCTTGACTTCCTTATATGGCTTTGAGTAAATGTTTTCTGTAGCCTCCTTAGTGCCTTCAGACATTATTTCAACAAGGCAATTTTTGTCCTCTGTCTTTCTATCTGGAAGTCCATCTGTATTACCAGAGGCGCTCTTGTTTATATATTCCAGCCCGTCTTCTTGAACAAAATCAATTGGATTCACCTTCACATCACTGGCACTAGAAGGTGATTCAGAAACGGAACTGCAATTGGCTTCCTGCGACTGATCCTTATGTCCTATTCTCAAGCGCTTGAATGAATCTAGATCCTTGAACTTAAACATCCCTTTCCCAATAAGAGGAGGAGTTTCCTTTACATCTCCCAATATTTCAGAGGGATTCAGCAGTGCTCTTTCGGTCGCCCCTTTGCCTAAGCACGCCACAATACAAAAACTGCAGACATCCTTGTCCCATCTAGACAGGCAGCAGTAAAAAGCTTTAAATCTTAGAACGACAAAATCAACCATTTTCGCTTTCAAGAAGCGGATAACTGCATTCTTGGGTGCCATCCTTCCTCTTCTCTTTGTGAAGTATGAGACTTTGCTTTCTGGGGTGTATATTGTGGTTTCCTTGGGCTTGTGGATTAAAACAATCAGCCCTTGATTTGTCTTTGAGATCGCCTTCACTGTTTCCTTTGCCTTCAGTAACTTCGAACTCTTAAACAGCGTATATGTTTCAGATAGAGGTAGTATGTCTTTTACGAAGAACTTGAATTCGTATGGGTCAATTTCATTTGGAAGCATTAGGGCCTAGCTCATATGCTTTATTTAAATAATCTAATTGAGGAAATACTAAGGAGGGAAAGAGGGCATATTACACAATCGGGTGACAGGATGCCTATTGCCTAGAGTATGCCCCAGCAGGGAGAAACAAATCCTTTGGTTGGTTACAATTGTTATGACGTGGAAGGTCTCTGTATTGGTTGGTGGTCTAGGATGATCTCCATTGGTTATTTCTTGTTTCCAAGCATAAGTTCCATTAGAGTGATGGGAAGCGGTCGTGGAAGACATGAAAAGTGAAGACACAAGTGATAGTAGCTCCGGAGAATCTAAAAAGTCTACTGCTCCTGGCTCACAAAGAAGTCAGGAGGCCAAGAGCATTGTAAATGGGCCAAAAGTAATAGAGCCGATCTTTGAGCAAAGAGAACCATTAGATGATCAGATAAAAAGCCAGATAATACTTTCCTTGGCAATGTTCACCGACGAAACACCCCCAACCAGGATATGTGAAGCTTTGAAGAGCATGCTTGATAGTAAGTTTGGAAAGGGATGGTGTGTGTTTGCTGGGGCACACTTCGCTGGAAGCTGCACGTTTGAAGAGAAATACTTTGCACAGATATCATTTGGTACATACTCAATAACTGTATTTAGGATATTCATTCCGGGAAGCTAGGAGGAATGCGAGGAAGGTGGAGAAAGGAAGAGCTTTATTTAGCGAGCTCGACCACAAGAGAAAAACGGGTGATCGAGGATATCGTATTGAGATTATTGCATTTTGCAACGATCTTGTCCTCGAAGTCTGCATTCGTAAATAGGACATCTTGATTAGAAACCATATTGAGGATGCAAGATTCAATGGACATGACTTCGGCCCCATTGGTTTCAATTCTAGACACTAAAAACCTGCTTTTTTCCATGTCTGTGAACCACACCTCTTTGAATTCATCTTCAAACTTTGTTGGTAGCATATGCTTCTTTGCTTCCTTTAGCTTCAAGATCTTCAATGTCATCATCCTTTTACAACTCCGACAATTAACACTCAGGTTTACCTTCTCTTTAAAGTCTCCTTCTGCAACGCTATCATCAGATAACACAACTACCTTCTCATGAGGTGCCCCACAGTTGGTGCATCGGATCCGGAGTGGATATGATTGATCAATAAAGACACCTTTGATATTGTTAAACTCACCTTCTACAAATACATTGAAGTGCATGGCAGGGTAAAATTCCAGGTTAATAAATCAATCAGCACCTCCATTATGAGAAATTTCCATTTGTGGGTGTTTGCTAGAATCAGCAAAATCAGGAAACCTATTGAGTAAAGGCTTTGTGCAAAGCCCAATAGTAGAAGTAAGGATTCAAAAGGAGATTGGGCAAAGAAATGTGGGGTAACTTATATTGCATCTCTATGAGGCTATCTCTACAATAATGGATTGTGATCATCTATTGAAACTAGGCATGATGGCTAAAAAGATATTAGAGAATGGAAAGGGGATACTTGCAGCTGATGAAAGTCCGGGGACACTAGGCAAGAGATTAGAAAGGCTTGGGATCGAAAACACAGAAGAAAACAGAAGGAAGTTCAGAGAAATCCTATTTAGCACTAAAGAGCTTGAAAGATATATAGGTGGAGTTATTCTAAACCAAGAGACATTTGGACAGACAAACGAAGATGGAGTTCCATTAACAAAACTGTTGAAGAAAAGAGGCATCGAGATAGGCATAAAGCTTGATAAAGGACTAATCGATTACAAAGAAAAAGAAAAAATCTCTGTAGGTCTTGAAGACTTGGATTTGAGGTGCAAATCGTCTACATTCAAAGATGCCACATTTGCCAAATGGAGGTCCCTATTTTACTTCTACGATGGGATTCCTTCTGAAGACTGCATCAATGAAAACTGCTCTGTTTTGGCAAAGTATGCAATAATATGCCAGAAGAATGGGCTTGTTCCGATTGTGGAACCAGAGATATTTCTTGAGGGAGATTACACTATAGAAGGTTCATACAAGGTATTCAGACAGATACTAAGCACATTGGTAAAGTACTTGAACTACGAATCTGTTTACATTCCAGGAGTCCTCATTAAGACAAGCTATGTTACATCCGGGATACTTAGTGATGAAAAGTATACGCCAAAGAAGGTGGCAACATATACATTCAGAGCCCTTTTATCAACCGTTCCTTGTGGAGTTCCAGGAATCGTCTTTTTAAGTGGAGGTCACAGCTCAGAAAAGGCCATTGCCTTTCTCAATGCAATAAATATGGAGAGAGGATGCAGAACATGGACCTTGAGCTTCAGCTTTGGAAGAGCATTGACGGATGATGTCTTAGAAGCATGGAGGGGAGAAGACCCAAACATTGAAGAGGCACAAAGAGTGCTTCTGGAGACATCGTTCAAAGCCTATAAAGCAGCTGAAGGGAAGCTGTGAGATCAAAAATAAGAGCATAAAATAAATTGGGCTTATATACCTACTTTTCATCCACCTTGAATTTTTTTGATATGAGGAGCTCTTAAGGTCTTTCAGAGTATCCCCAGGATGGAGGAAAGAAACAAAACCGAAGTCAGTGATGGAGAGGTGATAAGCTATCTAGTCCAAAGCGGATTCACAAAAGAAGAGGTTCAAAATGCTATAAAGGAAACAGGATCTAAAGACATCGATCTTTTAGTCAACTTTATCATAAGCTCTACCCAGGACAAGATCCACAAAGGTGTCAAGCAGACCAAGAAGGAATACAACAATACAATGCCAAAAGAAGCAGCAGAGCTTGAAAAGAAAAGGAGGGAGGAGATAATGAAAGAAAGGATTTACCGAGAGCAGCTCATAAACCAAATCAAGGCGGATATGGCTGAGAAGCTTGAAAGAGATAAGCTTGAGGACGAAAGGCTGATGAGCTCGACCGTCGAGAAGAGCGAAGACACTTCAGACTGCAAGATAAAGCTATGGCTAGGCGATGGAACCTCATCCATACTAGGGTTTTCCAAGGATGACACTATTGAGGACCTTTTCAAAAAAATCGAAACAAGACTTAACAAAAAGAGATTCAGCTTGTTCAAGATGAACCATGTAAAACCCATTGAAAGGAATACAAAGAAGATATCTGAAATACCCGGGCTTTATCCAAGAGGTGTTCTTTTCATTGAAGAATAAAATGTCTTAGATATCTTTTTTGAAGCAAACTTTAACCCACCCATGTATAGCGCAATCTGATCTTTGTGGATGTACTGGTGATGGCCATGAGTCTATCAGCTTCCTTTTCACGAAACTTATTCTCTCCAGCCATTGGGCGTAATTCAATATGCAAAATATAAGATTATAGGGGAAACCTTGAGGGTTGTATGAAAGATGAGAAGTCTGACCATGCGGATGACGACCACAGGATGATGGCAAGTGCCATCTATGTGGCATCTATGATCATCACCACAATACTCTGGTTTCTCAGGATAGAAATAAATGGAAATAGAGTACTTGCTGTTTTAGAAGTGTTGGTAGAGCTTTCATTTACTTGGTTTATTTCAATTTACTGGGTAAAGAGAATATGGGGAAAAAATCTCAAGGAACCCAAAGGAAAAGTGTCACGTTTACTTTGCTGGGTAGCTTTTTACTTCTCCCTGGTTTATGCTTTCTTATTGGTTCCTTCTTTTATATTTATGATTGTTACGAAAAAAGTAAGAAACCTTGGTAAGTTTTTAGGAGAGGATAGTCCTTGCATAGCCTTGGTATACATAATAATCAATGCGCTGGGGTTTTTGCCCCGGCCATCCTCTATAAGCTATAAGATTGATCTTTTGGCATATGTATGCATTCAAGTTATCTTTGTTGTTTCCATGATTGTAACCTACAAAAAAAATAGGGAAGACATATTACCATATACTTCCATGGCTTGTGGGCTCGGCCTAGGTGCTTTCACCCTTTTGAAAGAATTATCTGTGATACCAAGAGAGGATTGTTCAGAAAAAAACTCCAAAAACTACAATCGTATCCGATATCTGGTAGCAATAACCTCCATAATTGTCCTTTATGAATTTAAGATCAAATTGGAAAATACACCACCTCATATCGCTCGCCTACAATAAAACTATAAGTCACTTACATTCTATTGTAGAAACACATCTGGAGAGGAAGAAAATAAATTTTATGAAGTCTAGGAAGGCCAAGGGCATCAAGTCAATATAAGATATTTTAATTAATTA